TTCTCTAAAAAAATTCAATTATTTTCTTAAAAATTAAAATTTGCTACAAGAATTCAATTATTTTCATAAAAATTAAAATTTTTCTCAAGAATTCAATTATTTTCTTCAATTTCATTTTCTGAAAAACTAAAATTTGACAGAAAAATTCAATTAATTTCATTAAAAAAAATTGTGTCACAAGAATTCAATTATTTTCATAAAAAATCAAATTTAGTCACAAGGATTCAATTATTTTCTTCAATTTTGAGAAAATTCTCTAAAAAAATTCAATTATTTTCTTAAAAATTAAAATTTGCTACAAGAATTCAATTATTTTCATAAAAACAAAAATTGTCACTAGAATTCAATTATTTTCTTTAATTTTGAGAAAATTCTCTAAAAAATTTCAATTATTTTCTTAAAAAGTAATATTTGCTACAAGAATTCAATTTTTTTCATAAAAAAAAAAATTTGCACAAGAATTCAGTTTTTTTCTTAATTTTTAGAAAAATTCTCTGCAAAAATTTAATTATTCTCTTAATAAGTAAAATTCGCCAAAAAGAGTTCAATTATTTTCATCAAAAAAAAAAAAAAAAAAAATGTCAGAAGATTTCAATTATTTTGTTAAAAACTAAAATTTGACACAAGAATTCAATGATTTAAACAAAATTTAATAAAATTCGTCGCTGAAAATTATTTTTTAAAAAACTAAAATTTGACACAAGAATTCAATTATTTTCATAAAAAATAAAATTTAGTCACAAGGATTCAATTATTTTCTTCAATTTTGAGAAAAGTCTCTACAAAAATTTAATTATTTTCTTAAAAAAAATAAAATTCTTTTCAATTATTTTCTTAAAAAAAAATAAAATTCTTCTCAAAAATTCAATTATTTTCAATAAAATTTTCATAAAATTTCTTCAAAGAATTCAATTATTTTTTGAAAACATTGAAAAAATTTTTTTATAAGAATTGAATAATTATTTTTAATACAAATTTTATTTTCCTCGAAAAGATTCCAATTTTTTTTTCAGGATTTTTCAAACTTCTTCAAAATAGTTCAATTTTTTATTTTATTTTATTTTTTTATTTTTATAATTTCAATTTCTAGAAAAGATTCAGTTTTTTTGTAAATAATGAATAAAAAAAATTCTTCGCAATAATTTTCAATTCTTTTCATCAAAAATAAAAATGAACATTGAAAAACGAAAATTAATATTGTAAAATAAAAATATTATTCAAAAACAAAAATTAACACTACCAAGCGAAAATTAATATTGAAAAATAAAAATGAGTTTCGAAAAATAAAATTAATATTCAAAAATTAAAATTAATTTCAAAAGTAAATATTATTAACTTTAAAATTTGAAAATTACTTTCGAAGAGTAAAATTATTTTTTTTTTCTCGAATATTAATTTTACTTATCGAAACGAATTTTTATCTTTCACAGTCGATTTTTATTTTTTATACTAAGTTTTAGAAACTTATTGAAATTAATTTTGAAAAATAAAAAAATCAGCATCGAAAAACGAAAATTAATAAATTGAAAAATAAAAATTATTATTCGAAAACGAAAATTAACATTAAAAAGCGAAAATTGATATTGAAAAAGAAAAATTATTATTCAAAATCAAAAATTAACACTAAAAGGCGAAAATTTATATTAAAAAATAAAAATTAATTTTGAAAAGCGAAAATTAATTATTGAAAAATAAAAATTACTTTCGAAAAATAAAATTAGTATTGGAAAATAAAAATTAGTTTCAAAAGTAGTAAAAATTAACATTGAAAAATGAAAATTAGCATCAAAAGACGAAAATTAACATTGAAAAAGAAAAATTTTTTTCTAGAAGTAAATAATTATTAATTTGCATCTTAGGTAAAATTCTAACTCACAATATATCGACAGAAAGCAAAAAAAAGACAGAAATACCTGTATAAAATGAAAAAAAATAAATTCGCACTTTAATCTCGGGGATTTTCCCATTTTTTTCCTCTTTTCTCCATTTTTTCTTCTTCTTTTTTTTTAGTTCAGTTTTCTCTCTATTTTAATTTCACTACATTGTGCAGACAATATTATGCAAAAAGAGGAATAAAAAAATAGTGAAAAAGAGGAAAAAAAAATATGATGTAAGTATTTATATGTCAATGAAATTCGATGCTATCAGACGCCACACATAAATCCTATTCGTGTAATTCCAGTTGCTGAGATAACGAAAACTTTTCAAGATTTCTGACATAAGGTTTATGTTACAAGGCTTTTATTATCATTGAGTCTATAATAAATACTCATTTCATAGTAATTTCAGCAAACATCGAGACATTAACAGTATTAGTGTGAAATTTTTTTTTCTAATTAAAACAAATTTCTTTTTTATACAAACACTTTTTTTTTTTGCATAAAAAAAATGGTTTTTTACATCTCCTGTGTAAAGTGTGAAGATTTTATATCCTGACGGATTTTTTTGCTCGTCTTCTTTCATTTCGTTCTCGCTTTATTTTTTTTCGACAAAAATGTTGGCAATTTTTTTTTTATCGATAAATTCATTTTTTTTTAGTGATTTCATTTTTTTTTAACGGGAGTGATTTATTTTTTTCTTTCTTTGTCGAGAGATTTTAATTCTTTTCCTACTTTTTGAAAGAATTGATAATTTTTCTTTTCTTTGAGAGAAATTCAATTTTTATTGGATAAATTTTTTTTTTTTTTGATAAATTTTTAATTTGATGGGAAGGAGGAGAGATTTATTTTTTCTTTTTTTTGAGTGATTTCCTTTTTTTAGGAGAGTGATTTATTTATTTTTTTCTTTTTTTGTCGAGAGATTTAAATAGAATTTTGCAACAAGAATTCAATTATTTTTATAAACAATAAAATTTTGTCACAAGAATTAAATTATTTTCTTCAATTTTAGAAAAAAATTCTCTACAAACATTCAATTATTTTTCTTAAAACATGAAATTCTTCTCAAAAAATTCAATTATTTATTCACAAACTAAAATTCTTGTCAAGAATTCAATTATTTTCTTCAATTTTGAGAAAAGTCTCTACGAAAATTCAATTATTTTCTTAAAAACTAAAATTCTCTACAAAAATTCAATTATTTTTATACGAAAATAAAATTCTTCTGACAAATTAAATTATTTTTTTACGGAATGAATTTTTTTTCAAAAATTCAATTATTTTCATCAAAAATAAAATTAGCCAAAAGAATTCAATTATTTTCGTAAATTAAAAAAAAACTTGTCACAAGAATTCAATTAATTTCTTCCATTTATTAAAAATTTCAATTATTTTCTTAAAAACTAAAATTTGTCACAAGAATTTAATTATTTTCTTCAATTTTGAGAAAATTTTATACAAAATTTCAATTATTTTCTTAAAAAATCAAAATTTGCTACAAAAATTCAATTATTTTCTTAAAAAATAAAATTTCTTCTCTAAAATTCAATTATTTTTATAAAAAAAATTGTGTCACGAGAATTCAATTATTTTCATCAATTTTGAGGAAAATTTCTACAAAAATTCAATTACTTTCTTAAAAATTAAAATTTGTCACAAGAATTCAATTAATTATTTTAAAAAAAAAAAATTTGTCACAAGAATTCAAGTATTTTCTTCAATTTTGAGAAAATTCTTTACAAAATTTCAATTATTTTCCTAAAAACTAAAATTTGCTACAAAAATTTAATTATTTTCATAAAAAAAAAAATTGTCACACGAATTCAATTATTTTCTTCAATTTTGAGAAAATTCTCTACAAAAATTAAATTATTTTCATAAAAAAATCAAAATTCTTCTCAAAAAATTAAATTATTTTCATAAAAATTGTGTCACAAGAATTCAATTATTTTTCATTCAATTTTGAGGAAAATTTCTACAAAAATTAAATTACTTTCTTAAAAATTAGAATTTGATACAAGAATTCAATTTTTTTTTAAATTAAGAAAAATTCTTCCCCAAAAATTCAATTATTTTTTTTACAAAATTCAATTTTTTCAAGAATTCAATTATTGAATAATTTAATTATTATTCAGTTATTGATAATTATTTTCATAAACAGTAAATTTGGCCACAAGAGTTAAAATTATTTTTTTTCATCTTTGAGAAAATTTTCTGCAAAAATTCAATTATTTTCATGAAAGAAAAATTGTCAAAAGAATTCAATTTTTTTCTTTAATTTTGAGAAAATTCATTTATTTACTTAAAATAAACGAAAATTCTTTTCGAAAATTCAATTATTTTTTTCAAGAATTCAGTTATTTTCTTCAATTTTGAGAAAATTTTCTACAAAAATTCAATTATTTCGATTAAAAAAATTGTCAAAAGAATTGAATTTTGAGAAAATTCCCTAAAAAAAAATTCAATTATTTTCTAATTTTTAATTTTTTTCCTATTTTTGAAAAAATCAATTTTTTGTCTTTTCTTTGAGAAATTCAATTTTTTTTCCAGAAATTTTTTTTTTGTGAATGGAGGCGATTTTTTTTGTTTTATTTTTGTTGAGAGATTTAAATTCTTTTCTTTTGTCGCTTAGAGAATCATTTTTTTTTCTTTTCTATGAGAAATTAATTTTTTTTTCTAGAAGTTCAATTTTTCTTGGGATAAATTTTCTTTATTTTATGGAGAAATTTATTTTCTTTTTATATGGAGATTTATTTTTTATTTTCTTTCCTTTTTTGAGAAGAAATTTAATTTCTTTTCTTTTTTCGGAGATATTCAATTTTTTTCTATTTTTTAGAGATAAATTTAAATATTTTTTTTCATTTTTAGGGAAAGAAATTTCTTCTCTTTTTTTCGGAGAGATTCAATTTTTTCTGGGAGAAATTGAATTTTGCTCTTTTTTGGGAAGAAATTTAATCTTTTTCTATTTTTTTAGAGAGTTTAAATTTTTTTCTTTTTGTAAAGAGTTTTTTTTGGGAGAGATTTTTATTTTTTTTTCTTTGTAAATATACGAATCAAGGGAACAAAAAAAAAATTTTCTAATTTTTCTCTAGAAATTAATAATATTTCGTTTCTTTTTTGCAGGAAGTGTTACGGATTTGAAAAGAATAAGCGAAACAGTTTCCGATTCAGAGGAAAGGGTAAGAGTTCTAAATTTATCCTTAATCAATAATTTACCTTGAAAATTTTAGTTCTTAAAGTTTTCTTTTTCCATTTTTGTTTCTAAATTGCTTTCAAATTTTTTTTTTTTTTTGCTTTCAATTTCTTCTAAATTAAAATAAATATTTACATACTTTAATTCCTTATTTATTTATTTAACTGTAAATTTATCAGGAAAGACATTTTTGAAATAAGTATATTTTCTATATTTGTTATAAATAAATAATTAACTTAAAAATTAATTAATTGAAAGTTTATTTAATATAAATTAATTAATTGACAGATTATTTATAGTAATTAATTGTTTATTTAATAAATTTTATTCTTAAAAAATTTGTATTTTATTTTATTCATAAAATAATGAAATTGATTTGTTTTTTTGAATTTTCATTTTCTCTGTTTTAGTGTGTGAGCAGTAAAGAATTATTGAGTTCCTTATCGCAGGATGTACCTTATAATTCTGCGACAAATAACAATACAGTATTACCTGGCTGGTTGTTCGAGAGAGTTTGTCCCGTTTTACTCTATCATTTGGCTGGGGAAACGAATTTAGAGCGAAACGGTTGCATTAAAGTGCCGGAAATTTATAAACCCTCAGCCGTCGAAAGCTATGAATCTGAGGAAATGGCGAGAAATATGTTTCAAGGTTTGTCACTCCAAAATTATTATTATTATTATATTAATAATAACATTCTCCGCAGGAATTCAATTATTTCCATCAAAAATAAAATTTTCCACGAGATTTCCATTATTTATTTTTATAAGAAAAAAATTGTCACAAGAATTCAATTATTTTCTTCATTTTGAGAAAATTCTCTAAAAAAATTCCAATATTCTTTTAAAAACTAACATTTGCCAAAAGAATTCAATTATTTTCTTCAATTTTAAGAATATTCTCTACAAAAATTCAATTATTTTCTTAAAAACTAAAATTTGCTACAAAAGAATTAAATTATTTTCATAAAAAAAAAATTGTGTCACAAGAATTCATATATATTTTCAGAAAAAAAAATGTCACAAGGATTCAATTATTTTCTTCAATTTGGAGAAAAATCTCTACAAAATTTCAATTATTTTCTTAAAAACTAAAATTTGACACAAAAATTCAATTATTTTCATAAAAAACAGATTCGCCACAAGAATTCAATTATTTTCATAAAAAAGAAATTTGTCACAAGAATTCAATTATTTACTTCACTTTTAAAAAAAATATCTACAAAATTTCAATTATTTTCTTAAAAACTAAAAATTATTCAAATAAATTCAATTATTTTCATAAAAAACAGATTCGCCACAAGAATTCAATTATTTTCATAAAAAAGAAATTTGTCACAAGAATTTAATTATTTACTTCACTTTTAAAAAAAATCTCTACAAAATTTCAATTATTTTCTTAAAAACTAAAATTCGCCACAAGAATTCAATTATTTTCATAAAAAAAAAAGATTCGTCACAAGAATTCAATTATTTTCTTCAATTTTAACAAAATTCTCTAAAAAAATTAATTATTTTCTCAAAAACTAAAATTCGCAACAAGAATTAAATTATTTTCTTCAATTCTGAGAAAATTCTCTACAAAAATTAAATTATTTTCTTAAAATATAAAATTTGCCACAAGAATTCAATTATTTTCATAAAAAAAAAAATTGTCACAAGAATTCAATTATTTTCTTCAATTTGGAGAAAAATCTCTACAAAATTTAAATTATTTTCTTAAAAACTAAAATTTAACACAAGAATTCAATTATTTTTAAAAAAAATGTAATAAAATTTGTCGCAGAAATTCAATTATTTTCAAAATTTTATTAAGATTTTTGGAAACAACATATAATTCTTTCTTTAAATTTCTGAAAATAATTATTTTTATCATAAATAATTAAAATCTTCCCAAGAATTATTCAATTATTTTCTTAAAAACTAAAATTGGAATGGAAGAATTCAATTATTTTTATGAAAAATAAAATTTGACACAAGATTTCAATTATTTATTTTCATAAAAAAAATTGTCACAAGAATTTAATTATTTCCTTCAATTTTGAGAGAAAATTCTCCATAAAAATTCAAGTTTTTTCTTATGAAACTAAAATTCTTCGGAAAAAATTTATTATTTTCTCACAAACTAAAATTTTTTTGTTAAGAATTTGAATTATTTTCATTATCCAGAAAAATTGTTACCAAAAATTTAATGATTTTTCAATAAAAAAAAAAATTGAAAAAATTGAAAATTTTAAAATTGAAAACATACTTAAAAAAGATAAATAAATTATTCTAAAAAAATCAGGAAACTATAAATTGAAAAATAATATTTAAACTAATTTCAATTACTAATTTTTTTTTTATTTTTGGAAAAAAGTAAAGTTTCTATTTAATAACCTTTTTCTGTTTTTTATTTTCTGATTTCAGTTTGGATGTATTCGGCGATAAGTATTTTAATAATAAGCCTCTGCGGTCTTCTTGGAGTCGCTGTGATTCCCGTAATGGGAAAAAGTTATTATAATCAACTCTTACAATTTTTGGTGGCGCTTGCAGTTGGAACATTGTGCGGCGATGCTCTTATTCATTTACTACCTCACGTACGCTAAAAAAAATTGTTGATATTCTAAAAATTCTCAAAACGATTTTCTTGTCTCGTTGGAGAAAAAGAATTTCTTTCTATTATATCGAGATTTTTCTAAACTTTCGAAGTGTTTGGACTAATTTTTTTGGGGGGTTTTTTTTGTTCTAGGCAATGATGTCCGAAGCCGCTCACAGTCACGGTCACGGTCACGAGGAATTGATCATTGATCACGAAGCCGATCACAACGCAAATATGTGGAAAGGACTTGTTGCAATGTTAGGCTTAGTTTTATTTTTCTTCACTGAAAAATCCCTCACAATGCTGGCCGAGTGGAGGAAATATCGTCAAAGGCGCAATAAAGTAACTTTCTTTTATCATCAACAAATTAGGAAAATAATTCTTTTTTCTCTTATTTTTTATTCAATTTTTAATTCTTTTTTATTTTTTTATTCTCTTTTTTTTTATTATTTTTGATTCTGTTTATTTTTAATTATTTTTTTCTTTTTAATTTTTTGTTCTTTTTTTACTATTTTTAATTCTCTTTTATTTTTATTACTTTAAATTCTTTTTTATTTTTATTATTTAAAATATTTTTCTATTTTTATTATTTCAAATTCTTCTTTATTTTTATTAATTTAAATTCTTTTCTTATTTTTATTACTTTAATTCAATTTTATCATTTTTCTAATTTTAATTTCTTTTTCTCATTTCTTATTCAATTTTTCCATTTTCTATTATTTTTTTTCACTTTTTATTCAATTTTTTCAGTTTTAATTTCATTTTTTCAATTTTTCTAATTTTAATTTCTTTTTTTCATTTTTTATTCAATTTTTCAGTCTCAATTCCTTCTTTTCATTATTTTTCAATTTTTCCAGTTTTAGTTTCATTTTTTCATTTTTTATTCAATTTTTTCATTTCTTTTTTTATTAAAATTTTCCCGGTTTAATTTATTTTCATCAGTTTATATTTTTTCCAGTTTTAATTCCTTTTTTTTATTTATTTCCATTTTTAATTCAATTTTTTCTTTTTTTAAATTTTTCTTGTTTTAATTCCTTTTTTCATTTTTTATTCATTTTTTTCAGTTTTAATTCAATTTTTTCATTTCTTCTTCAATTTTTCCATTTTCTATTATTTTTTTCCACTTTTTATTCAATTTTTTCAGTTTTAATTTCATTTTTTCAATTTTTCTAATTTTAATTTCTTTTTTTCATTTTTTATTCAATTTTTCAGTCTCAATTCCTTCTTTTCATTATTTTTCAATTTTTCCAGTTTTAGTTTCATTTTTTCATTTTTTATTCAATTTTTTCATTTTTTTTATTTCTTTTTTTATTAAAATTTTCCCGGTTTAATTTCTTTTCATCAGTTTATATTTTTTCCAGTTTTAATTCCTTTTTTTTATTTATTTCCATTTTTAATTCAATTTTTTCTTTTTTTTAATTTTTCTTGTTTTAATTCCTTTTTTCATTTTTTATTCATTTTTTTCAGTTTTAATTCAATTTTTTCATTTTTTTTTAATTTTTCCACTTTCAATTCCTTTATTTTTCATTTCTTCTTTAATTTTTCCATTTTCTATTTTTTTCACTTTTTATTCAATTTTTTCAGTTTTAATTTTTTTTTCAATTTTTCTAGTTTATATTTCTTATTTCATTTTTATACGTCTATTTTTTATCAATTCTTCCAATTCTAATTTCTTTTTTTATTAAAATTTTTTCGTTTTAATTTCTTTTCATCTTTTTATATTTTTTCCAGTTTTAATTCCTTTTTTTCAATTTTTCGATTTTTAATTTAATTTTTTCTTTGTTTATTCTCTTTTTTTATTAAAATTTTCCCGTTTCAATTTCTTTTCATCATTTTAAATTTTTTCAGTTTTAATTCCTTTTTTTCATATTTAATTCATTTTTTTCAGTTTTAATTCAATTTTTCCATTTTCTATTATTTTTTTTCACTTTTTATTCAATTTTTATTCTCTTTTTTAGTATTTTTAATTCTTTTTTTGGTTCTTTCTGTTTTTACTATTTTAAATTCTTTTTTATTTTTATTATTTAAAATATTTTTGTATTTTTATTATTTTAAATTCCTCTTTATTTTTATTACTTAAAATTCTTTTTTTATTTTCATTACTCTAATTTCCTTTCGATTTAATTATTATTATTAAATTCTATTTCATTTTAATTTTTTTTTAACCTTTCTTATTTTTTAAATTTATTTATTTTGACTTTAGGACGAAAAAATGTCCTTTAAAAAATAAAGAATAGTTTTTATTATTTACTTGAAGAGGAAGAAAGTGGACATTATTTAGAAGAGAAAAGAAATAATTTTTCCTGTTTTTTCTTTTTTTTTTTATTAAATTTCGCAGCTCCCACCGAGAGTTCGAGTAATGAGAGAATCAGAGGGTACAAATAGTAATACAGTTGGAGAAAAACTCTGCAAACATAAATACTCATCGTATCCTTATTGTTACGGAGAAATCACGACTGAAACTCAAGGTAAATTTTTTTCTTTTGTTTCACAATTTTCCAATATATTGGTTTCCCTTTTTTTTAGCGTTTTTTTTTCTCTTTCATTTTTGTTATTTTCTCTTTATACTATGTGTACCGAGTTTTATTATTATTTTCTCAATATTCATTAATTATTATACAATGACAATTCGCAAGGTTTTTTTTATATTTTCAATGACTGAAAATTTTCCCTTTTAATTGTTTCGACTTTCAATATAAAAGTTACGAGAAAAATTGTTTTGTTTTGCTTTGCTTTGTAAATTTTTTTTGTAAATAATCTATTTGTTTTTTTTTAAATTTTTTTTTATAAGTAACAATTTATTTTTATTATTTATTTACATGAATAAATATTCATGTAAATAAATAATAAAATAATAAAAAAAACATGACGTCGTTTAAAAATTCTTAGTTTGTATGTAATTTTAAACAGGAAATTTTTACAATTTTAAATTTTTAATATAAAAAATAATTGAGAGTAAAATTAATTTTTGAAATGGAAAACAAAATTTTTTTTCTAAAATGTAAATTTTCTTTTTGATAGATAATCATCATCATCGACACAACAATCATCATGAGCGTCCGGCGTCGATTGAGGAGGAGAAACCATTGACGTCAAATTGCAATTCAGTGCCGACGATTGTAAAGAATGATCTCGAAAAAATTGGAAACGACGATTGGAAATTGAATGAGAGAATGAAAAAAATTGACGGAACAAATGAAGTATTAACTGAGGCAGAAAGTTACACTGTCATTATTCGTGAACACGAGAATAAGCATCATGGACATACACATTCTCACGGTACTTTTCTTCTTATTCTTCTTATTCTTCTTCTTTTCTTTCTTTCTTTTTTTTGACTTTTTTCATATTCGAAAAGTAGAAAAACAGAGAATTTACAGAAAAAGAAATTTTATAACGTATTTTCTTATTTTTTCAATTACTTTCTAAATTTTATTTTGATTTTCACTTACTTTATTTTTGGTCCGTTTAATTAATTTTTATTATATTTTTTTATTTTCAATTCACTTTTTTCATTTTTTATTCAATTTTTCCTGTTATAATTCCTTTTTTTCATCTATTATTCAATTTTTCCATTTTAATTACTTTTTAAAATTTTTTATTTTATTTTTTAATTAATTTAATTTTTTTATTCAATTTTTATTCAATTTATCCATTTTTAATTCAATTTTTTAAATATTTTATTAAATTCTTCCAGTTTTAATTCATTTTTTTATTTTTTCATTTTTATTCAATATTTCCCGTTTTAATTTAATTTATCATTTTTTATTCAATTTTTCAATTTTAATTCCTTTTTTTATTTTTTATTCAATTTTATCAATTTTAATTCCTTTTTTCATTTTTTTATTCAATTTTTTCAGTTTTAATTCCTTCTTTTCATTGTTTTTCAAATTTTCCAGTTTTAATTTCATTTTTCAATTCAATTTTTCCATTTTTAATTTTTTTTTATTCAACTCTTTCAGTTTTTAATTCTTTTTTTATTCAATTCTTTCAGTTTTTAATAATTTTTTTTTAAATTTTTTAATCAATTTTTTAAGTTTTAATTCCTTTTTCCATTTTTTATTTAATTTTTTCATTTTTAATTCCTTTTTCCTATTTTTATTTAATTTTTTCAGTTTTAACTCCTTCTTTTCATTATTTTTCAAATTTTCCAGTTTTAATTTCATATCTAAATTTTTTATTCAATTTTTCTATTTTCAATTCCCTTTTTATTCAATTCTTTCAGTTTTTAATCAATTTTTTCATTTTTTAATACAATTTTTTCATTTGTTAATCCTTTTTTTGTTCAATTCTTCCAATTTTAATTCTTTTTTTTCATTTTTATTCAATTCTGTCAGTTATAATTTAATTTTTTATTTATAATTCCATTTTTTCTATTTTATTCAATTTTTCCAATTTTATTTCAATTTTTTGATATTTTATTTCTTTTTTTATTCAATTTTTTTTTAGTTTTAATTCAATTTTTAATTTTTTCTTTAATTTTTTTATCTTTTATTTAAATTTTGTATATTTTTTTTCAACTTTTCATTTATTATTTAATTTTTTAAATATTTTATTCCTATTTTTATTTAATATTTCCAGTTTTAATTCGATTTCTTTATTTTTTTAAATTTTTTCACTTTAAATTCAATTTTGTATTTTTTTATTCAATTTTTCCATTTTTAATTGAATTTTTTTATATTTTAATCCTCTTTTCTTCAATTTTTCTAGTTTGAAGTAAATTTTTTATTCAATTTTTCTATTTTTAATTTAATATTTTGTTATTTTATTCCTTTTTTATTCAATTTTTCTAGTTTGAAGACAATTTTTTATTTAATTTTTTTATTTTTAATTTAATATTTTGTTATTTTATTCCTTTTTTTATTCAATTTTTCCAGTTTTAATTCAATCATTCATTTTTTATACAATTGTCAGTTTTATTTCCTTTTTCTTCATTTTTTCATTTTTTATTTATTTTTTCCAGTTTTAATTCAATTTTTCATTTTTTATACAATTTTTAGTTTTAATTCCTTTTTTTCATGTTTTATTCATATTAACCAGTTTTTAATTTAATTTTTCATTTTTTATTCAGTTTTTTCATTTTTTATTCCTTTTTTCAGTTTTAATCTTTTTTTAAAATTTTGTATTCAATTTATAGTTTTAATTCAGTTTTTAATTTTTTTTTCAACTTTTTAATTCTTTTTTGTATTGTTTTTTTTACAGATTCATTTATTTATTTTAATAATGAATTTAAAAATTAAATTAAATAATTACCCCAAAAAATAATGAATAAAGTATTAATATAAATTGAATTAATTACAATGTTATTTTCATAAACATAAATAAGACTATGAAAATACATTGAAAAATTTATTAAACAGATGAGAATAATTCAAATAAATATTAATAATTTTGAGTCAATTTAAAAAATTGAAGAATTTTTTTTGGAAAAATAAAAAGAAAATAATACAAAAGAAAAAAGAAAATTTGTTTTCCCTTTTTGTTTTGAATAAAATTTGAATTTTTTGCAGAATTTTTCTTTAAAATTTTTGTTTTTTAATTAATTTAAAAATGAATAATTAATTTAGAATGTTTTTGAATTAATGAACTAATTTGGAAATTGTTTGTTTATTTCAGGACACGTGCATTCGGCGCCGGAATCAATGTCGAGTGTCGCTTGGATGGTGGTGATGGGCGATGGACTTCACAATTTTACCGATGGAATGGCAATCGGCGCGGCTTTCTCCGCGAGTATTGCCGGCGGATTTTCCACGGCGATTGCCGTTTTTTGCCATGAATTGCCACACGAATTAGGTACCAGTTTTTTATATTTTCTTTCTTTTCTAGTTCTTTCTTTTTTTTTAGTTTTACTATATTTTTTGTATATTATTTTTCACATTATTTCTTTTCATTGTATTTCATTTTTTATTTATTCAATTTTAGCTCTTTTTAGTTTCTCTCAATTAATTTTGTATTAATTTTATTTTTATTTTCTGTTTAGTTTACTTTTACTTACTTTTTGTAATTTATTTTGTTTTTTAGTTTCTTCGTTCTGTTCATTTTCTTAGTTTAGTTTTTCTTTTTGTTTATTTTCTTAGTTTAGTTTTTTTTTGTTTATTTTCTTAGTTTAGTTTTTCTTTTTGTTTATTTTCTTAGTTTAGTTTTTCTTTTTGTTTATTTTCTTAGTTTAGTTTTTCTTTTTGTTTATTTTCTTAGTTTAGTTTTTCTTTTTGTTTATTTTCTTAGTTTTAGTTTTTCTTTTTGTTTATTTTCTTATTTATTTTCTCCGCTTTTTATTTTAATTTTACATTTGTTTCTTGAAATGAAGTTTTTATTTTTTATTTATTTTTTTATTGGCAGAAAGTTATTTGCAGATTTATTAAATTTATTATGCTTTTCCCACAGGCGACTTTGCGGTTCTATTGAAAGCGGGAATGAGCGCAAAGCAAGCGGTATTCTACAATTTATTGTCATCTGTATTATGTCTCTTTGGAATGGTCTTTGGCGTTTTATTGGGCGCAACGCCGGCAGCGAGCAGTTGGGTTTTCGCCGCAGCCGCCGGAATGTTTATTTATATCGCCCTAGTCGATATGGTTTGTCACCTCAATTTTTACCTCTATTTTTTCTACTAATTTTTTCATATTTTATTCCTTTTTTATTTAATTTTTCTAGTTTTAAGTCAATTTTTTATTCATTTTTAATTCCTTTTCTTCATTTCTTTTTAATTTTTAAGTTTTAATTCAATTTTGTATTTTTTTATTCAATTTTTCCAATTTATAATTCAATTTTTTCAATTTTTTCAGTTTTAATTCAATTTTGTATTATTTATTCAATTTTTCCAATTTTTAACTAAATTCTTTCATATTTTATTCCTTTTTATTAAATTTTTACAGTTTCAAGTCAATTTCTTATTTTATATTCAATTTTTCCATTATTAATTTAATATTTTGTATTTTTATTTTGTATTTTTTAAAATTATTATTTTCAAATTTTTTTCTAAATACTTTACGAGAATTCAATGATTTTCAGTAAATTAATTAAAAAATTTTAAACATTTAAAAAGTTAGGAAACAAATATTCAAACAGAAACAAACTTGAAAAAACTAGAAAATTATATATCTTAAATAAATGAATAAATAAAATTTGTACTAATTTAGATTAATTAATTTATTATTTAAAAAAAGACTAATTGATTAATTGATATATTCTCGTCTTTTTTCACAATCTAGATTCCGGAATTGTCGTCGAGTCACTCGGAGGAGGGCGGCTCACATTGGCACTGCATTCTACAGGCCCTGGGACTTTTAACTGGACTTGGAATAATGCTCGTCATTGCACTATACGAGCACGACCTCAAAACAATTTTTAACGAAGAATCATAAATTCTTTTTTTCTTCTCTCTCTTCTTTTTTTTTCTTTTTTCTCTCTCTCAAAAAAAAGAAAAAGAATTTTCATTTTGCACACATTTTTTCAGTGAGTAGAAACAAAAAACAAGCACATTCACACACACACACACAATTTTACAACTGAAAACGAATCAATTTCAATATTTAGAATTTAGAAAACGATTTTTCAGAATTTTCTACAATTGGACTTCGAAAAAGGGAGAAAATCACTTTTTTCATTTTTTTTCTCTTGGGAACGAAAAAAATCACTTCTTCAATTTTTTTTTCTCTTGAGAAATAAAAAAAAGTCGCTTTTTCATTCTTTTTCTTTTAGAAATAAAAAAATTGCTTTTTTTCTTAATCATTTAAAAATTTTTTTTCTTTCAGAAATGAAAAAAGTCGCTTTTTCTATTTTTTCTATAAAGAAAAAAAAGAGCGACTTTTCTTTACTTTAGAAATAAATATTTTTTCCTTTGGCAATAAAAAGTCGTTTTTTTTTTATTTTTTTCTGTTAGAAATAAATTTTTTGTGCTTTTGGAAATAAAAAAAAGTAACTTTTTCATTTTCTTTTAGAAATAAATCGTTTTTTTTTCTTCTCTTTATTCGAACCACGTTTTCCTCGTGTAGATAATTCTTTTACTTCTTTCGAAGACAGAATCTCTCTCTTTTTCCTTTTTTTCGAATTTTCTCCTTTGAAATAAATTTTAGAAGCTAAGAATTTTTTTCCAAAATTCATATTTCGAATAAATGAGTTTTTTTACGTTTTTATTTTGAAAAAAATCATTTTTCACTTTAATTATGAATTTAAGAAAATAATTTTTAGTAGAAAATTTAGAAGAAGAGGAAAAATTGCCAAAAAGAATATTTTTTATACAGAAAGTTTTAAGAAGAAATTTTGTTCATTTTTTTTCAGTTTCTTTTTAGATTTTTCATTTTTCTTTTAGTTTTTTCAGTTTTTTTTTTAGATTTTTTAAGTTTTTTTTATTTTTTTTGTTAATAGTTTTTTTTAGTTTTCCTGGTTTTCTTTTCAGCTTTTTCTTCTTTTTATTATTTTCAGTAAAAAAAGAATTCTATTTTTGTACATAAAAAACAAAAATCGTACTTAAAAATATTGTTAACGAATTTCTTTGCTTTTTCTGAAAGGAAAAAAAAATGTCGAGTGAAATTTTCTCAAGAGAAAATTATGAATGAAAGTTTCATCACAAAAACATTTTCGAAATAAGAATTTCTGCCTTTTTTTGTAGTTTAAAGATATAAAAATTTTTTTGTTTTTTTTTTGCTTGTAAAAAATTAGAATTTTACCCATTTTTTTTTTTTTATTAATTACTAATTATTAATTATTAATGTAAATAGACAAACTAATTAGAACGTAATTATTCATTAAGAAAAAAAGTAGATTAAAGATTTTTCGCAACAATTGAAAATCATTTCTGATTTTTTTTTTCAAGAAAACGAGATTTTTTTCTAAAGAAATCGAAAACGATTTTTTTCTAAAGAAATTGGAAATGATTTTTTCAAAAAAGAAATCGGAGATGATTTTTCGTTTTAAAAATAAGAAACTAATGGGTTTTTTAAAAACTCTACGTAGTGATATTAATACTTAATAAAAACAAAAAGAAAAAGAGTTTTTTTTTACTTCTAAAAATTTGTTTTCGAATTTAAACTAATTGTTATTGTCAACTATCGGAAAAAAATTCTTTTTAGTGTAAAAATTGAATCCAAAAGTTTTTTTTTTGCTTTAGATTCGTAAATTTTTGTTTTGAATTAAAAGTTCGAATTAATTAAAAACGTTAAAAGTCAAAATTCGAAAAAGGAGTTTTTAGAACAAAAATTAAAAACTTTTTTCCTGTAAAGATTCTTAAAAAAATTTCTTTACGAATTAAAACTAAAAACTTTTTTCCTGATCAAGATTCGAGTTTAGAAAAAAAATACACACACAAACACACAAAAATCTACTGTAAATATAAATAAATATATATATGTTTTTTATAAAAAAAAAAAAAAATAGAGAAGAAAGTTTTCTATCATGAAAAACTTTACAAATGACACATTCATTATTATCGAAAAACAAAAAAAAAAATTTGCATTTTGTCTCGTTAAGATTTTTCTACACACACATAAAAAAAATTATATTTATAATAAATTTTCTTTCTTTTTCTTGTTTTTTAATCGAATTCTAGAGTAAAAATAATTTTTTTAAAAAGAAAAGAACATTTTTTCATTTAAAGAGCAAAGACTGGTTGATTAATATTAATTGTCAATTATAATTAATTGCATTAATTATAATTATAATTAATTGAAGTATTTTTTGTAAAATATTTTTTTAAAAATATTTTTTTAAAAAAGAAAACACGAAGATTCAATATTGAGAAATAAGAGATAAATTTTTTTTTTTTTTGAAAATAAATTGTTTTTTGTAAAGTAGAAAAAAAAGGAAACAAAGGGAATTTATTTTTAAATGTTATTTTGAAACTGAAAAATGTCGAAAATATTTTTTTTTCTCTTTGTTTCGATAATTTTGGGATTTTTTCGATTTTTTATTTTTTAATTTCTTTTTTCGAATTTATTTTTAATTTCTTTTTGCGAATTTATTTTTAATTTCTTTTTTGCGAATTTATTTTTAATATCTTTCTCGATTATTTATTTTTAGTTTCTTTTCTCAATTTTTCTTTTCCCGATTTTTTACGATTGAATTTCTTTTTGATTCTTTATTTAAAAAATTTTTTTTTGTTTTCTTTTGGAATTGAAAACCATTCGTAACGAATTTGAATTTAAAGTTCGTTTCTTTTTCAATTTTCTGGTTTTTTTCCCCCTTTTTGTATTGAATATTAAAAATATTGAATTTAAAAAAATATAAATATGATCGAAAAAAAACGATTAAAAAAAAGAGAAATAGTTTAAATTCTAAAAAAATTGAGAAATAATTTAAATTCTAAAAAAAAATTGAGAAAAATAAATTTTTAAAAAGAGAAATGGATTTTTAGAGAAATTTTGAAAAAAGAAATTTAACATAAATAGAAAAAAAATCGAATTGAAAATTAAGAAAAAAATCGAAAAATCGAAAAAAAGAAATTAAGAAAAAAAATCGAATTTTCAAAAAAATGACAAATTTAGAAAAAGAAAAAAAACATCCGTAAAAGTCAGAATTTTTCTAGAAATAAGAAAAAGGAAGTAGAAAAAAAATCGCGTAGCTCTCTAAAAAAAAAAAAATAAAAACAGAAAAAGACGAAAAATTGGAAAACTTTCCTTTTTTTCCATTAATTTTTCTTTCGTGGCCTAATTTGATGCTTAATTTAGAATTTTACTGTAAATATTTAATTACTTAATTAAATTAAATATAATTAATTAGAAAAAAGCGGTGGTTGTATAGAAAGTAGATAAAAAAAATTTTTTCCAATTCTTATTTTCAAATTCATTCCGCGAACGAGTTGCATTTTTTTTTAAATTTTTCTTTTTGCTTTTTTTCTCAGGTTTTCGGGGGGAAAAGTTTCTTTTTTTCAGTTACAAAAAAAAAAAAATACGTAAAAAAGAAGGGCGAAGGAAAAAAATTTTCTTCATTGTAAATATCAGTGAAAATTTTTGGTTATTTTTCATCTTTTTTTTTTTAAATGATAAATATTTTGTACTTAAAAAAAAGAACAAAAAAAAGAAAACAATTCAACTTTTACTAGATTGTAATTTTTGCACACGTCAAGAAAAAAAAAGAAAGAAAATGAAAAACAAAATTGAGGAGAAATGGAAATTTTAAAAGAAAAGAAAAGATCAAAATGGATCAAAAAAAAGAAGAAGCAAAAAAAAATTAAGGAACAAAAATGAAGAAACAAAAAAAATACAGAAGCCAAAAAAAATAAAGGAACAAAATTGAAGAACCAAAAAAAAATACAGAAGTAAAAAAAAATAAAAAAGAAAAAAAAATTAAGAAACGAAAAAAATTGGAGAAAGAAAAAAATTTTCGTATTTGAAAAAGAAAAAAAAAATTTCTCTTCAATTTTCTTTTTTATTCTTTTTCATTTTCTCTAAATCCTCTCGTCAATAAATAAATTTCATAAATTTCATAAATTTTAACTTGTACTTACTTCGATAATGAAAATGTAAGAAAATTATTAATTATATATATATATAGAAAAAAAAAATGAAAGAAACTGAGAAATTTTTTCTACACAAAAATGACAAATTTTTTTGTCATTGCCTTTATTTTTTAATTAATCTCTAAAAAGCTTTGAAAAAAAATTGAATAAAAAGAAAAAGGAATTGTGTTTAACAAACTAATATTTTTTCACAATAAATATCATGTCTCAAGTAAGAAACAAACAAAAGAAAATTACTAACAAATTATATTATAATAATTATGAAATCGACGGATGAAGAAAGGAGAAAAAAATTACATATGAGAAATTTTGTTTCCATGCAAATTGTCATTTATTTGTTTAAAATGTAAAAAAAATTGTTTTTTCAATTAAAAGTGTATTTTTTTTTAGTCGAGAAATTTGTTCAAGAGTGAAAGAAATTATTTTTTTTGTAAAGAAAATTAATTTTTAGTAATAAAATTTCGTATTTAATAAATAAATTTCATTTATAATTAAAGAAATTTGTTTTTTTGGAAAGAAAATTTATTTTTAATAAAGAAATTTAATTTTTAATGAAGAAATTAGTTTTTTACTAAAAAAATTTATTTTTAGTGAAGAAATTAGTTTTTTACTAAAAAATATGTATTTTTTAGTAAAGAAATTATGAATTTACTGAAAAATGTATTTTTTAGTAGAAAAAAATATTTTTGGCAAAGAAATCAGTTTTTTTTACTAAAAAAAAAATGTATTTTTTAAAGAAAAGAAAATTTTTTGCTAAAGGAATTTAATTTTGAGTAAAAAAAATTAATTTTTCCAAAAGAAATTATTTTTTACTAAAATAAATGTATTTTCTGGTAAAAGAAAATACTTTGCTAAAAAAATTTGTTTTTTTTTACTAAAGAAATTTTAATTATTAGTAAAAAAATTAGCTTTTTACTAAAAAATTTATATTCTTTAAAAATGAAAACTTTTTTTGAAACCTAATAAAAGAAATAAATTTTTTACTAAAAAAAATGATTTGTTGGTAACAAAAATTAATTTTTAGTAATAAAATTAGTTTCTTAGTAAAAATAAAGAAAAATTATTCTTTTTGAATGAAAAAATTAGTTTTTAGTTAAGAAATTATTCTTTTTTTCTTCAAAAAATTTAGGTTTTAGAAAAGGAAATTACTTTTTAGTAAAGAAATTATTTTTTTACACGAAAAATAAATATATTAAAAATGAATTAATTTAATTAATTAAGTTTCGCAACTTAATTTTACTAACTGAGTGAATTTAGTTTCTTTACTAAAAAAGAATTTATTTTGTTTCCTAAAAAAATTTATTTTTATTCCTAAATTAATTTCGATTTTTTACTAAATTAGTTAATTTTCTTTACTAAAAAAATTTATTTTGTTTCCTAAATGAATTTAGTTTCTTTACTAAATTAATAATTACATTCCTTTACTAAATTAATTTTGTTTATTTACTAAAAGAATTTATTTTTTTTACTAAGAAAATTTATTTAGTTCCTTTAAAAAATTTATTTAGTTTCTTTACTAAATTATTTTAGTTTTTTACTAAGAAAATTTTTTTTTATTCCTTAATTAATTTCGTTTGTTTACTAAATTAATTAATTTTCTTTACTAAATTTATTCAGTTTCTATAAAAAATTTATTTAGATTCTTTACAAAATTAATTTAGTTTCTGCACTAAAAGAATTAATTTTTTTTTAAATTTAGTTTTTTTACTAAATTAATTTAATTTCTTTTCTAAATTAATTTATTTTCTTTACTAAATAAATTTAGATTCTTCACTGAATTATTTTACTTTGTTTTTTATTAAATTGATTTACTTTTTCTCTTTTCATAATAATAATTTTCTTCTACCACAAAAAAATTTCTGTTCTTTATTCCAAAAAAAAGAAGTTTTAGAAAAATAAGAATGAAAACAAAGGTATAAATTTTTCTTCATTGTAATTATTTTTTTCTCATCTTTCGAAAGGCGAATTCAAAAAAAAAAAAAAAAAAAATGAGAACGTACTGTATTTTTGCTGGGTGCTAATTAAATGTACGACATATTTATATATATATATTGTAGATTAGCTTCGTCAGCAGTATTCTTCGATGAGCGCATCAGAGTGTTTGTAAAATGTTTTTTCGCATTGTTTGCATAAGCATATACATTATTATATATATATAGAGAAAGAATTGCGTGTTGTGTAACGAGTACTTATTTCTTAAAAAAAAATAAATTAATTCAAATAAAATAAATAAATAAGAAACAAAAAAATACAAAAAGGATCACAGACTGCCCATTAATGGTTTAATAACAACAGCGAAAAGGAAAATAAACGATTAATTGAGAATAAATCATTTTCCTTCTCATTTCTTTTTTTTTTAACTATTTTTATTCCATTTTATTGAAAATTATTTTTTTTATTCCATTTTTTATATTTCTTTTGTTTTTTTATTAATTTTATTACAATTTTTTTATATTATTTTTCTCTTTTTATTCCATTTGGTTTTTTCTTTTTATTACTCATTTTTTTAAATTTGTTTCTTTCCTTTATTATATTTTTTAATTTAGTTGGTTTCTCATTTTATTAACATTTTTTTTATTTTGTTTCTTTCTTTTTATTCCATTTTTTATTTGTTTTGGTTTTTCTTTTTATTAACAGTTTTTTTATTTTGTTTTTTATTTTTATTCCATTTTTTCTTATTTCTTTCGTTTTCTTCTTTTTATTCTACTTTTTTAATTTTCCTTTATCTTCTTTTTATTCAAATTTTCTTATTTTTATTCTTTTTTTTTAAATTTTTTCTTTATTTTCTTCTGTTTATTCCTTTTATTTTTTTTCTTCAATTTTACTTCCTCATAGAGGAAGTATTTTTTTCTATTTCTTTCGGTTTCTTCTTTTATTCTCGTTTTTTATTTTTCCTTCATTTTCTTATTTTTATTCTATTTTTTTATTTTTCCTTTATTTTCTTTCTTGTATTCCTGTTTCTTTTTTACTTTTTTCTTTATTTTTTCTTTTTATTCCTTTTCTTTTTTTTCTTTATTTTTTCTTTTTATTCCTTTTCTTTTTTTTCTTCAATTTTTTCTATTTTCTTTCGTTTTCTTCTTTTTATTCTAGATTTTTATTTTTCCTTCATCTTCTTCTTTTTATTTTTTTTACTTTTTTCTTTATTTTCTTCTTTTTATTCCAGTTTTTTTAACTTTTTTCTTTATTTTCTCCTTTATCTTTCCTTTTCTTATTTTTATTCTATTTTTTATTTTTTTTTATTTTCTTCTTTTCATTCCAGTTTTTTTGACTTTTTTTTTCTTTATTTTCTTCTTTTTATTCCAGTTTTTTTTAACTTTTTTTCTTTATTTTCTCCTTTTGTTTTCTTTTTTTTAATTCAATTTTTTCTATTTCTTTCCTTTTCTTATTTTTATTCTATTTTTTATTTTTCCTTCATTTTCTTCTTTTTATTCCAGTTTCTTGACTTTTTTTTATTTTCTTCTTTTTATTACAATTTTTTTTATTTCTTTTCTTCTCTTTTCTTCTTTATATTCGATGTTTTTCTATTTTTTTCGTTTTCTTCCGTTTATTCTATTTTTCATTTTTCCTTTATTTTCTACTTTGTTTCCAATTTTTTTATGACGTTTTTTTTATTTTCTTCTTTTTATTCCCAATTTTTCTTATTTCTCTTGTTTTCTTCTTTATATTCAATGTTTTTTCTATTTCTTTCGTTTTCCTCCTTTTATTCTATTTTATTCATTTTTCCTAATTATTTTCTTCTTTTTATTCCAATTCTTAAAAAAAATTATTAAAATTATTAAATAATTAGGTAAAAATTATTATTGTTTTCTCTTTGAAATAAATATTTCTACAAAATTTCTTCTTCCTTTTTTTTTATTGGCTAATAATTTATTTACAATTATTTCTTTTAAAAAGACTTAAAAAGAAAAAGGGAAAAAAATACCTAAAAATTATTATTTACAAAAGTTTTAATAAAACTTATAAGAGAAAAGAAAAAAAAACTATTTAAAAATAAAAAAAAAGTACTTGAACTTTGAATTTTTGTTTTTCTTTGAACTCTCTATAAAATAATAATTATAATTTTTTCTAATTACATAAATAATAACACTTTTTATTAATTTTAGAAAAAGTATTTTCGTTATTTATATTAATTGTAATATTATTGTTAATTATATTAGAGAATTATTATTATTTACATTAATTATTATTGAAAAAATGATAACAAATAAGAATAATAATAAGTTAAAAAAAATAAGAATAAAAAGAAAAAATAATAAAAGGCTCAAAAAAGAGTAAAAATCAAAGAAAAATAATAAAACGAAAACGAAAAAATGATAAAAATTAAAAACAAGAAATAATAATTTTAATAATTGCAAAATTGCAAAATTGAAATTGAATTCTTTTAATAGCGATATTTATTTTTGTAATTAAACAAATAGAATTTAAACAAAAATAAACGAGAATTAATAACAAAAATCCAATTAAATAATGAACGTTCATTAAAAGTCGATTAATCGGAAAGAAATTTTTCGAAAAAAAAGAATTAAAAAAATAGAATTGAAAAAAATAAGAGAAAGAATTTTTAAAAAAAAATTAGAGAAAGAATTGAAAAAAATGGTAAAAAGAGAAGAAAAAAGAAAATAAATAAATTCAAAGAAAATTTGAAAATTAAAAAAAAAGGATTCTAATTCGATAGCTGAATGTCCTTAAGCAAATCACTGGAGTGTGGAGTGATGCTGTACGTTGTTTCAGTGCTCGCTTCACTGTTTGCACCATCGTTGTGAATATTATTCAACGCCGATGTTGTTTCATTTAATTCGCGCATAATTCCAGCCATATCGTCGTCGGGATCGAACTCCTGACGCGCCTCGACAATCACATCATTCTCCAACGCTTGACACTCCATTGTCATTGGAATCTCCTCATTTGTTGGCGTTTTCTCCTCAAACTGCAAATCGAACATGAAACAAACAAAAAAAAGGAAGTTTACTTTTTGTGTAAAATCGTTTTTTTTCAAAATTTACTTATTAAATACACAATTAATTATTATTGTTTATATTTTCAAAAAATTTTAATATATAATTTTTCGGAAGAATCCAATTATTTCCAACAAAATTTTCATTCAATTTCACATAAGAATTCCATTATTATCTAAAATTTGAATAAATCCTTCGAAACAGTTCAATTATTTTTTTAAATAGTAAAATTCTTTGCAAAAATTTAATTAATTTAAAAAAAAAATTTCATGAAAAAATTGAATTTAAAAAAAAAATGTTAATATTTTTGGAAAAAATTCAATTCTTTTCAGCAATCAGAAAATTCGTCACAAGAATTCAATTATTTTCTACTAAATTTTGATAAAATACTGCTCAAGAATTTAATTATTTTCATAAAAAAAAAAATTTTGTCACAAGAATTCAATTATTTTCTTCAATTTTAAGAAAATTCTCTACAAAAAAATTTAATTATTTTCAATTTTAAGAGAATTCTCTACAAAAATTAAATTATTTTCTTCAATTTTAAGAAAATTCTCTACAAAAATTAAATTATTTTCAATTTTAAGAGAATTCTCTAGAAAAATTCAATTATTTTCTTCAATTTTAAGAAAATTCTCTACAAAAATTTAATTATTTTCAATTTTAAGAGAATTCTCTACAAAATTAAATTATTTTCTTCAATTTTAAGAAAATTCTCTACAAAAATTAAATTATTTTCTTCAATTTTGAGAAAAATCTCTAAAAAAAATTCAATTATTTTCTTAAAAAATAAAATTTGACACAAAAATTGTGTCTCAAGAATTCAATTATTTTCATAAAGAAAATGTATCACAAGAAGTCAATTATTTTCTTCAATTTTGAGAAAAATCTTTACAAAAATTCAATTATTTTCTAAAAATCTGAAATTTGATACAAGAATTGAATTATTTAAAAAAAAATTTAATAAAATTCGTCGCAGAAATTCAAATATTTTTCAAAGTTTTATTAAGATTTTTTAAAAACAAAATTCAATCTCTTCTTTCTTCACATTTCTAGAAAAATTATTTTCATAAATAATTAAAATCTTTTTAAGAATTCAATTATTTTCAATAGAATTCAATCTAAAAAAAATTCGAAATATTTTTTTGTTATAAGAATTTTATTATTTTCTTAAAAAATTAAATTCTTCTATTAAATTATTTTTTTAAAAAACTACATTCTTTTAAAGAAAAACTCGAAGATATTCTTCAGAAGAATTTAATTATTTGAAAAAAAACTCTAATAAAATTATTTAAAAGAGTTTTTTATTCTATCAATTTAATTATGTTCTATATTTTAATAAAATTCCTTGAATGAATTTAATTATTTTAGAAAATTGTAATGAAATTCTGAGAAGAATTTAATTATTTTTTTCAGAAATTTTAATTAAAAATCAATGATCAAATGTTTAATTTCAATTATTAAGAATTAAGAAACACGATTATTTAAAATTTTATTAAAATTATTTTGAATGTAATTAAATTTTTTCCTTAAAATTACATTGAAAATAATTGAATTCCTCCGAATAATTTTATTATTTATGAAAATAATTGAATTCCTTTGTAAAATTTTCTTATTTACGAAAATAATTGAATTTTTTGAAGGAATTTTATTAAAAATTTTGAAAATAATGATTCTTTTAAAAGAATTTCATGAAAATTGTTGAAAATAATTAATTTTATATTAAAATTCTTGAAAATCATGAAATTAAAATTAATTAATTAAAATTGTATTGAAAATAATTGTATTGCTCTAAAGAATTTTCTTATTTTATTAATTTGCTGGTAATTAATTTAAATGAAAAGAAGAAAATAAAAATAAAAACAAATACAAGATATTCAAATTAGAAGAAAAATTAATTTAAATACTAAAATAATATGAAAACTTTTTGTGAAATTTAGAAAAAAAGAAAGGAGAAACTATAATTATATAAAAGTCTCATTTACCCTCATTGGCTCCAATTTACACTGCAGCGGTAAATTCATGTGAAAAACACAATTTGAATCGAAAATAACTGGCACTGGCTCGTGGCATTCAATATCTGCCATTGACGCTCCGCAGGCCTTGAACAAAACCTGATTGTGATCCTGAAAAAAGGGAAAAACAAAATATATTTTAACAAAAAGCTTTTTAAAAACTTTATGAATGAAAAGAAAAAGAGAAAAATATATAAAATTGAAAATAATGAAAATAATGAAAAATAATGAAATTATTAGGTACGAAAAAAATTTCTCTTTTAAAAGAATTCTCTATTTAAAGAACACAGAAACTAAAAAACGACTCTTAAAAATACAGAACAATGAAAATACAATTAGAAATTCTAAAATACGCTTTTTTAAAAATACATAACAAAATAAAAAAAGTAATAAGTAAAAAAGTTTCTTTAAAAATTAATAACAAAAAATAGTTAAATATTTAATAGAACTTCAATATTTTTGTAGAATTTTTCCAAAAAATTATGTATTTAAGAAACAAAATGTTTTTTCCCTCTTTTTTCTTCTTGAACAAAAAACTTACGCTTAATATATGCTTTCGACAATGTTTCGCTGAGGGAAGTGTTCTTTCACCGCATTTAACTCCTCCTTCAGTGAAAATACACTTTGGAATGCTCGGCGGTTTTTGCGATTGTCCCTCCGTTGCCTGGGAATTTCAAAAAAATATATACAATTAATTTCAATTTCTTTTTTTCCAGAAAATAAATTTCCAATTTAATTTTTAATTTTTTCACTTCGGAAGATCGATTTGAATTTATTAATTTCAATTTTTTTTATATTGAATTTAATTGAACAATGAATTTATCAAGAAGAAAAATTTCTAAAGAAGAGAAAATAATAATTTTGCGAATCGAAAAGAATATTTAAAAAACCTGAACTCGTCGTTCGACGGATTTCCGATAAAGAATTGCCTCGAATCCACTTCGTCTGTGATAACGATTCAACGCCTTTAATTTGTCGTAGATCTTCTTTTCCTTTCCGCTTTCCTTCGGTTGATTATGAATACTGCCTGCAATTTCAATTATTAATTATTAATTATTAATTTACAAAATTGTTTTTTTTTCTTATTTATCTATTTTTCTTCAATTCGAAAAATAATTACAAAAATAGAAATTAATTTTTATTGTAATTAAAAAATTTACAAAACGGAAATTAATTTTTATCGTAATTACAAAAAAGAAATTAATTTTTATTTTAATTACAAAATAGAAATTAACTTTTATTGTAATTACAAAAATTACAGAATAGAAATTATTTTTTATTGTCATAATTGTAATAATTTACAGAATAGAAATTAATTTTCATTACAATTATAATTTGCAAAAACAAAAAAAAAGAAAATTTGTATTTTTAATATTAAAAGAAAGAAAAAAAAATTGTATTTTTAATATTAAAAGAAAGAAAAAAGAAAAAAGGAAAAAGAAAAGAAAACTTACACAGAGTTTCCTTCTCCTTCTTCAATGCGTGAAGATACTTTCGCCTCTTCTCCCTCAATGTGTATTGCAAACGGCGAAATTGATCAATGTACAGTGACTGTAATCGAATGAGTTTCTCACGGGCGATGTAAATCACCTCCTCGGCAGTGAAGATTCCGGCGTGCCTTAAAAAATTAATACTAATGATTCAATAGATAGACAGTGTCTTCTTCGTGCCAAAAAAGCAACTAAAAGAGAAGATAAATAGTCGACAGTCAGACCTACGGAACCAAAATATCAACGATAGAAAAATAAATTACAATCTCAATCGATTACAAAAAAGGAAGGCGAAAAATAAAAAAAAAATATAAAAAAAATTATTTCAATAAAATAAAAAACTCAACAAAAAATAATACTCAACAAAAATAAAAAAAACTATTCAATATCTTTGTACAGAAATATTAGAAAAAAAAATTTTCTAATTAAATAAAAAACAATGTAATAAAAATAAATTCTACAAAAAAAGAATACAGAAAGTAAAAATTAAAATAAAAATAAAATAAAAAAAAAGAATAAAAATAGAAAAATAGAAAAAAGAATAAAAATATAAGAAGAAATTAAAAAAAAGAATAAAATAGAATAAAGAAAAAAAAGTTTAAAAAAAGAATAAAATAGAATAAAGAAGAAAAAGTTAAAAAAAAGAGAAAAATAAAAATTAAAGAAAAAATAGAAAGAGAAGAAAAAATTAAAACAGAGAAAATAAAAAGAGAAAAGTAAAAGTTAAAAACAGTGTGGAAGAAAAAGTTAAAAAAAATAAAAAAAATAATAAAAATAGAAAATCATAAAAAAAGAATAAAATAGAATAAAGAAGAAAAAGTTAAAAAAAGGGAAAAATAAAAATTAAAGGAAAAAATAGAAAGAGAAGAATAAATTAAAACAGAGAAAATAAAAAGAGAAAAAAAGTTAAAAACAAAGAAGAAGAAAATTAAAAAGAAATGAAAAAAGTTTGAAAAAGGGAAAAATAAGAAATTAAGAAAATATAAAAAGACAAGAAATAAAAATTTAAGAAAGAATAGAAAAAGAAGAAAAAAATTGAAATAGAAATAAAAAAGAAAGAAAAGTTAAAAAAAAAGAATAAAAATTAATATTTTTCTGAAAATTAGCTGAAAATTAAAAAGAAATGAAAAAAGTTTGAAAAGAGAAAAAAATAAGAAATGACGAAAATATAAAAAGATAGGAAATAAAAATTTAAGAAAGAATAGAAAAAGAAGAAAAAAATTGAAACAGAGAAAATAAAGAAAAAAACAGTTAAAAACAAAGAAGAAGAAAATTAAAACCAAAAAAATTGAAAAGAAATGACAAAATTTTGAAAGGGGGAAAAAAATAGGAAATTATGAAAATATAAAAAGATAAGAAATAAAAATTTAAGAAAAAATAGAAAAAGAAGAAAAAAAATTGAAACAGAAATAAAAAAGAAAGAAAAGTTTTAAAAAAAGAGAATAATATTAAAACAGAAAAAAAAATGAAGTGAAAAAGTTTGAAAAGGGGAAAAAATAAGAAACGACGAATTTTTTAGTTGCTAAAAATATTTGAATTCTTGTGTCAAATTTTAGTTTTTAACGAAATATTCGAATTTTTGGAGAACCTAATTGAATTTTTGAGAAGAATTTTAATGTTTAAGAAAATAATTGAATTTTTTAGAAGAATTTTCTCCAAATTGATGAAAATAATTTAGTTCTTGTAAAAAATTTTTTTGTATGTAAATAATTGAATTTTTGTGGCAAATTTTAGTTTTTTAAAAAAATAATTGAATTTTTGTGAGAAATTTTCTTAAAATTAAAACTTTTTTAAATAATTGAATCACTGCGAAAATTTCGTTATTTGGGAAAATAATTGAATTTTATTAAAAGTTTTTTAAATAATTGAATTTTTCTGACAAAATTTTTTTTTACTAATATAATTGAATTCTTGTGTCAAATTTTAGTTTTTAAGGAAATATTTGCATTTTTTTTATTAATATAATTGAATTCTTGTGGCAAATTTTCAAGTTGCTGAAAGTAATTGAATTTTTAAAACAAATTTTATTTTTTTTTAAGAAAATTGAATTTTTGTGTCAAATTTGAGTTTTTAAGAAAATAATTGAATTTTTTTAGATACTTTTCTTCAAATTTTTTTAAATAATTGAATCCCTGCGAAAAAATTTATTATTTCTACAAATAATGGAATTTTTGCAAAATTTTAAAAATTCTTCCGAAGAATTTAAGAAAAATGTTTAAAAATAATTTAATTTTCCCTGAAATTCAATTAAAATTGTATTTAAATGAATTGAATTCCATCAAAAATTTCATTTTATTTATGAAAATAATTGAATTCTTGAATTGAATTTTATTAAAAGTCTTTTAAATAATTGAACCAAAAAAATTAAAAATAAATGAAAAAAGTTTGAAAAAGGGGAAAAATAAGAAATTAAGAAAATATAAAAAGATAAGAAATAAAAATTTAAGAAAGAATAGAAAAAAAAGAAAAAAATTGAAATAGAAAAAATAAAAAGAGAAAAAACAGTTTTTAAAAAAAGAGAAAAAAATAAAAAATTGATTAAAAAGATAGAAAAGGAGGAAAAATCCAAGAAAAGAATAAAAGAAGAAAAAAATAGAAAAGGAAGAAAAATACAAGAAAAGAACAAAAGAAAAATTCAAGAAAAGAATAAAAAATAGAAAAGGAAGAAAAATTCAAGAAAAGAATAAAAGAAGAAAAAAATATAAAAGGAACAAAAGTCCAAGAAAAGAATAAAAAAGGTAAAAAAAAGAAAAATTCAAGAAAAGAATAAAAAAAACTGAAAAAGAAAGAAAGTTTCAGAAAAAGAATAAAAAAACTAAAAATTAAGAAAAATACAAAAGAATAAAAAATAAAAGAAAAAACAAAACTAACTAAACTACGAGAAAAGAATTACTTTCTTCTAAATACGGAAACAATAGCGCAAGCTCAAAGCAGTTCTAGCGAATTAATTTCTTATCTACGGAAAAATATTATAAAATGCTCTGTTATCACAGAATTTCTTTTTTTGTCTCATTAAATATGTAGTGATTCGAGAGTGAGTGAGTGAGAGAGAAAAAGAAAAAAGAAAGAATTATTTTTGCGAATTCATTCTTTTGCTTTTTTTTTGTATTAAATCAGCAACGTACTTCAACGGATCCTCTTGAGGACTGTGAACACTTTCCGTGTCACTGTCGTCGAGAAATGTTCCACGTACTGTGTCGCTGACTGTCGCCGCTTCCACATCGCTGTCCGATGAACTCGCATAATCCAAAATATCGCTCACTTTTGCATTCACTTTTGATGCCTCGATTTCCGCTTTAAATAGGAGGAAGAGAGAGAGAGAGAGAGAGAAAAGAAAAAGAGAAACAAAACATTATTTTTAGGCAAAACTTTAAAACACAAATTTAAGAATTATTTTAATAATTAACTAATTAATTAAATTATTTACTTCTCTAGAGCAATTCAATTATTTTCAATACAATTTTAATCAAATTTCTCCAAAGAATACAATTATTTTTCAAAATATTAATTAAAATCGATTATTTTCAAGAATTTTAATATAAATTCAATTATTTTCAACAAATTTAATATAAATTCAATTATTTTCAACAAATTTAATATAAATTCAATTAATTTCAACAAATTTAGTATAAATTCAATTATTTTCAATGAATTTAATATAAATTCAATTATTTTCAACAATTTACATAAAATTCTTTTAAAAAAATCATTATTTCCAAATTTTTAATAAAATTCCTTTTTAAAAAATCCTCCACAAGAATTTAATTATTTTCGTAAAAAAGAAAATTCTTCGCATGAATTAAAATATTTTCGTATAAATAATAAAATTCTACAAAGGAATTCAATTATTTTTTCATAAAAAATAAAATCTTTCGGAGGAATTCTATTATTTTCAATACAATTTTAGTAAAATTTCTCTAAAGAATACAAAATTGAAGAAAATAATTTAGTTCTTGTAAAAAAAATTTTTTTTTTATGTAAATAATTGAATTTTTGTGACAAATTTTAGTCTTTAAGAAAATAATTGAATTTTTATAGATAATTTATTTTAAAACTTTTTTAAATAATTGAATCCCTGCGAAAAAATTTATTATTTCTACAAATAATTGGATTTTTGCAAAATTTTAAAAAGTAAGTGAATTTTTGAGAAGAATTTTATTAAAATAATTAAGTTCCTGAGAAAAATTTACTATTTATTGACATTATTGAATTTTTTCGAAAAATTAAAAAAAAAATGTTTTAAAAATAATTTAATTTTCCCTGGAATTCAATTAAAATTATTTTTAAAATAATTGAATTCCAACAAAAATTTCATTATTTATAAAAATAATTGAATTTTATTAAAAGTTTTTTAAATAATTGAACTCCTGTGAAAAATTCAATTATTTTTTAAAAAAATTGAATTTTATCTGAGAATTTGTACAAGATTTTTTTAAAATAACTGAAATTTTCGAGGAAATTAATTTAAATTGTATTTGAAAATAAGTGAAATCCTGATAAAAATTTTATTATTTATATAAAAATTATTCAACTTTTTACGAAGATTTTTATTATTTATAAATTGACTTTTTACAAATAATTTTATTACAATTATTGAAAATAATTGAATTCTTGATAAAATTCAATTACTTTCAAAATTTTCAGTAAAATTAATATAGAAGATTATACTCACTGAAGGGATCCAAAATATTTGTTTTGTCCGGTAAATTTTGCGAATCCTTTTCTGCTAAATTCGATGGTTTCACATAATGATTGAGATTTAGAAGCAGCATTTCTGGCGTTTGGGGCAAAGAATGCTTTGACGTTGATTTAATTCGAAGAAGTTGTGCTTTTCTCGTGTGTTCCGGACAATATCTACCGAAAAAAAAAATTCACTACAATTTCAACTAAATAAATAGATTATTATTTTCTTGACTTTTTTTTTCTTTTTCCTGTTTCTTTTTTTAAAGTAACTTACGAAGCTTCGCGACGATCCAATTTTGGCGCCGCATTCTGACATTTCCTTCCATTTGTATTGTAAACAAAATTACATTGTTTAAACGGTGCATTTGGATCCTCCAAAACGTGTTTCACACAAAATGTATAACCATCCAAACAAGGCTGATTGCATTCATACGAAAGATATAAACATTTCGTTTGTGTTTCCTTCAATTTTTTACCCTGATTCACAGGGCAAACTGTCGGCATTGCCGTTTTTGGCACACGAAACATTTCCAAAAAAAATTATTCACTCACTTTTTTTCCCTGGAAATTTTGTAAATTTTATTCCCTTTTAAATTTTATTAAAATTACAAAAAGAAAAAGAAAATTTTAAATTTCTGTTAGAAATTTTAAATTTTCCCGCGTTAATTATACAATGTCAATAGAAATCAAAACAAATGTTAAATATCAAAAGTTGGATTCTTAATCAAATTAGCGACAAAAAAATGTATTTTTTTGTCTAACGTAGAAAATATTTTCGAGAATTTGTTAAAATAATTGATATATATTTTTTTTTTTTACTTACCGAGGCTGATTTTCTAGATGATATTCTAAAGTTTCACCACGTTGTTGTTGTATTTATCACCTCTGTATACGTAACGAAAGGCAAAATTGCATAAATATATCACAATTTCATCAGTTTCACTATTGACTCACTTTTCAATCGTTATTAATATTCATAATTAAATAAACTCTTTTAATTAGCACACAAACTATTGATAATCACAAAGACATCAAATTTCACAAAGAATTTGACGCAGTGAGAAAAAAAAACACGAACATCTCTCACTTCCTGCTTCTTTGTTGCGCCATTTTTAATTTTTAGTTCCTTTCTCTTCTGCTCAGAGGGCGCTGCCTTCTATTTCTAGGAAATTAGTTTTCTATATATTTTCGAAATTCTTTAACGTTTTTAGCTTTAGTTTAGTTTTTAGTTAAAAACAGTTAACAACGTTTTGTAACGTTTGTAACGTCTTTGTAACTTTCTAACAAAAGAAAAACTCGCGTTGTTTCGAACACTTTCGAATTAGAGTTCAAATTGATTAAAAAGTTGTTTCTACTTTCAATATAAAAGGTGAGTATAATAATTACTTCATATTATTTTTTTAACTCTAGAAAAAACTGTCAAAATAGAGAGAAAATTTTTGCTTTAAATCCAAACCATCCAAACCACTTGTTTTTTTTTAATATTTCTTACTAATTTGACAGAATTTTTTTATTTTAATTATAAAACAAAAGCGAAAGAAACTGAAAATTAATTTCCATTCGAGGGGATATTTTTTATTTATTAAAAATCAAGAATAACTTTTATAATAAATATTTAGGAAATCAATCAAATGCAAATTCTCCGAAAAATTTTGAGGTTAGGTTCGTTTATTTCTTTTTTGCAAATAATTTCTTCGCTTCTAACAAAATTATTAATGAAAATATAAACAAAAGCACTTGGAAAATCAAATATTTTTCGCTATTTGTTTATAAAACTTTTTATTATAAATAAATAAATACATAAAATTACTTTAAAATACAACAAAAAAATAATAAAATATAGATTTTAAAATGAAAAAATAAAAAAATGGAGAAATAATAGAAAAATAAATAATACAAAAATAAAATATAAATAATAAAATAAAAATTAATAAATAAAAAATAATAAACAAAAAGTAAAATAAAAGAATATTTATAGAAAATAATTAATAAATAGTAAAAACAATAATAATATTTTCGTTTATATTAAAATAAAAATATAATAATAATAAATAATAAAAATAAAATATCCAGTTAATATAATAAATAATAAAAATAAAAAATAAATAATAAATAAATAATAAAAGTAAAAATTCACAATTAACAATAAATAATAATTTTTTTGGCCCAAAAACTTAAAAATTACTTTCCCAAAGAATAAAACCAGTGAATTTTTATTTTGAGTAAAAAAATGTTTATTTTCTAAATAAATAGACTTTTATAAATAATTATTTATAGAAATTAAGCAATAAATAATTAACTGTGAATACAAATATAACGAATTAAATACATACGAGATTAAAATATAATACTTTAAAATGCGTGTCGTTTTTTTAAATTAAAAATTTAACATTCATGTAAATAAAATTGTGTATTTACAATTCTTTTTTCTTCCATTAAACATCAATGTTTAAAAAATAAGAATCTTAAATGTTTCCTTCTCTTAAGAATTCAAAAATAATGTACATAATTTTATCCTATATTTTGATATCGATCCTAATTTACACTTTTTCTTTTTTTTTTGTGCTAAGTTTCTATATAATTTGAGAGAGACTTTACAATAGATTTTTATTCTTCGTCTTTTTTGTGCCAATATTTAACTAACAATTTTTTTTTAACCAAAGAAATTAATTCTTAATTTCCTTAGTCAAATTTTTAAAATTTTTTTTTATTTTTAGTTTTTTATTATGAGAATAAAATCATTATAAAATTATAAGAGATAATTATAATGGTACTGTATTTAGAATACAGTAGTGTATTATAATTATATTGTTATAATTTTAATAATGATGAATATTAAAATTAGTAGGAGGGAATTTTTGAGAGATATTTTCGTATATATAATATTAATTCTACTACTTGGTCGCTTCGTGAGGAAGGACAACTCGTTTCGTTAAACCTTGTGTATCAATTAAATTGACATCATCTTCATCGATACATTGCCCATCATTATTACCCTCGATTGTCTTTTGTTTTATTCTCAATGATTCGTTTACGAAATTACAAACTGTATTTACATAAACGTCACGATATGTCGTGAAATGTTTAACGTGAGGGGAATCAGTAAAAAGAACCATTTCAACTTTAACACCACGTTCGGCTCGACGAGTCGCAAATTTTTCCACGTCCTTAAAGACAAATTTTTTTCATTTATTTTTTTTTTTTAATAAAATAAGAAATAATAGATATTAATAGATATTTACCGCTGATGATATTAGAGTGTCTGTGTTGGAATAGAGGAACAATTGAGGACATGAATAAGGCTCTTCGGCCAATGATGCTAGACTTGCCATCATTTTTCCCTTTCTTAATGACGACTGAATGAAAATCTAGAAACAAATAAATAAAAAAGTTTATATTTCATTTTATTTTTTATAAAATCCAGTTTGACTTACTTCGACAATCCAAATAACAGAGAGAAAGAATGTAATGACAAATGACATCGGAATATTTGTCAGCGGATGTCCACCAATTATTGCGCTAATTGCTCTATATAATGATAGAACTCTTCTCTCTCCTGGAGCACTATCGAAAATTACTCCTTTAACCTTGAAACAAAAATTATTAATCTTAGAATACTTCGTTTTAATTGTTTACAAAAATAATAATTCTCTAAATTTTTATTTTACAGGTGAAAGAAGAGAACGTGAAAAAGTTTTCTTATTATTCGGATAACTTCATATTCCACAAAAGAAAATTTTGGGTGAAATTAAAAAAAAAATTCACCTGTAATTAAAAATTACGGGTAAAAGAAGACAACGTGAAAAAGCTTTCTTATTATTCGGATAACTTCATATTCCACAAAAGAAAATTAAGGGTGAAATTAAAAAAAAAAATTCACCTGTAATTAAAAATTACGGGTGAAAGAAGACAACGTGAAAAAATATCCTTATTATTCGGATAACTTCATATTCCGCACAAAAGAAAATTAATCAGTCACAAATTCCTTATAAAAAAATCCAATTTATTTCAAAAATTAATACCTGAAATGGCGATCCGGCTTGTTGCATTGCAACACTTACGTATTCATAAAGGAACGCACCACCATTACTAAAAATATGAAAAAATATTGGATGTTCACCCAAACTTTTATCAAGTAATACTTGAACTAAACGTTTTCCTATATATGGCATTTTATCTCTTCTTAAAAATAGACAATCCACTGGTGCTGTGTATCGTAATGTAATACAACTGTCGAAATAACGAAAACAATTATGAAAAATGTTTTTCTTATTTTTTAAAAAAAAATAATATTCATACCTTTTTTCTTCATAAATTGCACTATATTTGGCAAGATATTTATCTTGACAACCGGCCCAGCCGAGGAGAACGACCACCGGTCGTTTGTCTTCTTCATAAACGAAAACAAAATCATCCCTGCGGTCTTGATTGTCCGTTGCGGAAGTGATGGTTGGATCTTTCGGTGAAACAGGAAACGAGGGAAACATTATATAATAATCCAACTCTTCCTGGTCGGTCATCCTCGTCTGGGCCTTTAAATAAAATTATCTCAAGATAAAAAGCACCAAAGAGAATTTAGTTCCACTTTCTTTCTTTTTTTTTATTTACTATCACACACCAGGATAAGAGATACTGATTCTAAAAAAAAAACCTCTGGCGTCGATGTGCTGGCCAACTTTGGAAAAGCCAGGATCGATAAAACGACATCAGCAAGACTGCTGCGTCGACACTCGGACGATCTCGGCAAATATTCATATTATAAACCAAACCCCGGGCAAATAATTCAAAAAAAATTTGCAAATATTAAAATATATTTTGATTTTTTTGATATTTTAAAAATACGTTTCAATAAGTTTTTTTTTAACTTTTCTGTTAATTTCTTATTTGTGATATCAGTATTCAGGGAAAATTTTTCTTAATATTCGGATAACTTCATACTTCAAAGAGCAAATTAATTGCAAAGGAACTCCTATAATAGGTCAACTCAATGAATTTTTTGAATTATGCTTCTCTTATGCGAAAAATAGAACAAAAGTATTTATTATAAAAAGAATCAGTTAATAGTAACACAATTGAAAGAAATAATTATAAATAATTCGGAAGTAAAAACATTGCCTTAAAATAATCGTAATCTTAAAATTATATTAATAATAATGATAATAATAATAATGATAATAATATCAATAATAATGATAATAATATCAATAATAATAATAATAATATAGTATATGATTAAAAATAATAATAGCAACAATAATTGTAATAGTAATAAAATAATAAAAATAAAAATGTCAACTTATAAGTGAAAGGTACTTTAAACATTTAATTGCGCTAAAACGATAATAATGCTTAACCTTCGTGTTCTACATTGTTAATATACATATATATGCTGATAATATTCATTTGTAATATCAAGTTTATCGTCGAAAGAGTAAATTTATGTTTTCTGCATTATTTTTTGGCCTTGACATTCGTTTTTTTTCCTTGCATTTTTTCATTGCCAAAACGCTTCAAAATCAAAATACAAAAAAAGTATGTTTTTCCAAAAATGTAAAAATCCTTGAATTTAAAATTCAATAAATTATAAAAATTTAAATGGTAAAAAGAACTAAATTAAATATAATTGAACATTCTTTTAAAAATATTTATAAAATATACAATAATTATTGAAAATTTTTTTTTAATTAAGTAATACATCGAAATAACTAATAGTTATTAAAATGAAAATGTTAATTTAATTACTTCCGTTTCCGTGGAAAATAAATTCATCATCATTAAATATAAAAGTTTTATTTCTATTTTATTTTTATCAATGATGAAACAAGAGTAGAAGGATAAGAAAAATGTTTTCCGGTAAAAATTTTATTTTATTACTATTACATTATTATTATTGCGAGTAAATTTTTATAAATTAAATTCTCTTTAGTTGAAAATAAAAATTTCGCAAAAATCAAGGGAAGCACGTACCTCTAAAGAAAATGACGTCACAAGCGGAATTTCGCTATTATATATATATGACTCAGATGATTTATTCATTTATTGTATATAGAGACGAGTTTGAACGAGTAAAAAAAGCAAACTGTAATCATCACGTTAATACTATACATATATATATGGGAGAGAGAATGACTCTTCATTTTCTCCTCTCATTAGAATATTATAATGTTGTGTATAGAAAACTGTACTACATTAAATTTATAATGTGTAGATTTTTTGTTTAACAATAATCATTAAATTTATTATTAAATTTTTATTGAAAAATTACTGTATAATGACAACAAATTTTTAGAAACTGAAATTTTGAACTGAAGAAAAGAATATAATTTTTATTATTTTACTGCGAAACTCCGCTTGTGAATTGTAATATAAATACGATAAATACAAATAAATATATTTTGTAAATACAAATTAGTCCAAATAATTAAAAAAAATAGTTTTTTTTACAAAAAGAAAATGAATAATAATTAAATAACAATATGAGTTAATTGAACTTAAAAATAATTAAATTTTTAAAATTATTATTATTATATTAATAATTATTACTCGAATTATTATATATTATTATTATTATTATTAAATAATTAATAATTAAATAATAAATTCTATTCTATTAAAATTGTCTAATGTCAACATAAACATAACCTATAAATTTTAATTTTTCGAAAGTCAGTTAGTTTTTAAATTTAAACCTATACAGTTAGTTATGAAAAATTATTTTAAAAAAATAAACATTCCTTCTAGTATATTAAAATTGTTATGTATATTCAGTCCACCAGTGGGTAATTAAATTACATAATAAATAACACGTACATATTAATACAAAATTATCCAGAAATGATGATAACTTTCGTGAATTTTCGGATTTCTTCGGGTCGATTATTTGCTATAGTTTTAACATTTACCTCGCCCCGGTTTTTCAGCGTCTGTTTGCGCGCTCCGATACTTTAGCATTTGTATACCCTCTATACCTATAGTTACAATACAGTTCAATTTTCAATTCAGTTTTCATTGAAACTTCGCCAAGTGTTGAAGTGCTTTAACATTTTCCATTTCTCTTGTGAGAAAAAGCTTCAGTAAAAAAAAGCAAATAAAAAGTGGGAAAAAATGGTTCTCCAAATTAAAGATGCAGTAAGTTAGAAAAAATTGAATTTATCTAATTTTTCAATTTTTAATTTTCCGATTACGTGAATTTTCTTACCTGCATACATACATATATATATATATATAGAGAGAGAATAGAAAGAGAAAGAGAGAGAGAGAGAGATTGAAGCTAAAGAATACTGTACAACCATGCTGCTTAACCTTGAAAGGAATATAAGCCTGATGCATGTAAGCGGTATGCGGCATCGTGGCATACGTTCCGGTTAAATAAATTCCATGAATATTAATTATCTTCGATTCTTATTTCTCTCTTTTTTATTTCGAAATTTTTTTTTAATTTCATTTTATAGTTAGCTTTGCCCTTGGGAATTGGTGTAAAATTTCGAAAAAGAACGCAATAATATTGTGTATGGTATGGTATGGCCTCTGGCCTCATTTTACACCTGTAATTTTATTGATGATTTTTAGTCCCTGTCAGATTTGTGAATAGATTACTAACACGCGATATGCTATTTAATTCAAATCGTCCGTTTTTAATAGGCCATTCTTTTAAAAGTTATTTACACATTAAAAAAAATAATAAATACAAAAAAAATGCAGTTAACCTAAATTTCGATCCGAAATCTATACTTTTGGCGGGAAAATTTAAACGAACGGTTAGAAATCTTTTTTTAACATATAACCGTTATTTAATTAAATCATAATTTAATAGTTTGGAATTTATGTAAATTTTTTTAAACTATAACAATATGTAAATTATTATTATTAATGAAAGTTATAAATTATTATTAAAAAATTAATAAAAAAAAACTCTCAAATAGTAAATAATTCTAAATAAAAAAAATATTCCCCTTTAAAGAAACAAAAGTAATGTTCAATACGTTTCTTATAAAAAAAATTCTTCCAAATAAAATTGAAGATAAGACGACAGATTTTATTCTAAAAATGGAACGATAAGAATAAGAAAAATGTTTTTTATCTTATTGGTATTTTTTTTTCGTAATACTCAAGTTCCCCCCTCCCTCCCACTTTTCAATGATAAATTAATAAATTAATTAGTGAAAATTTCTTCAAAAAAAAAAAAAAATCAGAAAACGAAAAAATTTTAAAGAATTAAAATTCAGGATCAATTGAAAAATAAATTTAAACGAATTAAATTCTAAAATGAATTTTAAAAAATTTTAAAGAAATTAAAAAAAAATTTTTTAATTAAAAAAAAATTTTAAATTGAAAAAAAAAATTTTTTTAAATGACAAAAAATTTAATTATTAAAAATTAAAAGAAAAATTCAGAAAATGAAAAAAATTTAAACGAATTAGATCGCAGGATCAATTAAACAGAAGAACTTTAATTTTTTCATTTAAAAAAAAAAATTCTTTTAATTGCTAATTTCTTGAAAATTGAAACAATTAATTCGCAGAGAGAATGAAGAAATTTTTAAAGTGATAATTAAATTTCAGGATCACTTGAAAGGCCAACTCACTGAAGCTGGTAATAAACTTGTGGTAATTGATTTTTTTGCAACATGGTGTGGACCTTGTAAATCGATATCTCCGAAAATAGAGGAATTTTCCCAGGAATACACTGACGTTGTTTTTGTCAAGGTCGACGTCGACGAGTGCGAGGAAGTTGCCTCTGAATATGACATAACCAGCATGCCAACGTTTATCTTTATTAAAAATGGCGAAAAGGTGATTATATTTCATTAGGAAAAAAAAAAAATTTTTTTTTTATTAAAGTCAGTTACTTTTTGGACAACTTGTATATTTTTTGTTTTGTTTTTATTTTTCAAATATAACGGGTGTTCGAAAAGTATGAAAAAAAACTGTAGAATTAATTATTGATAAATAATAATTGATTATTACATTATTTTATTAACTTTTGTTTATTTATTTATTTAATTCTTTACTTTTTGAACACCCCGTATATATAAATATATAGAAAGGGAGAAAAGAGAAGTTATTAATAAAATGATAAAAAAAAATTAAAAAATTTAAAATTTTAAATATTAAAATAGGTAGCTATTAAAATGATAATAATATTTAGGGAAAAAACCATTAAAATAATAAATATTTTGACAAAAAAAAATCTTCAAAATCATAAACATAAAAAAAGACATTAAAATAATAAATATTTTAACCAAAAAAAAAAAAAAAAAAACTAATAAATATTTAGAATAAATAAATTTATTTATTATTCAATAAATATTTAAATATAGAAACAAATTTTTCAGAAAAAAAGTATTAAAATAATAAATTTTACAATTTTTTTTAACATTAAAAAAAATTTTACAATGAAAAAATTAAGGATTTATTTTACTCAAAATTACGTCTGACCTAAAATAATAAATATTTATTAAAATAAATACTGAAATAATAATTATTTATTAAAATAAAGATTAAAATAATAAATATTTATTAGATGAAAAATTATTAAAATAAACGTTAAAATAGTAAATATATATTCAAATAAATATATTATAATAATAAATATTTGTTATTACATTAAAGGAAATTAAAATAAACATTATTCGGCTATTATTCAGAAAGTAAAAAAAATAATAAAGAATTATTCATATATTAAATGAAAAGAATGAAAATAAAAATATTAAAAATTTAGGGACTAAAAATAAATTAATTTTGGTAATAAAAAAAATTAAATTGTTAAAACAATTAAATAAAAAAAAGGTTAAAACAATTAAATAAAAAAACAATTATTAAAAAATAAAATTAAAAAAATTGTTAAAAAAATAAAATAACAAAAAATTGTTTAAAAAAAAATCAAAAAAATTGTTAAAGAAAATAAAATAAAAAAAATCTTAAAAAAAATTAAATTAAGGGCATTTGAACCATGATGACGTCACAGATTTAAAACTAATGCTTTGCACAAACTGTGACGTCATCAAGGTTCAAATCCCCTTAAAAAAGCTTTTACTATAAAATTGTTAAAGAACAAAAAAAATATTTATTAAGTTCAGTAAAAACGAAAAAATTAATCTTCTTTTTTTTTTAAATTTCAGTTGGAAACCGTCGTTGGCGCGAATGCGGAAAAAATTAAGAACACAATTTTAAAACATCGAGCATAAAATGAAGAAAAATTATTGCCCACTTTTTTCTAGGTTTCTGTTAATATTTTTGTTATAAAAAGAGATTTTTTCCAAAAAAAAAAAATTTTTTTTTAAAAAACAAGAAGAAATTTGTTACGTAAAGTTAGAATTTTGAAAAAAAGAAACGACTTTGTCCTTTTTTTATTACTTAATGCAATTTTTTGCCTTTTTAATGTGAGCATTTACAGCAAACTGCCTTTTCATCGACAAAAAAAAAACAATAACAATAAAAATTTCCACTTTTCGTTAGATAAATAAATAAATAAATAAATAAATAATATATGTGTGTAATTAGCGAAATTGTCCGTTTGCTTCGACGCCAATTTAAATAACTATTTACAATATTGCATATAAATAAATGAAAAATAAATAAATATAAATGTTACAGTTTTTGGCCTCGATAAACGAATTTGACTTTTTATTTATTTCCTCCTCTCCTTCAATTTTTTTTTAAATTTCTTTTTTTTCTTTTAGAAATTTAGGAAATTTTAATTAAAATTTTTAATTCAATTTACAGGGTGTCTAGCGAACCGGGAATCCGGGAAAAACCGGGAAAACCCCGGGAATTTTTTTTTCCCGGGAAAAACCGGGAAACCCCCGGGAATTTTCTTTTAAATCCGGGAATTTTTTTATGAAGTACTTTATTATGTTGTTGGAAAAAATAGTTACATTTTTTCAACGCTTAACTTAATTTTTTTTCAATTTCGAATTGTATATTGATTCTCTTCGTATATTAGACAATGTTTTATTATTGTCCAATTAAGACCTAACTTATATGGGAAATGATTTTCGATGTGACAATCCAGTGGGCAAAAAACCATCATTGTTTTAAAAACGTTCCAAAAATGTTTTTAGAACGTTTCATGTCTGCCAAATAATGTTCCAAAAACGTTCCATTGCTTTTAAAACGTTTTAGAAACATATAACGTTATTGGGACGTTATTTGGCAGACATGAAACGTTCTAAAAACATTTTTGGAACGTTTTTAAAACAATGATGGTTTTTTGCCCACTGGGAAGCTTGTGCCAAATTTTTACAGTGATGCGACACCTGTTTTTGATTTTAAACATGAAATTACCGTCAAGTAAATCACAATACAATTCTTATTATAAGTTTTACAAATATTACGATTAAATTTACTGTAAAATTTTAGTTTTCAATTATCCGGGAAAATTATTTACATACCGGGAAAAAACCGGGAAAACCCCGGGAATTTTATATTTCTAAATTACTAGACACCCTGAATTTAATTTGACTTTTTATTCATTTTCTCCTCTCCTTCATTTTTTTTTTTTATAAATTTCTTTCACTTTTAGAAATTAAGGATATTTAATTAAAATTTTTAATTAATTAATTAATTAATTTTTAATTCAATTTAATTCAAATTTTTATTTATTTTCTCCTCTCCTTCAATTTTTTTTATAAATTTATTTAATTTTTAGAAATTAAGGAAATTTAAAATTTTAAAATTTTTAATTCAATTTAATTCGACTGTTTATTTATTTTCTCCTCTCCTTCAATTTTTTTTTATAAATTCATTTCATTTTTAGAAATTAAAGAAATTTTATTTAAAATTTTTAATTCAATAATTTAATTCGACTTTTTATTTCCTTCCCTCATTTTTTTAAACTTAATTTTCTTTTTTTATTTCTGAAAATTAGAATTTCAATTCAATTTGAATTTTTATGTAGATAAAAATTCAAAAAAAGTAGAAGGGGATAACCCCCCCTACTTTTTTTTGTTGATTAATTTATTTTCTTCATTCGCATTTTTAGAACTTAACGAAATTTTATTTAACAACTAATTTAACTATTTACAAGAAAATAAAAAATTACATTTTATAATTTTTTTTGTTATCTTTACAAGTTTCTCCTTTTTTTAATATTTTGTAAAAAGAAAAAAAAGGAGTATAAAAGAAAAATTTTATAAAAAATATTTTTTTGTTGAAGGAAATTATTATTTTTTTTTCTAAACTTTACCAAACGGCATTTGTTTCCTGTGTCTCGAGAATTTTTCCCACGTCGACCATTAATGACATTAATCCAGTTCCAATTCGACAAGGTTGTCCCAACATTAAACGACTCGACGGCGAATTCAAATCGTCGGATTTTCCTGTAGAGAAAAAAAAATTGTTTCTATTATTATTTTTTTTCTATATTTTAAGACGAATAAGGCATTTTTTTCGCAAAAAGAATTTTATTAAAAATAGTATTTTTCGCAAACAGTACTTTTTAGGAAAAAAGTATTTGATCAAAAACAGTATTTTTTTAAAAACTACTTTTTATAAAAAAAAGTATTTTTCAAAAACTACTTTTGAAAAAAGTATTTTTTTCGAAAACTACTTTTTTAAAAAAATATTGTTTCGAGAAATACTTTTTAAGAGAAGTATTTTTTTGAAAATTGAATTTTTCGAAAACAGTACTTTTTAGGAAAAAGTATTTTATCAAAAATATTTTTTCACAAACTACTTTTTAAGAAAAAGTATTTTAAAGATGAAGTATTTTTTTTGGAAATTAATAATTTTTTAAAACTATTTTCTTGGAAAAATAATTTTTTTGATAACTATTTTTTAGGAAAAAATACTTTTTTCTCAACAGGAATTTTCGATAAAATATTATTTTCAAAGAAATAATGTTTTTAATCAAATTATTTCGATAATATTTGCTTTTCTAAAAAGTACAGTTTCCGGAAAATACTTTGTTCTAAAAAGTACTGTTTTCGAAAAATACTATTTCCTTAAAATACTAAATCTACTTTTTAGATAAAAGTATTTTAACGATAAAGTATTTATTTCAAAAATTAGAATTATTTGAAAACTCAATTTTCTAGGAAGACTACTTTTTTGGAAAAAGTATTTTGTCGAAAAAATTTTTCCGATAACAGTATTTTCTAGGAAAATACTTTTTTCGAAAACAGTACTTTTTAGAAAAAAAGTATTTTATCAAAAATATTTTTTCACAAACTACTCTTTAAAAAAAGCATTTTTTTGAAAATCAGTATTTTTTAAAAACTATTTTCTAGGAATAATATTTTGTTTGAGAACTACTTCTTAGAAAAAAATACTTTTTTTTGAAAACTACTTTTTAGGAAAAAATCCTTTTTTCTAAACATGAATTTCACAATAAAATACTATTTTTAAAGAAATACTGTTTTTCGATAAAATATCTTCGATAAAATATTTTTTTCTAAAAAGTACAGTTTCCGGAAAATACTTTATTCTAAAAAGTATTGTTTTCGAAAAATTCTATTTCTTTAAAATACTTTTTTTTTAAAAAGTAGTTTTCGAAAAAAATAAGCTTTTTGATCTTATATTTTCGATAAAATTTTTTTAGGACAAAGTATTTTATCGAAAACTACTTTTTAAAAAAAAAGTATTTTTGAAGGAAAAAGTATTTTTCAAAGACTGAATTTTCTAAGAAAAAATCAATTTCGAAAACAGTACTTTTTAGAAGAAAGTATTTATCGAAAATCGTACTTTTTAGGATAAAGTATTTTTTCGGAGACTGTACTTTTTAGAAAAAAGTATAGGTATTTTATCGTAAATATCTGATGGAAAAGAATATTTTTTTCAAAGTAGTATTTTTTCGAAAATTACTTTTTTAAAGTAGTATTTTTTTGAAAATTACTTTTTAAAAAAGTATTTTAAGACAAACGTAGTTTTTTGAAAATTGTATTTTTCGAAATCAGTACTTTTTATGAAAAAATATTTTATGGAAAATATTTTTTCTTTAAAAAGTATTTTTCCAGAAATAGTTTTTACTGTTAAAAAAGTATTTTTTGTGGTAGTAATTCTTTTTTTTTTTTTAAATTGATAATTTGTAGAAGAAAGAAACCTTGAAGAGTGGCATTTTTGAGGAATTGCAGAGAGCTCTCAAACGTCATTTGTTGAAGTGGCGACGCAGAGAATTCCATTCCCTTGCGACTCATCGGCTGGAAATATCCATCGAACGTCATGTAATCAGCGATTAATGACAAATGTCGTAAATCAACGGTTATTCCGTACATTTTAAAGACGTCTTTCACCTCCTTCACTATAACGCGATTCGCCGCCTCAATTCCATACGTTTGTGATATTCCATAAATATCGTTTGAATAGAGTTTGTCCAATTGAAGAATTTCCGCGTACTTGAACATTTCCTATTTGAAAAAAAAGGACATTAGAAAAAGAATTCTTCTTCCTTTTTCATCAATAAATAAATATAAAAAAAACGAATAAATAAAATAAATTAATAAAAAAAAAATTATAATTGCAAAGAATTAAATAAATAATTAGTTACTGGAATTCTTTTTTTTAATTTTAAATCGGAAATTATTTTTAAACTAGCCAAACTATCCGCGCGCAAGCGCGCGGAAATGTTGTATGGGGCTGCTTGTTTTAAACAATTTAAAAAATTTTAAAGAAATAATTATTATAACCTAACAAAGAGATTTAACTAACTAAAATTCAAATAATTTCACTCAATGGTCTCAATTTAAATAGAATTTACATTACTAGACTTAAACTATGGCTAGAACAATTACAATTAGTATCTGGGTCATCTTTTGCATTGCTTATTTTATAAAGCCATTTTAAATTAAATACTTTTTAAAGAAATAATAATTATTACACACTGAAAAAAGTTTTACTTGAAATAGCGATAAGTTTCTCTAGAATAACGAAAGTATTAATTGAAGCACTGAAAAATTTCGCTACTAAAGTGAAATCTGTAGTTCATCCAGCTAAATATTTTTTGCCGTGCATAACGAAAAAAGAATTAAATTAACATCAGATTTTCTACATTAAAAAAAAACGAATTCAAATAGAAATTAATCATTTTACAACTTAACCAAATTCACCCCAAAAATCACTGAATTCGATAATTTAGAAGAAAGTCAGACAAAAGCAGGGTTCCTACAGAATCTGGAAATCATGGAAATGGTATGGAATTTTTAAAAGGCTTCTGGAAATCAGGGAAATCATGGAAAAGGCCTGTAATTTTTAAAAAATTCTAAATTTTTTCAGTTTTCCATTTTTTCTCTTGAATAAAAATTCAAATAATAATAAAGCTAAATGGTATAAAAGAGAAAAAAAATGTTGAATTTTAAGAAATTCAATTTTTCGGATTTTTGATAATTTTTAATAATTTTTTATTTTTTTCCAAAGAGTCGAGACAATTTAATAAGTAAAGTATTTTCCAAAAGCACAAAAATAATGAAGCTAAATCCCATAAAAGAGAGGAAAAAATGTTGAATTTTAAGAAAATCGGATTTTTGAATTTTTTCGAATTTTTGATAATTTTAGATTTTTTACCAAAGAGTCGAGACAATTTAATAAGTAAAGTATTTTCCAAAAGCACAAAAATAATGAAGCTAAATCCCATAAAAGAGAAGAAAAAATGTTGAATTTTAAGAAAATCGGATTTTTGAAATTTTTCGAATTTTTGATAATTTAAGATTTTTTACCAAAGATTCGAGACAATTTAATAAGTAAAGTATTTTCCAAAAGCACAAAAATAACGAAGCTTAATCCCAGAAAAGAGAAGAAAAAATGTTGAATTTTAAGAAAATCGGATTTTTGGAATTTTTCGAATTTTTGATAATTTTAGATTTTTTACCAAAGAGTCGAGACAATTTAATAAGTAAAGTATTTTCCAAAAGCACAAAAATAATGAAGCTAAATCCCATAAAAGAGAAGAAAAAATGTTGAATTTTAAGAAAATCGGATTTTTGAATTTTTTCGAATTTTTGATAATTTTAGATTTTTTACCAAAGAGTCGAGACAATTTAATAAGTAAAGTATTTTCCAAGAGCCCAAAAATAATAAAGCTAAATCTCATAAAAGAAAGGAAAAAATGTTGAATTTTAAGAAATTCGGTTTTTTGAATTTTTACGAATTTTTGATAATTTCAGATTTTTTACCAAAGAGTCGAGACAATTTAATAAGTAAAGTATTTTCCAAAAGCACAAAAATAATGAAGCTAAATCCCATAAAAGAGAGGAAAGAATGTTAAATTTTAAGAAATTCGGATTTTTGAATTTTTGATAATTTTCGATAATTTTAGATTTTTTACCAAAGAGTCGAGACAATTTAATAAGTAAAGTATTTTCCAAAAGCACAAAAATAATGAAGCTAAATCCCATAAAAGAGAAGAAAAACTGTTGAATTTTAAGAAAATCGGATTTTTGAATTTTTTCGAATTTTTGATAATTTTAGATTTTTTACCAAAGAGTCGAGACAATTTAATAAGTAAAGTATTTTCCACATTAAAAAGTTTGACATTAAAAAATATATAAAAAATGCCAATACTTAACCCACAAAATTTAATTTTCAAAACAAACAAATGAATGCAGATAATTTGCTAACGGAAAGGAAACTTACGATTATTATAATGTATTTTAATTTTTAAATTAATAAATTCCAACTATTTATCAACTTCAGTTGATATTTAAAAATGCAAAATCAGTAAATAATTATTAATAGCAATTAAAAAAAGTGTGCTTACAATGACATTAATTCCATCCGTTTTGAGAATCATTTCACCCTCAGAATTTTGAAAAGTGAAAGCTCGTTTAATATTCGGCGTCTCCCACAAAATCACTTTACTCGCTGCAATTTTCAAAATCGACTGCAAGTCCAGTTTGTACATTTTTAGAGGAAGCTGCAAAAGAAAATTGTTTTTTAAAACCGTAATAAATATTTTAGTTATTTATTTACTATATTTTTTGTTTTCATTTTCGAGTAATTTTTCATGGGTTTTTAAAGAAATTTTAAAGAATTCTTTGTTATTCTGAAATACCTATTTTTTAAAAGATTGTTTTCAATTTCAAAGAATTCTTTTCTGTTTTTGAAATATTTTTTTTATTGTTCCTTCCTTTTTAAAGAGTTTTTCATTTTTACAAGAATTAATTAAATTTTTTTGAAAATAATTGAATTCCATCGAAAAAGAGTTATTATGAAAAGCAATTGAATTATTTCGTTAAATTTTATGAATTATATTTCAGAGAAGAATTTTATTATTTATTTTTATAATTGAATTCTTTCGAAGAATTATTTATGTAAATAAATTGAATTCTTGGGAAGAATTTTATTAAAATCTTAAAGAATAATTGAATTATTTGAAAAAAATTCAATTAAAATTTTAGTATTTAAAATTAATGATTTCTTTCGAACAATTTTATTAAAATATTTGAAAATAATTGAATTTCTGTGAAAAATTTTTGTTATTTTTGAAAATAATTGAATTTACCATGTGAGGAATTTCTTTTTTTTTTTTGTTTATAAAAATAGTTTAATTTTTGTAAAAAATTTTTAAATATAATTGAATTTTTAAAGGAATTTATTTATTTGAAACTTTCAAAAGAATTTTCTTTTCTTTACGTATATAATTGAATTCTTGCCAAGAATATTAATAAATTTTTTTTTTTTTAAATTCTTGACTTTTTGCGACGAATTTTATTATTTATAAAATTAAGAGAATTCATGGGAACAATTTTTATGGTTTATAAAAAGTAATTGAATTTTTGACAAGTATTTTATCAAAATTGTAGAAAATAATTGAATTCTTGTGGCGAATTTTCTGATTGCTGAAAATAAATATTGAATTCTTGAGAAGAAATTAATTTATTAAGTAAATAATTGAATTTTTGTAAAAAAAATTTCTTTTATCTAAATAATTGAATTCTTATGTCAAATTTAAGTTTTTAAGAAAATAATTGAATTTTTGTAGAGAATTTTCTCAAAATTGAAGAAAATAATTGAATTCTTGTGACAAAATTTTTTTTTATGAAAATAATTGAATTCTTGCTTAGAATTTTATCAGAAATGTTTTTAAATAATTGAATTTCAAAGAAGAAATTTATTACTTTTAAAAATAATTGAATTCTTGTAAAGAAATTTATTATTTTTACGAAAATAATTGAATTTTTTGAGAACAATTTCTTTTGAAAATAATTGAATTCTTGCTTAGAATTTTATGAAAATTCTTTAAAATAATTGAATTTTCATGAAGAAATTTGATACTTTTAAAAATAATTGAATTCTCGTGATGAATATTGTTATTTATGAAAATAATTGAATTTTGCAAAGAATTTTATTAAAATGCCTCAAAAATAATTAAATTTTCAGGAATAATTTTGTTATTTATCTTTAATAATTCAATTGAATTTTTTCAAAAAAAAGGCATTAAAATTGTATTTAAAATTATTTTTTCGAACAATTTTATTAAAAATATTTGAAAATAATTTAATTCCTGTGAAAAATTCTAATATTTTTGTAAATAATTGAATTATTGCGAAAATTTTATTAAAATGTTTAAAAGGAATTGAATTTCAGTGAAAATTTCACTTTATTTGTGAAAATAATTGAATTTTTTGATTAATTAATTTAAAATAGTATTAAAAATAATTGAAATTCTTCGATGAGTTTTATTATTTAGGAAAATAATTGAATTCTTGCTTAGAATTTTAAATTTTTTTAAATAATTGAATTTCCATGAAAAATGTTATTATTATTGAAAGTTATTTGTAGTATTGTGAAGAATTGTATAAAAATTTTGTTAAATAATTGATTTTTTTGTAAATGCTATACTAAATTAATTGAATTTGTGTGGAAATTTTATTATTTATGAAAATAATTGAATTTTGGATGAATTTTATCAATTTTGTTTTAAATAATTAAATTTTTGTAAAAAAAAAAAAATTTCCTTTATCTAAATAATTGAATTCTTGTGTCAAATTTTAGTTTTTAAAAAAATTAATTGAATTTTTGTAGAGAATTTTCTTAAAAATTGAAGAAAATAATTGAATTCTTGTGACAAAATTTTTTTTTTTTTATGAAAATAATTGAATTCTTGCTTAGAATTTTATCAAAAATGTTTTTAAATAATTGAATTTCGTAGAAGAAATTTATTACTTTTAAAAATAATTGAATTTTTCTGATGAATATTGTTATTTATGGAAATAATTAAATTTACGGTAAGTAAATTTTATTTAATATAGAATTTTATTTTATTCTATTTCATTAGGTCCTAAAAACATAGAAATTATTCTATTTTATTAAAATAGAATTTTATTTAAATGCCTCAAAATAATTGAATTTTCGGGAATTTTCTTACAAAGAATTTTAGTTATTTATAAAATAATAAAAAAAATTTAAATAAAAAGATTTAAATTCTTGTGAACTTTTTAGTAATTTAAAAAGTAAATTGAATTTCTCTTTGAAAATTCCTAAAAAATTGGAAACTTACCGTAAAAGTCAACGTGCACCATTCCTCTTTAATTTCATCATATTCATAACTTATCGCATTCGGATAAGCATTCACAACTTTCAATTTCCTATGAGACTGATCTCCAGAATTCATTCCTTCTTCATCACGATCGTCATCGTCGTCATCATCATTACCATCATTATCACCATCTTTACCATCCTTACCATCTTTACCATTCTTTTGCTTTAAACTCTCATTAAAATTCCCCTCAGTCTCCTCATTCTCCTCCTGCTCCTCCTCATCCGGATCATCATACTCCTGATTCTCCCGATGTCTCGCCACCGATCTCGCCGCCGTCGCATCAGCCTCATCAATCTCCTCCTCATCCGAAGACTCATGCATCTCCCCCTCGTCATTATTCCCCTTTCTCCTCTTCCTCCCACCATCATTATTCTCCTCCCCTTCCTCCTCGTTATCAAGTCGATAATTTTCCCTACTGTCCCTATTTTTCACCTCCTCCACATAGAAAGAAATGCCACCAATTTTCCCCGCTTTTTTTATCTCCCTAAACATTTCCTTGAAGAATTTCTCCTCCGTCTTCTTCACTATTTCCCTTGGTGTTGTAAAATATTCCTGACGATAGTATTTTTTCGGTAGGAAATTCAAGCGAATTTTGTAAATTAATTGACGGGGTTCGTAGGAAATGTGACCGTCGACGTCAATTGTCTCGAGGACGTTGGCCAGGGAGCATTTCGTCAATTTTCTCCGCACCTCGTCGACTTTTCGCATTAGACGGGGAATTTCCTTGCGAAAGGGAATTTCCATGCTGGGAGTTTTTATATTCTTCGAAGCCATCATGAGAATTTCTCGAAGCCGGGGAATTCCGAGTGTCACGTTCATTTCGCCACGGCCGGCAAAATGGAAAGTGTTCAGTGTCATTTGCGTCGATGGTTCGCCGATTGATTGCGCCGCGAGGAGTCCAACTGGTTCGCCAGGTTGACAGAGGGAATTCATCACCTTCACGTTTATTAAATCTCTTAATTCACTCTTTTCCGCCTCTTCGTCCCTTTTTTTCTCTTCGTTTCTTTTTTTATTCTCCTCGTCTCTCTTTTTTCCCTCGTCACCTTTTTTTCTATTTCCCTTTTTTTCCGAATCGATTTCTCCCCCTTCGTCACTTTCCTCTTTTCCCTTTTTTTCCTCTTCGTAATTTTCCTTTTTTCCCTCCTCGTAATTTTTCCCTTTGCTGCCCGAATTTCTTTTTTCCCTTTCATTCAAATAATTCTCCACAACTTTCTCCATTTTTTCGGTCAAAACGCCAAATTCCAAATCCTGACGATAACGACCAATTAGCGGATCGGGACATTTACGAGACTTTTCGGAGAAATTTTCCTTCACCTCGTCACTGGATCGAATCCATTTTCTCATGAGCGAGAGCGACGCCTTCGTTCGTCCACTACTTGGATCGATTTGATTTCGTTTTGAACTTGTTTCGTTTAAATTCTCAGCGGAGAATTCGGTGAATGCACTTGTTCGACGCTTCGAATGAGAAGAAGAAGAAGAAGAAGCATTTTTTAATTGCCATTTTTTCAACTTTTTGTCGTATTTCTGAATTTTACGATCGGCTGACGATTTGAGATGATCTAGAAGTTGTTGATCGATTATCGCCGCTTTATTCTCGTGGAGGAATGTTAAATTTTCAACGTTAAGGAAACGTGAACTTGCAATGTCGAGACCATCCTCGCCGTAGTAGATTTGTATTAAACTACCGTCCGAGTCTCTTACCTGTGGAAAAAAAATAATTAATTAAAATGTTAATTACTAAAGAATTTTATTAAAAATTTATTTGACAAAAATTAAGGTCCTGAAAACATTCTAAGTTATTAAAAATGTTCAAAATAATTGAATTCTTTAGAGAAATTTAATTAGAAATATAAATTAAATAAATATAATTGAATTCTTTAGAGAAATTCAATTAGAATTGTAGAGAAAATAATTTAATTCTAGACAAGAATTTTATTATTTATGAAAATAATTGAATTCCTAGCGATGATTTTTAATATTTTATTAATTTATAAAAATAATTGAGATTCTAGCGATAAATTTTATAAGAAAAATAATTATTTTTCCTATAAATTTCTTGGCTAGAAATTCAATTATTTTTATAAATAATAAAAATTCTTATCAAAATTTCAATTATTTCTACGTAAATAATTAAATATTTCGGAGAAATTCAATTATTTAAAGAAAATTACAAAAATTTTTACGAAATACTTCAATTCCTTTTCATAATTTAACATTTTTCAAAAAAAAAAAAATTCTACTTTTTTAACAAAAGTAAAATTTTATTACTTTTTTTTTTAAATAATTGAAAATATAATAAAATTCTTGTCAAGAATCCAATTATTTCCATAAAGAATTAAATGTTTCGCAGGAATTCAATATTATTTAAAGAATTATTAATAAAATTATTCGATTCAATAATTAATTTTCAAAATAACATTTTTCGTAGAAAATTCAATTATTTTTCTTTTAAATATGAAAATTCTTCACAAGAAGTCAATTATTTTTCTTAAAAATATTAACATTCATTGCTAGGAATTCAATTATCAATATTTATGTAACAAAAATAATTGAATTCTTGACAAGATTATTATTACTTATGAAAATAATTGAATTCCTAGCGATGAATTCTAATATTTATAAGAAAAATAATTGAATTTTTGCAAAGAATTTTACTATTTATAAACATAATTGAATTGTTTCCATGAATTTATTAAATTTTTAGAAAATAATTCAATTCTTTCGAAAAATTTGATTATTTATGAAAATAATTGAATTTCTATTAGCGAAAAATATTGATATTTAAAAAATAATTGAATAATTCTTGACAAGAATATTAAAAAAAAAAAATAATTGAATTCATAAGTAGAATTTTTTTATTTATGAAAATAATTGAATTTCTATTAGGTAACAAATTTAATAATTAAAAAATAATTTAAATTTGACACACGAATTTTATTATTTATTATTTACGAAAATAACTGAATTTTCGGAGAAGAATTTTTTTATTTATAAAAATAATTGAATATTTGAGAAGAAATGCATTATTTACGAAAATAATTGAATTTTTGGTGAATAATTCCATTATTTATGAAAATAATTGAATTTCTAGGAAAGAATTTTAATATTTATAAAAATAATTGAATTATTGCCCAGAGGTTCGATGGAATTCAATTATTTTTAAATTTTTAATACAACTTCCAAAAAATTCAATTATTTTCACAAATAATAAAGTTCTTGTCATGAATTCAATTATTTTTCTTTTAAATATGAAAATTCTTCTCAAGAATTCAATTATTTTTCTAATAAATATTAAAATACTTTGCTAGGAATTCAATTATCAATATTTGCATATAGAAGAAAAAAAATTGAATTTTAGCAAAAAAATTTTTGATTATTTTGAAAATAATTGAATTTTTCGAGAAATAATTGAAAAAAACAATAAAATTCTTTAAAATGAAGAAAGTAACAAAACTATTTTGAATTGGAAAATAAATTTAATTCCAAAAAAATTGAATTTAAAAAAACGACTTTATTTTTCTTTGTCTAAAATAATTGAATTCTCAAAATTACTAAAAATAATTGATTTGGAATAGAATTTAATTAATTTTTTAGTTTAAAAATTCTAGAAAATAATGTTAAAAATCTCATAAATAAAATTAACTAAAGGAATTGAAGAAATTGAAAATAATTGAATTTTAAAAAGAAATGAAAATAAAATAGAAAAAATGAGAGTAAAATAAAAAAAAACGAAAAAAGGTAAAAAAGAGTAGAAGAATGTTTATTTTACAAAATAAGTAGATAATGAAACGAAAAATTCTTTAAAATTAAAAAAAAACCATTAAAATACTTAAAAAAGAAGAAAAAATTTTTATAAAATTAACAAAAAATATTAAAAAATACTTGGAAAAAATATGAAAATTCATTAAAATTGAAATAAAATTAAAACAAAACTTGAAAATGACAAAAAAAATGTATTACAACTTTGAAAAAACGATAAAAAATGATTGAAAATTAAAATAATTCTTTAAAACTGAAAATAAATTAAAAACTATTTCAAAATACCAGGAAATAAAAAAAGAATTCTTAAAAAATAAAAAAAATTCATTAAAATTGAAAAAAACCAAAAATAATCAAAAATGAAAAATATTTTTTTAAAATTGAAAAAAAAAATATAAAAATACTTAAAAATAAAAAGAATAATTCCAAAAATAATTCAAAATAGCAAAAAAAATTCTTTAAAACTGACAGAAAAGTAAAACAAAAATTGAAAATGATAAAAAAATTAATTCCAAAAAAACATGAAAATTATAAAAATTCTTCAAAACTGAGAAAAAAAATCAAAACTATTTGAAAATGAAAGAAAAAAAAAGTTGAATATTACTTGAAAAAACTTGAAAATAACAAAAAGTTCATTAAATAGTGAGAAAAATAAAAAAAATTAAAATGGATTAAAAAAATAGAAAAAATGAGAGTAAAATAAAAAAAAATGAAAAAATGAAAAAAGGTAAAAAAGAGTAGAACAATGTTTGTGAGAGGGAAATAAAATCTCACCGTCAAATCATACTGGACCGAAACGCCCTCAAGATGTTTAATAAGACATCGCTGCAAATAACCGGAGCGACTCGTCTTGACCGCAGTATCAATTAAACCCTCTCTTCCTGCCATGCAATGGAAGAAGAATTCCGGTGGTTCAATTCCCGTCATGAAGCGACCATCGATAAAACCACCGGCACGTGGCGTTGGATCGTAAGCTGGAAACGACGGTAAACTCTTGCCGCTTATCATCAACGGCGGTCTCTTGCCCTCCAATTCAATTTGTCCCAAGAGGCACGAAATCTGCATAGTATTCACCGTCGATCCCTTCGCTCCCGATTGCACCATCAATTGAAGATTATTATCAGGAAATTTCTCAATTAATCCCGCCGGCAAGCATGTCTTATTGATGTCATTCGTATAAACATCGAGAGCCGATTTATATTTACGATCAACAATTGCACGGAATTTTTCATTTGTCGCCAATTCCGCTTCCATTTTATTAACAATTTCCTCGCGTTCCGTGTCTTCCGGACATTCGAGAATTGCCTTTTGTATTCCGTCGCCGATCTTGGAAAAAGAAAGAAGAGAAATTTTATTATTTTAATCAATTTATTAAATTAATTTAAAAAATTTTATTATTTTATTATTTTAATCAATTTATTAATTTATATTTATTAAATTAATTTTTAAAAATTTTTTCTTTTCTTTATTCTGCGTTTTTTTCGTACCTTTCTGCACTCGTTCATAATTTCCTTTCGCTTCTTATCGGCCTCGGGAGTCACGAGAATGTCCTTCACTCCCAATGTGAATCCCAATTGCAGGAGGTAAGCTTGAAATAATTTTCCAAAAGCGCTCAACATTTTTGTCGAACAATTTCCCCCGTAGAGCTAAAAATAAAGAAATTATTATCAAATATATAAATAAAAAATTCTATAAAAAATTCCAAATTTTCTAAATAAAATTAAATAAAAATATTATTAAAAAAAATACTTAAAAATAAAATACACACTCTAAAAAAAAGAAATTATAAAAAATACTTGGAAATAAAAAAGGAAATCTTAACAAATAAAAAACGAGGGAAAAAATTTATTAAAATTGAAAAAAAATATAAAAAATAATCAAAAACGAAAAATATTTTCTTAAAATTGTAAAAAAAAATCATTAAAATACTTGAAAATAAAAAGAATAATTTAAAAATAATTAAAAATAACTAAAAAAAATTCTTGTAAACTGAAAGTAAAATAAAACAAAAATTGAACAAAAAATGGAGAAAATTTATAAATTAGAAAAAAAGTTATTAAAACTGAAAGAAATTTAAAAAAAAAGGTTAAAAAGGACAAAAAATATGTTAAAATACTTGAAAATAACAGAAAAATTCTTTAAAATTAAAAGAAAAATAAAATAAAAATTGAAAATAATAAAAAAGAATTCCTTAATGATGAAAAGTTACAAAAAAAACATAAAAATTATAAAAATTCCTAAAAACTGAAAAAATATAAAAATCCTATTTGAAAATGAAAGAAAAGAAGTTAAATATACTTGAAAAAACTTAAAAACAACAAAAAATTCATTAAATTTCTGAAAAATTAAAAGAAAAAAAAATGAAATGGACAAAAAATAGTAAAAAATAATTGAAAAAGAAAATAAAATTTTTTTAACATAAAAGAATAATAAATAAAAGTAGAAAATGAAAATTAATTTTAGAAAATAAAAGTCGAATGTTAACAATTAAAATACTTGAAAAAGGTGAAAAATTTCTAAAAATAATTGAAAATAGCATGAAATTCAATGAAATTAACATAATAAAAATAAAACATAATTTAAAATGATAAAAAAAAATTTATTACAATTGAAAAAATCATTAAAAAAATTCTTGAAAATTAAAAAAATTCTTCAAAACTGAAAATAAACTTAAAAATATTTCCAAAAGAAACAAAATATTTAAAAACAATTGGAAATCAAAAAATCTATAAATTGTGAGAGAATCAAAAAATAGAAAAATAATCGAAATTGAAATTTTTTTTTTAAATTTAAAATATCATTAAAAGTATTTTAAAAAAATATTTCTAAAAATTAAGAAAAACATCTTTAAAAATCTTGAAAATAACAAAGATTTCTTTAAAATAAAAAAAAATAAAAAAAAAATTGTAAACAATGACGTAAAAAGTACATAAAAATGACAAATGAAATTCCTAACAATTTAAGGAAATTTATAAAGAAAAATCTTGTAAAATAACAAAAAATATTTCAAAAAAACTTGAAATGACAAAAAAAAAATGTTTAAAAATGGAAGATAAGTAAAAAATAAACTTGAAAATAACAAAAAAATTTCTAAAAATATTAAAATTCAGGAAAAATACTTGAAAAAAAGAGAAAATATTTAAAAATACTTGCAAACAACAAAAAATTCCTTAAAATTAAAAGAATTTTATAAAAAGGCTTTAAAAAGAAGAATATTTGAAAACAACCAAAAAAATCTTTAAAAAAGGAAGAAAAATGAAAAAAAAAATTGGAAATTGACAAAAAAGCTTGAAAAAGAGACAAAAAATATTTTAAAATACATGAAAAATATAAAAAAAAATTCTTTAAAAATGAAAAAAAAGAAAATAAAAGAACTTGAAAATGATAAAAATATTGCATAAAATTTTTAAATCCAGAAAAATATTTAAAATAAAAAAAAAAGAAAAATTTTTAAATACGTGAATATGAAAAAAAATATTTAAAAATACTTGAAGATATTAAAAAATTCGTTAAAATTTGAAGAAAAATACAGGAAAGTTGAAAATTACAAAAGAATTTCTTAAAATTTAAAGAAATTAAATAAAACTTGAAAAGAACAAAAAATATTCAAAAATACTTGAAAAGAACAGGAAATTTATTAAAATTGAAATTAAATTAAAACAAAATTTGAAAATATGACAAAAAATCCATAAAAATTGAAAATCCATAATCCATAATAAATTATTGAAAAGATTGAAAATTAAAACAATTCTCAAAAACTGAAAATAAATTTTAAAATATTTGAAAATGAAAAAATATTCAAAAATACTTGAATATTTTTATATTCAAATACTTGAAGAAAAAAATAAATAAATATAAAAACAATAGAAAATGAAAAAAAAGTTTTATGTTCAAAAATTAACAAATAAATATTGAAAATGAACAAAAACATTTTTTTTGAATTGAAAACACTTTTAAAAATATTTTTAAAAAAGGCAAAATATTTTTTAAAAAATTGAAAATAACAAAGATTTCTTTAAAATTGAAAAATTTTTTTTTAAAATTGTAAATAACATAAAAAATACTTGAAAATGACAAAAAATATTCCTTACAATTCGAGAAAATCTATTAAAAAAAAGCTTGAAGAGGATAAAAAATATTTTAAAAATACACTTGAAGATTACAAGAAATTCTTTGAAAATGGAAAAAAAATACAAAAAAGTTGGAAATTACAAAGAAATTCCTCAAAATTGAAAGAAACCTTCAAAAAATACTTGAAATTAAAAAAACTATTTAAAATTACTTAAAGATAATAAAAAAATCGTTAAAAATGTAAAATAAATATAAAAGAAACTTGAAAATTACAAAAAATTTCTTAAAATTCAGAAAAATATTTTTAAAAAACTTGAAAATAACAAAGATTTCTTTGAAATTAGAAGAAAAAGAAAATTGTAAATGACATAAAAAGTACTTGTAAATGATAGAAAAAAATTTATAAAATTTATGAAAATAAAAATTTATGAAATTTATAAAAAAAAAGCTTGAAAAAGACAAAAAATATTTTTAAAAAATACTCGAAGATAACAAAAAATTTCTTTGAAAATGAAAAAAATATCCTTAAAATTTAAAGAAAATTTCAAAAAATATTTGTAAATGAAAAAAACTATTTAAAAATACTTGAAGATAACAAAATATTCGTTAAAAATGAAAGATAAACACAGAAAACTTGAAAATTACAAAAAATTCTCGAAAAAGGAAAGAAGAATTCTCAATAAAAAGAGATTTGTTAGAAAAAAAAAAATAAAAAACAAAATTCTTGTCAAGAAGAAGAAGAAGAAGAATAGAAAAACCATTTTTCGTTTACCTCGTAAACGCAGTGAATAAGACCAAAAGTCGTTGCCCCATAATGCGCCTTATCCAACACTCCACAAAGTAATTCGCCATTTCGAATGACAACTTCCGCTTCGGACATGGTTTTCGGATTTTCAAAAGCTTCGCCACATTTTGGCGCACGTGGCTCCTTAATTTGCCATTCCTTGATGCCAATTTTCGCACTGCCCGTCAAATTAATTCTCGCCTTGCCTTTTGGAATGAGATTGATAATAACCGTCGATATCACTTGTTTGCCGGACCAAAGTTCCTTTGGTTTCACGATCGCCGGCGGCAGGAGAATCAAATCCCCAGGTACCGACCACAGCGCCGAGTAAATTAACAGTTGATAATCATCCCTTAAAATTCATTGTAATTCATTTTAAATTAATCAATCAAAATTTCAAGAAAAAAAAACAAAAAACAAATATTTACTCACTTTTCGAAAAATTTGCCTCTCATCGTTAATCGCACACCGGAAATTATATGATCTTGAATCAATCCACTCAAAGGGGTTCCGTCTTTTGGCACCAAATACTGATTTGCAGTATTTGCTGTTAAAAATAGAAAAACAAATTTTAAACTCGAATTTTCTTATTTCTTAATTTTTAATTTTTAATTTTCTTTAATTTTCAACTCGAAATCGAAAAAGTATGAAAATAGAAAATAATGACAAGTAAAGAATAAAAATAAGTGAAAAATAGAAAAGAAGAAGGAAAAGCAAAGCTGAGTGAAAAAAAGAAATAAAAAATAAAGACAAGTGAAAAATAGAAGCAAATAAAAAATAAAGACAAGTAAAAAATAAAGGTGAGGAAAAAATTAAATATTAGGAAAAAAATATAAGCAAATAAATAATAAAGCCAAGTAGAAACTGAAAACAAAAAAAAATGAGTAAAAAATGAAAACAAGCGGAAAATAAAGCCGAATAAAAAATATAAACAAATAAAAAATTAATTCAAGGAAAAAATAATAATTAGTGAGGAATAAAAACAAATAAAAAATTAAAAGCCAGGAAACACAAAACAAAAAAATAAAGACAAGTAAAAAAAATAGAAACGAGTGAAAAATAGAAAGAAATAAAAAATAAAGACAAGAAAACAATAGAAACAATTGAAAAATAAAGCCAAATAAAAACTTGAAAATGACAAAAAAATGTGATTACAATTGAAGAAACAATAAAAAATGATTGTAAATTAAAATAATTCTTTAAAACTGAAAATAAATAAAAAAATATTTCAAAATATCTGGAAATAAAAAAAGAATTCTTAAAAAATAAAAAAAGGGAGAAAAATTCATTAAAAATTTAAAAAAGAACATAAAATATAATCAAAAATGAAAAATATTTTCTTAAAATTCAAAAAAATCATAAAAATACTTTAAAATAAGAAGAATATTTTAAAAACAATTCAAAATAACATAAAAAATTTTTTTTTAAACTGAAAGAAAAATAAAACAAAAATTAAAAATGATGAAAAAAATTCCTTAATGATTAAAAAATCCCAAAAAAGCATGAAAATTATATAAAATTCTTCAAAACTGAAAAAAAATATAAAAATTATTTGAAAAAGAAAGAAAAGAAGTTGAATATATCTTTGAAATTTTAAAATAACAAAAACTTGATTAAATTGTGAGAAATTTAAAAAAAAATTGAAATGGACAAAAAATAGTAAAAAAAATAATTGAAAAAGAAAATAAAATTTTTTTAATTTGAAACAATAATAAATAAAAGCAAAAAATGAAAATTAATTTTAGAAAATAAAAGTAGAATTCTTTTAAAATTAAAAAAAAAACATTAAAATACTAGAAAAAGTATAAAAATTTCTAAAAATAACACAAAAAAAAATAATTCAAAATAACATGAAATTCATTAAAATTGAAATAAAAATAAAACAAAACTTGAAAATGATTTTTCTTTGAAATCAAAAAAAAAAAATAAATTAAAGAAATTAATAGAACTGTAGAAAAAACACTACATTTTTGGAAACAAAACTTCTTGAAAATTGACGAAAATAAATTGAAAAAATAAAATAATTGAAGAAAATTGAAAAAGATTGAAAAGAACAAAAAAAAACATTTAAAAAAAACTTGAAAATAACAACAAATTCTTTAAAAATGAAAAAAGAGAAATAAAAAAAAATTGAATTTGACAAAAAAATTCCTTAAAATTTAAAAATTCAGGAAAAATACTTGAAAAATGGAAAAAAATACAAAAATATATTTGAAAATGAAAAAAAAATTTTTTTAAAATATATGAACATGAAAAAAAAACTATTTAAAACAAACAAACAAAAATGGAAAGAAAAATGGAAGAAATGGAAGAAAAATACAAGTAACTTAAAAATTACAAAAAAAAATTTTTGAAATTCAAAAAAACCTTAAAAAAATACTTGAAAATAAAAAAAAATATTTAAAAATACTTGAAGATAACCAAAATTTTTTTTTAAAAAACTGAAGAAAAATACAGGAAACTTGAATATATTACAAAAAAAATTCCTTAAAATTCAAAGAATTTGAAAAAAAAATTGGAAAGGACAAAAAAATATTCAAAATTACTTGAAAATAACATGAATTTCATTAAAATTGAAATCAAATTAAATACGAATTTGCAGTATTTGCTTTAAAAAATAGAAAAACAAATTTTTAAACTCGAATTCTCTTAATTCAAATCTCGAAATCAATGAAAAAAGTATCAAAATAAAAAATAAAGACAAATAAAGAATAAAAGCAAGTAAAAAATAGAAAAGAAGAATGAAAAGCAAACCCGAGTGGTAAAAGAACAAGAAATAAAAAATAAAGAAAAGAAAAAATATAAACAAGTTAAAGAGTAAAAGCCAAGTGGAAAATAAAAATAAATAAAATATAAAGCCAAGTGAAAATAAAAACAAATAAAAAATAAAGCCAAGTGAAAAAATAAAAAGAAACAAAAAAAAATAAAGTCAAGAAAAAATAGAAACAATTGAAAAATAAAGCCAAGTGAAAATAAAAACAAATAAAAAATAAAGCCAAGTGAAAATAAAAACAAATAAAAAATAAAGCCAAGTGAAAATAAAAACAAATAAAAAATAAAGCCAAGTGAAAAAATAAAAAGAAACAAAAAAAATAAAGTCAAGAAAAAATAGAAACAATTGAAAAATAAAGCCAAGTGAAAATAAAAACAAATAAAAAATAAAGCCAAGTGAGAATAAAATGAAACCAAAAAACAAAGTCAAAAAAAATAGAAACAATTGAAAAATAAAGCCAAGTGAAAAAGAGAAAGAAATAAAAAATAAACCCAAATGAAAAATAAACCCAAATGAAAAAGAAAGACAAATGAAAAATAAAGTCAAAAAATAAATCGAAACAAGTAAAAATAAAGAAAAATAGAACCAAGAAAGCAAAAAAAAAATCGAATCAAGTAAAAACAAAGAAAAGGAATAAGGAAAAAACCAAAGGAATTACCAATAAATTTGGCCTCTGCACGTGCGACTTCGTTCTGCGGAAAATGTGCGTTCATTTCGTCGCCATCGAAATCGGCATTGTACGCCTTGCAGTTTGCGTAATGCAAACGCAATGTCTTCTCGGCTTTCAAAATTCGTGCGCGATGCGCCATTATACTCGGCTTATGAAGTGTCGGTTGACGATTCAACAGCAGCATATCGCCGTTTTGTAAATGTCGATGCACAATTTTCATTCCGTCGAAAAATTTATTCGACTTCGCCGTCTTCGTCAGCAGGGTCTTTGCTATACTCTCCCTTTGCGTCAATGACAAGCTGCTTATTCGTTTCACTGAACCGTCTTCGTTTTGAATCAAAACGGCACTGGAAACAAGAAGTAGAAGAAGAATTGTAATTATTTATTATTTTCTTACTATTTCTGTTTTTTATTCAATATTTTTACTTTTATTTAAAATTTCGATTGCTTTATTCATTTTCATTGTTACTATATTTTTATTATTTCTATTTCTATACATTATATGACTTTATTCTAATTTTTGTTTCTTAATTAATTCTATTATCTATTTTTTATTTTTTTATTCTTCTGTCATATCAATTTCTATTATTATCCACGAATTTTAACAGAATTTTACAAAAAAAAATAATTTAAAACCAGCAAAGATTTTTATTAATTATAAAAATAATGGAATTTTTGCGAAGAAATTTATTATTATTTACGAAATTGGTTGAACTTTTCGCAAAGAATTTTATTAATTACGAAAATAATTGAATTTTTTGCGAAGAATTTTATTATTTACAAAAATTAATGAAGTTTTTGCAAAAAATTTAATTATTTACGAAAATAATTGAACTTTTGCAGAAGAATTTTAGTATTTACGAAAATAATTGAATTTTTGACAAAGAATTTTATTATTTACAAAAATAATTGAATTCTATAGAAAATTTTTTATTATCTATGAAATTAATTGAATTTTTGTCAAAAAAATTTATTATTTTCTCGAAAATAATTGAAATTTTTTGCGAAAAATTTTATTATTTCTGAAAATAATTGAAATTCTGGGAAGATTTTCATTATTTTTTTCTATTATATCTAGATTTATATTATTTTCGACGAATTTTATCAAAATTTTCCAAAATTAATTGATTTCTAGCAAAGAACTTTATTATTTTTGAAAATAATTGAATTTTGCAAAGTATTTTATTAAAATGCCTCAAAATAATTGAATTTTTGGGAATAATTTTGTTATTTATCTTTAATAATTGAATTCATTTGAAGAATTATTTATGTAAATAATTGAATTTCTCAGAAGACTTTTATTATTTTCTTAAAAAATAAAATTCTTCTCAAAAATTCAATTATTTGATTTTAACAAAAATAAAATTCTTCTCAAGAATTCAATTATTTTCAGCAACTAGAAAATTCATCACAAGAATTCAATTATTTTCTACAATTTTAGTAAATTACTTCTCAAAAATTCCATTATTTTTATGAACAAAAGAAAATTTTTCGCAAGAATTGAATTATTTTCATCTAAAATAAAATTTACAACAAGAATTCAATTTATTATTTTCATAAAAAAAATTGTCCCAAGAATTTAATTATTTTCTTCAATTTTAAGAAAATTCTCTACAAAAATTCAATTATTTTCTGAAAAACTAAAATTTTCCACAAGAATTCAATTATTTTCATAAAAAAAATTTTGTCACAAGAATTCAATTATTTTCTTCAATTTTGAGAAAATTCTCTACAAAAATTCAATAAGTTTCATAAAAAAAAATTGAATTCCTCACGAAACATTTTATTATTATTTATGAAAATAATTGATTTCTTTCAAAAAATTTTATTAAATTAAAAATAACTATAATCCTGCGTAGAATTTTTTTATTTACGAAAATAATTGAATTATTGCAAAAACTTTTATTAAAATGTTAAAAAACGAATTGAAATTCTATGAAAAATTTTGTTATTTTTGAAAATAATTGAATTTATGTGAGGAATTTTTCTTTGTTTATAAAAATAGTTAAATTTTTGAAAAAAATTTATAAATATAATTAAATTTTTAAAGGAAATTATTTGAAACTTTTAGAAGATTTTTATTTTCTTACGAATATAATTGAATTCTTGCTAAGAATTTTAATAAATTTAAAAAAAAAAAATTCATGAATTTTTGCGACGAATTTTATTATTTATGAAATTAAGAGAATTTATGGGAACAATTTTTATGGTTTATAAAAAGTAATTGAATTTTTGACAAGTATTTTATCAAAATTGTAGAAAATAATTGAATTCTTGTGGCGAATTTTCTGATTGATGAAAATAATTGAATTCTTGAGAAGAATTTAATTTATTAAGTAAATAATTGAATTTTTGTAAAAAAAATTCTTTTATCTAAATAATTGAATTCTTATGTCAAATTTTAGTTTTTAAAAAAATAATTGAATTTTTGTAGAGAATTTTCTTCAAAATTGAAAAAAATAATTGAATCAAAATTTTTTTTATTATTTATGAAAATAATTCAATTCTTGTTTAGAATTTTATCAAAATTCTTTAAAATAATTGAATTTTCAAGAAGAAATTTATTACTTTTAAAAATAATTGAATTCTTGTGATGAATATTGTTATACTTATGAAAATAATTGAATTTTGCAACGAATTTTATTAAAAAGCCTCAAAATAATTAAATTTTCGGAAATAATTTTGTTATTTTTAAAAATAATTGAATTTTTTCAAAAAAATTTCATTAAAATTGTACTTAAAATAAATTAAATTTTCGAACAATTTTGTTAAAATATTTGAAAATAATTGAATTCCTGTAAAAAATTTTAATATTTTTGTAAATAATTGAATTATTGCGAAAATTTTATTAAAATGTTTAAAAAGAATTGAATTTTAGTAAAAAACTTTATTTGTGAAAATAATTGAATTTTTTGATTAATTAATTGAAAATAGTGTTAAAAATAATTGAAATTCTTCGATGAGTTTTATTATTTATGAAAATAATTGAATTCTTGCTTAGAATTTTATCCAAAATTTTATTAAAAAATTGAGTTTTCATGAAAAATGTTATTATTAGTGGAATTAATTGAATGATTGTGAAAAGAATTGTATAAAAATTTTGTTAAATAATTGATTTTTTTGAAAATGCTACATTCTAAATTAATTGAATTTGTGTGGAAATTTTATTATTTCCTGAAAATAATTGAATTTTGGATGAATTTTATCAATTTTCTTTTAAATAATTGAATTGTTTTGCGAAATTTGATGAAAATACAATAGATATTGAAAATAGAATTTTGAATATTTTTTTTTAAATATTAAATCGTTTTAAAGAAATTGATTATAATTTTTTCTAATAGTTTTTTGATTTGTAAAAATGTAAAAAATAGAATAATTACCCAGGATGAACGTCGGGACCGTTAATAATCATTTGCCTGAGTTCTTGTACATTCCACGGTGTCACTGGAACTGGATAAGTCAATTTCAATGCAAACGCTTCCGGCACTCCAATTTCGTCAATATCTAAATTCGGATCCGGCGTGATGACAGTTCGCGCCGCGTAATTCACACGCTTTCCCATCATGTGCATGCGAATAATTCCCTCCTTCTTCTCCAAAACTTGCTTCACGCCCAGACACGTCGCCGAATCCGTCGTTCTATTCATTTCACGATCAACCAAATGATTTACATTAATCTGCAAATCCTGCCAAGTGTTGTGTAATTTTTCAATTAGAGTTCCGCCTCGTACATTCTCAAGTAGTCTCTGCAAAAGAAAACGGCAAAATTTTTCACTATTATTTCGAATTTTTCCATTTTTTATTATTTATTCTTTCTGCTTCTTTTTTTTCATTTTTTTATTGTTGCTATTTATTTATTATTTCTATTTTTTATTCTCTCTGTTTCTTTACTATTTCTATTTTTTATTAATTTTACTTCTTTATTATTATTTCTATTTTTTATTCCTTCTGTTTCTTTACTATTTCTTTTTTTTTTTATTAATTTTACTTCTTTATTATTATTTCTATTTTTTATTCTTTCTCTTTCTTTACTATTTCTATTTTTATTCCTCCTGTTTCTTTACTATTTCTATTTTTTATTAATTTTACTTCTTTATTAAATTACTATTTTTGTTATTATTTCTTCTTCTTTATTATATTAATTTTTTATCAAATTCCGTTTCTTTACTATTTTCGCGAATTTTAGTTTAAATTCTCAACAAAAATTTAATTTTAATCAAATAATTAATTGAATTAAAGCTCAAAAATAATTTGGCTAAATTCTTGAAACAGAAAAGTAAAAACGTTAGATTTTAGAAAAATTTTCATTTTTTTGGTACTTGTGATGATTATTATAAATAAAATACTATTAATTGGAGGGAAAAAAAATGAAAAAGAAAAATTTAAGATTAAATAAAATTACAAACCAGAGTTTCCTCGTTAATTTTTTCTCGAGCTCGTAAATTTTCCCCATCATTCTCGCCATCATCGTCATTATTATCCGCTTGGGACAATTTTAAATCCTCAATTATTTTTCGCAAAATGAGACAATTTTGAATAATCACTTTATAGCATTGCGTGCGTGGATGCTCCAAGATTTGTCCCTTTAGCATGCTTATTGGTCGGACGATTGGCGGTAAAACGGGAAGAATATCGTGAAAAAGAATATCAGTTGGATATTCCATTTTCATACAGTCGAGAACCGGAATAATTACTTTTAAAATTTCCTTCTCGTTTGTCCACAATTTCCTTAAATATTCCCTCGATTGATCGGGTAGAATCGGTACAATTTTGTCTCTATTCAAATCTCCCCGATTATTGATTCTAAAAGTAAAGAAAAAATTAACAATAATTAGATTTAAAAAATTCAAGGTTGCCACCACGCTTTCCCTCATTTCAAATTCCCTGACTTTTCCAGGTTTTCTAGGTTAAAAAACGTAATTTTTCCAGGTTTTTAAAACTACATTTATATTTTACCAAATTTTATTTTTAATTTTAGTTTAATTTCAATTCAATTATTCATTTCTAGAAATTTTAACTAAAATTCTTCTTTAAAGCAATTATTTTTAATAATATTTGAAAAAGTTCTTCTTTGGGAATTTTTAAATCCATACAATAAAAAAAAAATAATAATAATAATAATAATAATAATAATAATAATAATAATAATAGCTTTTTGTTTACAATTCAATGTTACCTAAAATTTCGATTATTCTGACATTCTTCAATGAAAAAAAATTAGAAAATTAAAAAAATTAAATAATTAAAAAAAAATTCCATTAAACTTGTTGAGAAAAATTAATTCAATAAATTTCCTTAAAAATCTTTTGTCAAGAATTTAATTATTTTTTTAGATAATAAAATTATTCGCAGGAATTCAATTATTCTTAAAAAAAAATTGAATAAAATTCTTCGAAATAATTCAATTATTTTTAAAATTGACAAAATTCTTCGCAATAAGAATTCAATTATTTTCAAAATTCATCAAATTCTCAGCAAGAATTCAATTATTTTCAAAAATGATAAAATTCTTCGTAAATATTCAATTATTTACAATATATTAATTTTTACGTAATTTCGATTCTTCTGACATTTCAATTAAATATATATATATATATATATATATATATATATATATATATATATATATATATATTAGAAAATAAAAACTTGAAGAATTAAAGAAAAATTCAATTAAACTTTTTTAAAAAAATTTTTATAAAGATTATTGAAATTTTGACGAGAATTTTTGTAAATTGTTGAACACAATTAAATTTCTGCGAAGAATTTTATTAATTTTTTTAAATAATTGAATTCTTGAGACGAATTTTTATTAAAATGTCTTTTTAAATAATTGAATTCTTTTATAAAATTTTATTCAAATAGTAGACATTGAAAATAATTTAATTTTGACAAATTTGAAAAAAAAATTATCAAAATTTCTACGAAGAATTTTATGAAAATTATTTTGAAAAATAATTGAATTATTACAAAGAATTAAAAAATAACAAAATTCTTAAATAACAAAAATTTAAAATTCTAATTACATTCAGAAATTTTAATAAAATTTTTCTCAAGAATTTAAATATTTTCGAAAAATAATAAAAAATCTTTACAGAGATTCAATTATTTTCAAAAGTCTTAATAAAAAATTCTTCCCAAGAATTCAATTATTTTGAAAAATATCAGAATTTTAGCAGAAATTCAAATATTTTAAAAAGTTTTGATAAAACTTGTTTTGGTAGAAATACAATTATTATTAAGACAATTTTTAAAAAAATGTCTCGATAAAATTAAATTATTTTTAAAATTTTAATGAAATTCTTCGAAAGAATTCGATTATTATAATCTAAGATTTTAATTGAAATCTATTTTTAAATAAATGTTTATGAGAAAATTCTACCAGAATTCAATTATTTAAATACAAATGAAATGCAAATAAATAATTTATTGAATAATTGAATGTTTCTTGGAATTCAATTCCCATTAAAAATTTTATTAACAAATTTTTAAATAATTAAATTCTTTGGACGAATTTTAATAAAATTTTTAAGAATTTTTTCGAGGAATTCGATTAAAATAATTCTATTGAAAATAATTGAATTCCTAAAAAGAATTTTATTATTTACGAAAATAATTGAATCCCCGTAAAAATTTTATTATTTATGAAAATAGTTGAATGATTGCGAAGAAATTTATAAAAACAATTTGTTATTAATGAAATTCTTTTGAAATTTTTATTATTTTTTTAAAATAATTAAAAGTTTTTGTAGAATTTTATTAAATTTTTTTTTTTGAAATAATTAAATTCTTTTGGTAAATTTCATGAAAATAGTAGATATTGAGAACAATATTTAATTTTTGCGAAGAATATTATTACTTTTGAAAATAATTGAAATTTTGCAATGGATTTTATTTAAATTTTTGAAAATAATTGAATTTTATTACTTTAGAAAATAATTGAATTCGTGTGATAAATATTGTTAATTATGAAAATAATTGAAATTTTGTAATGAATTTTAATAAAATTTTTGAAAATAATTGAATTTTGTCGAAGAATTTTGCTATTTACTTAAATAAAGATAATTGAAATAAAGTAAAGTTAATAAAAAGAAATAATTTTATAAAAGAAAATAAAGTAAAATTAATAAAAAAAGAAATAAAAATAAAAAAATTAAGAAACAATAAGAAAAAGATTTATTTTATTAATAAAATGAAAAACTAACTTGGGCGTCATAATTCGATTTCCACTGGTCGTAATCCGTAAAAATACCTCTTGACAATAAATACAATTCTTCAACAATTTGCAATTCTTCAGCACCTTGTCGACGTGAGCCTGAAGTTCCATATTATAATTTCGTGTATTCATATTGACACCACCCTCGTCGCGTCCATTATTAATTTTGTACTTTTCGCGATTGTGCAAATTTTGCACATAACTTTGTATAACATCCTTGACATAGGCATAAATTTCATCGCCCTGTCCCGTCTCCGGCAACGATGAACAAACTTCTTGCTCGAGTTCGAGAATATCGCTGAAATATCCCTCCTCGAGGAGTTTCAATTTTGCCACTAATAATAATTTCTCGTGACGTGCAATTTGTAAACTGAAACATTGTCGGCAGGTTAAACGTAAAATTGTGTATAAAATTTTATGACACAGGGGATTAACAACTGTTAATGGTAATTCAATGTGGCCAAAGTGTCCCGTGCATTTTAGTACAGCGTGTCCACATGTTTCGCAAGGATCTGAATTTTCGTGCAGTGGTCCTGGAAAAAAAAAATTTATATTAGTATTTTTTCTTCTTCTTTTTGTTTTAAGGATAAAATTCAATTATTTTCAAAAATAACAAAATTTTTCCTAACAATTCAATTATTTTCATAAATAAGAAAATTCTTCTCAGGAATTCAATTATTTTTGAAAATTTTAATAAAAAATTCTTTGCAACTATTCAATTATTTTCACATAAATAATAAAATTCATCGCGGGATTTCAATTAATTTTAATACAATTTTACAGGAATTAATCCAGAAATTTAATTATTCTTAAAAATTTAATTTCGATTCCTAGAAGAAATCAATTATTTAAAAAAATGCTTTTTTTTAAATTCTTTGGAAGAATTTATTTATTATTTATTATTATTTATTTGTTTATTTACAAAAATATTAGAATTTTTCACAGGAATTCAATTATTTTAAATACAATTTTAATTAAATTTTTTTTGAAATAATTCAATTACTCTTTTGGATTTTAATAAAATTCTTCCCGAGAATTCAATTATTTACGTATAAATAATTCTTCGAAAGAATTCAATTTTTAAAGATAATTATAACAAAATTATTCTCGAAAATTCAATTATTTTGAGGGATTTTAATAAAATTTTTTGCAAAATTCAATTATTATCGTAAATAATAAAATTCTTTCTGTACAATTCAATTATTTTTGAAAAATTTTCACAAAAATCGTTGAAAATAATTGAAAAAAAAATTATTCAAATATTGTCCAAAATTCAATTATTTTCGAAAATAATAAAATTCTTGTTCAAAAATTTAATTAATTTTCTAAATATTTAATTGATTCGTTAAAAATTAAATTATTTTGATAAATAGTAAAATTCATCGTTAGAATTCAATTATTTTTTAAGGAATTTTAATAAAATTCGTAGAAAATAATAGAAACAGAAGTAATTGAAAAAATAATGAAAATGATGTGAAAATTCAATTATTTTCGTAAATAATAAAATTCTTTGTTGAAAATTCAATTATTTTCGTCAATAATAAAACTCTTTCTCTAGAATACAATTATTTTTTTGAAAATTTTTATAAAACAGAAATAGAAATAAAAATAATGAAAATCTTCTCAAAAATTCAATTATTTTATGAAATATTGAAATTGTTCTGAAAAAATTCAATTATTTTCGTAAAAATAATAAATTTCTTCACTAGAATTCAATTATTTTTAAAAGTAATAAATTTCTTCTTTAAAATTCAATTATTTAAAAACATTTCTGATAGAATTCTAAGCAATAATTCAATTATTTTCATAAATAAAAATTTTGTCACAAGAATTCAATTATTTTCTTCAATTTTGAGAAAATTCTCTACAAAAATTCAATTATTTTTTTAAAAACTTAAAATTTACACAAGAATTCAATTATTTAGGTAATACACAAGAATTACACAAGAATTACACAAGAATTAATTAATTACACAAGAATTCAATTATTTAGGTAAAAGAAATTTTTTTTACAAAAGTCAATTATTTACTTAATAAATTAAATTCTTTTCAAAAATTTAATTATTTTCTTACAGACTAAAATACTTCTCAAAAATTAAATTACTTTTTATAAAACATAAAAATTATTCCCATGAATTCTCTTAATTTCATAAATAATAAAATTCGTCGCAAAAATTCATGAATTTTTTTTCAAAAAAATTTATTAAAATTCTTGGCAAGAATTCAATTATATTCGTAAGAAAATAAAATTCTTCTGAAAGTTTCAAATAATTTTCTTTAAAAATTCAATTATATAATTATAAATTCTTTACAAAAATTAAACTATTTTTATAAACAAAAAAAAAATTCCTCACAATAAATTCAATTATTTTCAAAAATAACAAAATTTTTCACAGAATTTCAATTCTTTTTTTAACATTTTAATAAAAGTTTTCGCAATAATTCAATTATTTTCAAAAATATTTAATAAAATGCCACACAGACATTCAATTATTCTCAAAAATTTTAATCGAATTCTTTGCAAATTTTAATTATTTTTAAAAACTTTTCGCAATTCAATAATTTTCAATATTTACTATTTTTATTAAAATTCGAAACAGATTTCAATTATTTAAAAAATGTTTTGTAAAAATCTTCGTTAGAATTCAATTTTCTTCTTAAATAATTAAATTTTTTTAGGAATTCAGTTATTTTAATTATAATTTGCATATTTTTTTACTATTCTTGTTACTAAAATAAAATAAAAAATTGATTTTACATTTAATTGATTAATTTAATATATTCTTTAAAAGGGGAATAAAATTAAAGAAAACGTTAACTAATCAGAAAACTTCTTTAAAATAGAAAAAACCATAAAAATTACTTGACAATAGCAAGAAAAATTTTTCAAAATTGTAAAGAAAAAATTAATAATAACTTTGAAACTAATAAAAAATTGCTTGAAATTGAAAAAAGTCGTAAAAAATACTTGAAAATAAGAAAAAAATATATTAAAAACTACTTGAAAATAACGAAAAAATTCATTTAAACTAAAAATGTAAAAAAATATTTAAAAATTCTTCAAAATGACAAAAATTTCTTGAAATTAATAAAAACTATATAAAAAATACTTGAAAATTAGAGAAAAAATTTCGTAAAATTGAAAAATTCTCAAACAATAATTAAAATTTTGAATAAATTGAAACTCGACAATTATTGAATTTAGATTCAACAAAAAAATTGTTTAAAAAATGATTAAAAATAATTACCAAGAGCCGGATCATAGAGTCCACCTTTTTCCGGATGATTTAATCCAAATTTATCGAATGGATAGGGTTTGTAAATTTTCACCACACTTAATTTTCGAATTTCCTCCTCGGTGAGAAAGGAAAAAACGAGACTCTTTGCATCGAAATGTCTCGCTGCTTTACGAGCCGCCAATTTATATCCCGACATTATTTTCCTCTTTTTCTTTTTAATTTAATTTTAGTTTTTTATTCGCCTGTAAATAAGAATTAGTAATAATTTTTATAAAAAAAATTTTATAATAATAAACAACAATAATAATGACAATAATAATTATTATTATAATAATATAATTAATAATAATACTTATAATATATAATAATAATAATAATAATAATAATAATAATATTAATAACAATTATTATACTTATCATACACGAGGTTTTAAAAAGAAAGTTCGTGAAAAACGTGAAAAGGGTGAAAAGTAATAATATTCATTTTTGAGGTTATGTTCAATTTTCTGTCACCGTTTTTAATAGAATAAAGAATAGAGATAATTTACCCTTTTTTCGCAGCAGAGAAATTCCGTTCGCTTTTTAAATACACACTCACGAATTATTAACTTGTTATCACATTTTGCTCTTGAATATTCAAGAAAGTAATTTAAAGACTAAAGAAAATAACAAGAAGAACGTGTTACTTGCGGCCTGCTGTCAACACGTGTTTAGTTACGTCGTCTCTTTGTAAATATAAATAATACAAACTGCATTATTATACCTATATATAGTCATATAAGAAACTTTTCCCCTTCTAAGCTTTGTAGTAATTCTTTTATTTTATAAACAATAAGAAAAAAATGTTAATAATTAAAAAAAATTGTGTTTTTTTTTAAATAAAAAGTACAATTTTTTGAAAATTGGGGAACTTCTTTACCGACTGAGTCATCCTGCAGTGCAGTGAATGGTGTGAACATAACTGATTAACAATTGGACAAAATTTCTAAAGTCTGCTTCACAGAATCGGGTATAAAGGCGCGTTCACACCTTGGCTGACTGACTGCTTAAGTAAAAACTCAATTTGTTTTGTTTTAAAAGTTTAAAAATTTAGTTGTTGTCTTATTACGATTTAGGAAAAATAAATAAGAGTAAAAAAATAAATTAAATAAATAAGTAGAGTAAATAAAAAGTAACATTGATTTCAATTGTCCAGTTGAAGCAAGTTTGTCTTTTGGACACGCCAATCGACGAAACTATAATTTACCAACTGTCGGTAAATTACCGACTATCATCATAATTTAACTTGCCGACAAACTTTTTTTCCCATAATTTAAATATTTTTTTATTTAAATTAAAAAAAAGGAATTTGAAGCGGGAAATTTGGATTTTTGTTTTTAAGAAAAATGAATAAACTGAAAAAAATTATATTTCTCGGAACAATTAAGTGGCACTGATTTACTTTCAAAAATTATCAATAATAAATACACATTTAAACTAACTATCGACTTTTTTTTAATCAATTACGAGTCGAAGGCATTTTTTTGTTTGTAGATTCGTCTATATATAAATACACAAGAAAAAAATTTTTTTTTCCAACTGCTTTTTTTCCTCGAATATTGTTATGTATACAAAATAAGTATATAAACAAAATTTGAGAAAATTCTATAAATATTCTCAAGAGTATCGAATAAAATAATAATATTATTAATATTAATAATTAATAATTATTATAATTGTAATAGTAAAATAATAATGATAATAATCTATAATAATAATATTTAATAATTATAATAATTTTAATAAAAATATAATAATAATAATAATTTTAATTATAATAATAATAATAATTTTAATTATCATAATAATAATAATAATAATTTTAATTATAATAATAATAATAATAATAATTTTAATAATAATTAATAAAAATAATTATAATTACAATAATAATTTTAATTTTAATAATATAATTATAATCATAATCATAATAATAGTAATTATAATATTAATAATAATGAAAATTATCACTATTATTATAACAGTTAACATTTTTCTTTCATACAATTCTTGCACTCTTATCAATTTTTTTTTCTATTCGTCTCAATTTTATTAACATATCAATTTAAAGGAAGAAACTAACTTTTTTTTATTAAAAAGAAATACTTTTTCGTGTTTTTTTTGCAAAATTTTTTTTTTCTTAAAAAAATACTTTTGTTTTTCTGTACAAAAAAATTTCTTTTTATAAATTCTTTGTTTTTCTTTACAAAAATTTTTTTTTCTTAAAAAAATACTTTGTTTTTCTTTACAAAAATTTTATTTTCTTAAAAAAAAATACTTTGTTTTTCTTTACAAATTTTTTTTTATATTCTTTTTTTTAGAAATAATTTTTAATTTTGTTAGGAAAAAATTTTTGTATAATTAATTTATTTAAAAATAAATCGAAAAAAATTTTTTTTAATAAAAAAATAATTCTTCCTTTTTATCACTGAAATTTTGGTCTCAACTTTCCGATCATTTTTTTTTTCTCTAGAAAATTTTTTTTTTAAACTTTCGAGATAAATAAAATAAAAAAAAAATGAAAATTTACTTTTTAAAACGATTTTTTTTTTTTTGGTTTTTTTTCTATTTTTTAACAAATAAATTCTTTTTTTTTTGCTTTCGAAAAATTTCAATTTTTGACTAAATTACCAGGAAAAAAAGGTAGAAATTAACGAAAAAAAATTTTGTTTTTTTTAAAGAAATGATAAAAAAAAATAACGAATTTTTTTTTCTAAGTAAAATTAACAATTTCTTTTGACCAGAAAGTAAATTTCAAAATTTCGAACATTTTTTCAATTTTTTTTTTTTGACGCTGGACATAAGTTTGAAAAAAAATATTAAAAAAATCATAACTACTAAAAAAAAATCTTCTAACTAAATTATTTTTTTTTACAATAATTCCTTAAGATTAAGGCACTTTTTACATTAAAAAAAAATTGGACGAATGGAAATTTTTCCGTTTTTTCTGAAGCAGAAAAAAAATTTCTTTGGCCAAATTAAAAAATTCTTTTTTTTTCTTTTTTTTCATCTTTTGAACTTTAACGTTCGTTTTTCTTTTAATTTCTCTAAATAATTTCCAGAAAAATTGTACCAATTTTACTTATTTTTTATTTTTTTATCTAAAAAAGAAACATTGAAAGAATAGAATATTCATAAACATTCTAATTTTTTTTTCATCTATATTTTCTTATTTTTAATTTTTTTTCGCTAAATTTAATTTTCTCACCTATTTTTTTATAAATTTTATTTTTTGATATTAGATACACTTTTTTTCTATTTTCATTTCTTTTGTCGATTATTCTTGTTTTCTTTTCTTTTAAAGCTTATTGTCTATTTTTCCTCTTTCGAAAAAATTTAAACATTTTTTTTTATTGTTTTCGATATTAAAATTTCTTTCGATTCACGTGTGGAAACTTTTTTTTGTTTTATTTAAATATCTTTTAAATATTTAAATATTTCTTCTGTATCAAAATATTTTTTTCTGTATTTAAATATTGTTTTTGTATTTAAATATTTTTTCTATATTTAAATATTCTTCAATAGGTATTTAAACATTTTTTTTGTATTTAAATATTTTTTTTCAAATTAAATTTTTTTACAAATTTTTTCAAATAATTATTTTTTTTATATTTTATTATTTTTCTACATTTTTTAGCTTTCAATTTTTCAAACATTTGTTTATATTTAAATAATTTTTCTATATTTAAACATTTTTTTATATTTAAATATTTTTTGTTTACAAATGGAATATTTTCTCCTTTTTAAATATTTTTCCACATTTTACTTTCAATTTTTAAATAATTTTTTGTAAATATTTAAATATTTTTTCAGTATTTAAATTATTTTTCTGAATAATTTAAATCTTTATTTTTGGAAATATTTGAACAATTTTTTGAAATATTTAATTATTTATTCAACATTTAAACAAATTCTAAATATTTAAATATTTTTTCAATATTTATACAAATTTTTCTGAATATTTAAATATTTTTATATTCGCCATTAAAATATTTCGCTTAATTTTAACAATTTCTATAAAATAGAACAATTTTTCTACGAATTTGTAGAAAAAAAATTCCCATTTCTCGCATTTTCGCTTATTTTTAACCTTTTTTTTTTTTTTTAATTATTTACACAGAAATTTCCATATTTATCGTTAATTAAATTTTAGAATCGAATTTTGTAAAAAATTTTATCCAATTTTTACATTTATTTCAATTTTTTTTTATTTCAATTTCTAGAAAAATTGTTTTTCTCATTTTCTCATTTTTTTTTTTTTTTGGTTCAATTTTTTTATCATAAAAATCGGATAGAATTTACAAATCGATTTCTAAAAATAGAAAATGCATTAAATTTAAAAGGCACAATATTTTTTCGCATTTTGTTTTTTTTCTTTTCGTCAATTTTTCTTAATTCGAAGAAAAAATTCATCTTTTTTATTTTGAAGGTCACTTGCGAAAAATTGTCTATCACGATATTGAAAAATTTATTTGCTATCAATTTACTAAATATAATCATCATCACAATAAGAATTCGTAATATTGTCACAAAAAAATACTATGTTCGAAATTTTTTCCCTAATTTTCAAAAAGAAAAATTCAGTCTCGAAACTTTCGCCTTTTTTTTACAAAAATTACAATTTTTTTCTCCTCATTTATCAAAAATTCGAAAAATTTATTATTTGTACACCAAAAAGTGAATTTTTTTTTTCAGTTACAAAATATTTTTTTAAAGTTTTCGAAAAAAATCATTTTTCAAAAATAAAGAGAAAAAAAGAAAAATTTTCCATTTTTAAAACAAAATTTCTATTTTAATAACTTTAATTTTATTCATTAATTAATCATTTGTATTATTATAATTTTTTTAATTAATAATAATTTTAATAATTTAAAAAATGTTAATAAAGAATAGAAAAATATTCTACGTTTTTTTCTGAAAATAATTTTTGACTTCTTTTCCATTAACAAAATATTTTTTTCAAGTTTTCGAAAAGTAATATTTTTTTTTAAATAAAGGAAAAAAACGAATTTTTTACTTTTAAACTAAAATTTTTCTATTTTAATAATTTTTTATTATAAATTAACATTTAATTTCTTTTGTTATTATTTATTTTAATTAATTAATAATAATTTAGAATATTTTAATAAAAATTAGAAAAATTTTCTATTCTTTTTGGAAAAAAAATGATTTTTGACAAAAATTATTTCGAATTTTCCTTTTTTACAAAAATTACAATTTTTTCTCCTCACTTTTCATTTTTATTTTAGTGTCAAAAATTCGAAAAATTTATTATTTTACACTAAAAAGTGAATTATTTTTTTCATTTACTATAAATATTTTTTTCAAGTTCTCGAAAAAAAGAAAAAATTTTCTATTTTTAAAATAAAATTTCTATTTTAATAAAGACTTTAATTTTATTAATTAATTACTTTTATTATTACTATTTTCTTTTAATTAATCAATATTAATCAATAATAATTTTAAAAACTTTAATAAAGAATAGAAGAATTTTCTACTTTTTTTTAGAAAATAATTTTTGATTTTTTTTCAAAACAGAATTTTCTTTGAAAAAAAAAAAATTATTTCAAAGAAAGAAATTATCGAACTTTCATTTTCTATTTAAACCGAAATATTTTGTTTTTAAATTTGGGAAAAAAAATTTCAAGAGCATTTAATTGATTAAAAACTCAAAAAAGAAGTTTCTTTAAAAAAAAAAAAATTATTTCGAACAAAGAAAATTTCGATCATTTTCCCTTTGGACCGAAATATTTTCTTTTTAAATTGGAGAAAATTTTTTTCAAAAAGTATTTAATTTGAATAAAAATTCAAAAAAGAATTTTCTTTTCAAAACAAAAAAATTTTTTTCGAATTTTCATCATTTGGACCGAAATATTTTCTTTTTGAATAGGGGAACAAAATTTTTCAAGAAGCATTTCATTAATTAAAAATTCAAAAAAGAATTTTCTTTAAAAAAAAAAAATTTTTTGAAAAAAAATTTTTTTTTCAAAAAATATTTTTTTCAAAAACTATTTCCTCGGTTTTTGTTTTCAAGAATTATTTTTTAAAAAAGAAAATAGAAAAAGAAATGTAAACGTAAAAAAAGAACGTCTCTCTCTCTCTCTAGTCATCACAATTTCATTTCCCAAAGAACAATGTGCGCGTCATTACTATTCGGATCCTTGGAATAATTATTCACACTCTTGTGATTATTTTTCTCAGTCTGTGTATTCAATTGCCGCCAGTTAACGTAGCCCCGCCCTCCCATTAGCGTGAGAACCGTTCGCTTTGGTTGATCCTGATTCGGCGTCTTCTTCCCACTCTTCTTCTTCTTCGTCGTCGCTGTCGCCGCCGTAGCCGCAGTGGGCGTGGCCATAGTCCCCGCCCCCTTCTTCTCATTCGTCGCCCCACTCGCCCTACTCTCCTCCTCCTTCCCCCTCTCCTTCCTCACACTCTTCCCCTTCTCCTCCCTAGGCGTGGTCTTCTCCTCCTTGGGCGTGGTCGCCCCCCGTTTCCACTCCTTATCGTACGGCCCATTCCTACTCGCCGTACTGCTATTCCTCGACAACCTCCCCGCTTTTAGGCTCAAATTCTCCTCGGACCCGGAGCTGGTGTACAGGGAGCTCGCGTGTGAATCCACTGACCAGTTCGATAGATCCAAAGATCGAGGTCGAGTTATCTTCATCTGTAGTCGTCGGTCTAGTGTACTGACCTTACTGGGTATGGCCGCAAGTTCCGGATCACTGCGCCTTAGTGTTTCGTACACCGGATCGATCCCCGAGGGGTTTTCATTATCGTAGTCCTTACAGTACATCAAATCGCCGTACAAACCGTAGACGTCGCAGTTTTCGCCCGAACTCTGTGAACTCGAGGTTGAATTCGACAAAAAACTCCCGCCAGAGCTGCCCAAACCACGGGGTAAGGTCTTCGATCCCCTGAATTCGCTCTTCCCGCGCTTTCTTCGCAGCATTACGGGACTTTCGGCTAATTGGTGACGTAGCTTCACGACCGATTCGTTCTTCTTTTGCTCCTTCGGCGTCGGGGGCTCTTCCTCCTCCCACGCTCGCTCCTCGGTCCACTCTTCGGCCTCTTGATTCGCCTCGGCGTTAAAATTGTTCCGATTCTGTATCGCGAGGAGGAATGTGATGGGGCCAAAGTGCGCGTGGTAGGAAATGTTAACGCGGCCGGAAATTATGGGAACGCCCTCGAGACGCGGCAAGGGGATCGTGAGGCTAATGCCGCAGTTGGTGCCGACCCACAAAAGACCTTTGCAGGCTAATAAAGCGGTCACTGTGACACTCGCTTGATGGTAATTGTTATTCAAATTCTCCGGGGATTTGATGACGCGTAGGACATTCGACGCTATGTTTATGTCCTGAAGATGTTTGAACGTCTCCGTATGGTAGAGACAAACGGTACTTGAATTTCGGAGAGCGACCCAGAGCCCGACTCCGGAGTGGGCCATTAGTTTTACACTACCTACATGCTCGTGCTGGACGCTGAAACTCTTCGTCACTTCGCCGGAGAGAGCGTTTAGGACCCAGACTTTTTTACCACACGCGGCGTACACGGAGGAATTGATCGGCATTAGACAAGAAGTCGGTTCGTTTCCTAGTTGAACCAGAAGGGGTTCGCGCATCTGCCAACTACCATCGCACTGTCTACGGAACATGAGCAGCGAACCAGTGTTTAGAGCGACAAAAACATTATCGTAGTGATACTTAATTTCCGCAACAGCCCCCGAAACCGCGTAACTACCAATTTCCTCATGTTTTTCAGGTTCGGCCGCATGGTAAATGAGGAGTTTTCGGGAATCGGTGCCCATCCAGACGGTGTCGGTGAGGAGACCTGAAGTTTCGCCCGGGAGGCCTTTGACGAATTCCATGGCAGCGATGCGGGTTTCGATTAGATCGAAGGTGGCGATTTGTTTTAGGGATGTGGTGGAGGCGGTTGTCGATTGACTGAATACTGTCACGTGACTCGATATGTCGTCGCCGGTGCATATCCAGAGGTAACTTTGATGTCGGCCGCGTCGTCGGGTTGGTTTTGGATTTTGGGTGGTGTAGTGACATCCGCAACGGACCTGGAAGCATTGGTTATTTTTCTTTTTTTGATGCAAGCACACATCAAGGAAACAACTATTCCTTTACGTCCGGAGGGGAAATTTAAAGCAGAAGCTAAAGATTCTTCGTGTGGTGAAAAGATTATGATGGTGAGTAGTGAGTAACTTAGGAAAAAAAATATTATGTTACATCTGGCGCCCATTTTTAACCAGAATGTAAAAAAGAATCTTGATGAGGTTGAATGTTATGATAAGTGATTGTATTTGCAAAAAAATATATTAAGTTACATCTGGCGCCCATTTTTAACCAGAATGTAAAAAAGAGTCTTGATGAAGTTAAACGTAATGATGGTAAATGACTGACTTCGGAAAAAATTAAATGTAATGATGGTAAGCGACTATATTAAGAAAAAAATATTTTACGTTACATCTGGCGCCCATATTTTTTACCAGAATGTAAAAAGAGTCTTGATGAACAGCAGAGGCTTTAAAATTATAACCATTTTCGCCAATATTCGGTTACAAAAAAGAAAAGCTAATAAAAGTGACAATAACAGACTTCGCACTCGATAATTAATTTTGAAAAAGAAGCAAAAAGTAGCTTTCAAACTAAAAAAATAAGTAAAAAAAATGGCTATGGAAAAATTAAACTTGAACAAAAAAAAACTTGTTTTAGAACCTTATTCACAAAACTGACAAGAATTCCATTCTATTTTTTATTTTTCCGACTTTTTTTCCAATTTTCATCAAAACTATTTATTTATTTCTTATCCTACTGCTTTAAATTGAATTCCTGCCCAACGAATTATATTATTCATCAAAGAATTTCAATATTTAGAAAAATAATTTAATTCTTGCCAAGAATTTTATGAAAATTTTTAAATAATTCATTTCTTATGACTAATTTTATACAAATTATAATTTAAATAATTAAATTCCTGAGAAATTTTTATTATTCATGAAAAGAATTGAATTCTAACGAAGATTTTTACAAAAATTTATTTTAAATAATTGACTTCTGTTTGAAAATTTTTTGAAAATAGTAGATATTGAAAATCACTGATTTGCGAAAAGTTTTTAAACCTAATTAAATTTTACAAAAAATTCTATTAAAATTTCTGACAATAATTTAATGTCTGTGTAACAATTTATTTAACTTTTTTGAAAATAATTGAATTCGACTAAAAAACATTTTATTATTTATGAAAATAATTGAATTCTTGCGAACGATTTTATTAGAATTGTTTGAAATAATTGAATTTCCAAGAAGAAATTTATTAGTTTTAAAAATAATTGCATTCTTGTGAGGAATATTGTTATTTATGAAAATAATTGAATTTTCCAAAGAATTTTATTAAAATGCCTCAAAATATAATTAATTTTTCGAGAATAATTTTGTTATTTATCTTTAATAACTATTTCAATAATTTCAATTATTTTCAGCAACTAGAAGATTCATCACAAGAATTCAATTATTTTCTACAATTTTAGGAAATTACTTCTCAAGAATTCAATTATTTTTATAAACAAAAGGAAAATTTTTCGCAAGAATTCAATTATTTTCATCTAAAATAAAATTTACATCAAGAATTCAATTTATTATTTTCATAAAAAAAAATTGTCACAAGAATTCAATTATTTTCTTCAATTTTAAGAAAATTCTCTACAAAAATTCAATTATTTTCTTAAAAAATAAAATTTTCCACAAGAATTAAATTATTTTCATAAAAAATATTGAATTATTTCAAAAAAATTAAATTAAAATTGTATTTCAAATAATTGATTGATTTCGCACAATTTTATTAAAATATTTGAATATAATTGAATTTCTGTAAAATATTCTAATATTTTTGTAAATAATTGAATTCTTCTAAAAGAATTTTTTGAGCAATTCCTGTAAAATAGTATTTAAAATAATTTTATTATTTACAAAAATAATTCAATTCTTGCAACGATTTTTATAAAATTTTTTAAAATTACTTGAATTTTTGCGAAGAATTTGATAGCAATCTTTTTAAATAATTAATTTTTTTCGAAAAATTTTATGAAAATAGTGTTTTAAATAATTGATTTTCTGTAAAAATGTATTTATTTATGAAAATAATTAAATGTTTGTGTAGAATTTTAGTAAAATTTTTTAAAAATATTTTTGAATACTTTTAGAAAATTTTATTAAAATTTCTAAAAGTTTATAAAAATAATTAAATTTTACAAAGAATATTGATTAAAAATTTTTGACAATAATGGAATTCTTGCGAACGATTTTATAATGAATTTTTCAAAATAATTGAATTTCCAAGAAGATAATTTTTTTACTTTTAAAAGAAATTCAGATTCTTTCGCAATAAATATTGTTATTTATGAAAAATAATTGAATCATGTAAAGAATTTTATTAAAATAACACCAAATAATTGAATTCTCGGCAATAATTTTGTATTAAAAATAATTGAAATCCTGCGATGAATTTTATTATTTATGCGAAAATAATTGAATAGTTGCTAAGAATTTTATTAAAATTTTCAAAAAACAAAAAAATAATTGCATTCCTGAGAAGAATTTTATTATTTATAAAAATAATTGAATTATTGCGAAAAATTTTATTTAAAATGTTTAAAAAGAATTGAATTTCAGTGAAAAATTTTGTTTTTTTTGAAAATAATTGAATTCTTTATAAGAATTTTATAAACATTGTTTTAAATAATCAATTTTTTCGAAATATAATAAATATTATGAAAATTTTATTTTAAATAATTGAATTCTTCTGGAAAACTTTATTTGTGAAAATAATTGAATTTTTCGATTAATTAATTTAGAATAGTATTTAAAAATAATTGAAATTCTTCGATGAGTTTTATTTATTTACGAAAATAATTGAATTCTTGCTTAGAATTTTAATTTTTTTTGAAATAATTGAATTTCTATAAAAAATGTCATTATTAGTGAAAATAATTGAATTATTGTGAAGAATTGTATAAAAATTTTGTTAAATAATTGATTAATTTCATTTTTTCGAATTTTTTTTTTAAATGCAATTCTAAATTAATTGAATTCCCGTGGAAATTTTATTATTTATGAAAATAATTGATTTTTTCGAAATTTTTATGAAAATTTTATTATTTATGAAAATAATTGATTTTTTCGAAATTTTTTTGAAAATTTTATTATTTATGAAAATAATTGAATTTTGAATGAGTTTTATGAATTTTTGTTTTAAATAATTGAATTCTTTTGCGAAATTTAGTGAAAATCCTCGATATTGAAAATAGAATTTTGAATATTTTTTGGAAAATAATAGAATCGTTTTAGAGAATTTGAGACTAATTTTTTAGAAGTTTTTCGATTTCTAGTATTAGCGAATTTAAAGTAAATTCTCGAAAAAAACATAGAAATAGTAGCTTTTAGTGTCTGAAATTTTAAAAAAAGTACCCAAATAGTAGCATAACGTAAAAAAAGTAGCAAATTTAGTTTTAGTAGATGAGTGCGAAGCCTGCAATGTTTAATTGAATAGAAAAAAGAATAGAAGATAATAGAAAAACTCACTTCGGTTTGATGTTGCGACTGATAAACCGGCTGTGAACTGACAAATAGCGGCATTTTAGTCGACGGCCTCTGCTCCTGCTCGGGCACCTCCCACGACGGCGAATTATTCGGATCGAGCGCCAATTGAGCGAGTCTCAATTCCGTGATCCAATCTTTCTTCACTAGAGGATTGTCCGTTTGAAATGTGTACATTTGCCCCTGTTTGGTGCTCAATTGCAAACAACAACTGTCCGCCCAAACCATAACCTCGTCCTTCTGCTGAATTGACGACTGAATCGACTGCAATAGTTGCTTCGTCGTGTCCAGTGTCATTCCCTAGTCGAAAACAATAACAAAAGAATTAATTAAAATTAAATTAATTAAAAATAAAGAATTAATTAAAAACAAAGAATTAATTTAAAATAAAGAATCAATTAAAAATAAAGAATTGATTAAAAAATAAAGAATTAATTAAATATAAAGAATTGATTAAAAAATAAAGAATTGAATAGAGCAAAAAAAAAAAAATATACAAAAAAGGTGGAATTTTTCAAAAAAAAATCCGTACATCATAGGTTCCTTTGAGTTGAGCCACCAGGTCATTGACTCTCGACATGACTTCGTAGTCGTGCATGAGATCGTTCATCTCGGCGCAGAGACCGTCGGCGCCAAGTTGACCGCTCTCGCCACTTCTGTCCGAACGGAGACTATTTCCTTTATTGAGACCTGCTGTTAATAATCGACTCAACGTTGGCGATGCACTCGTGTCTTGAATCTACCGGAAAAGAAACAGTTTTCTTCTTAAAAAATACGTTTTTAAAATTTCATTTCAAGAATAGAAATTAAAAATTTTTTAAAGTCTGAAATTTAAATCCCAAGGATTCAAAATAGTAAAAAATTACCTCGACCTCCGACACAGGGTGCGTCCACTTTAGTGTTAGTCTTTCGTTTCCGGAAAAATCCTCCGTGGCGCGTGAGGCCACGGAAACGCAGACAACCAAATCGTTTAATAATAAAAGTCGTCTTCTCTTTGATTTCGTGATCATTCCATTTTGATTGAACTCCTGTTGAAGATATAAACGAACATTAAATAAAATATTGAAATTCTCTTTTTTTTAAATATAAAATATTGAAATTCTTTTTTTTTTTTAATATAAAATATTGAAATTCTTTTTTTTTAATATAAAATATTATTAATTGTTTTAATTTATTCTGACAATAAATATTTACCAATTGAGTGACGTCGTCTTCTCTAATCAGGTACCTGGAGGAGGAGGAAAGTGGTCGATGTGACAATTTCCCGGACACTTGACGCAGCATCTCTTTGAATGCTTGAAATTGTTCGGCCTCTCGTTTACGTTCGTTTAGCATTTCAGCTAAACTCTCGAGTTGCGTCAACGCCAATTGCAATGACATTCTATCGTGATGTCCATGTGGCGTGTGTTTCAATAAGTCCTGCAAAAAAAGGATGAAATTAAATATTGTTCACAAAACATATTTTAAAAATATAAGTAAGTTAATTTAAAATAAAAAAATACTTTCAAAAATTATTAAAAAAAACTATTTTCATAAATAATAAAATTTTTCGAAGAAATTCAATTATCTTTAATATAATTTTAATAAAATTTATAAAAAGAATACAATTATTTTTCACAATATTAATTAAATTCGATTATTTTCAAGAATTTTAATATAAATTCAATTATTTATTTCAACAATTTTGATAAAATTCTTTTACAAAAATCATTATTTTCAAAATTTTTAATCAAATTATTTAAAAAATTCAATTATTTTCAAAAATTGAGGTAAAATTCTTCGAAACAATAATTCAATTACTTTGCAAGACTTTTAAAATATTTTCATAAATAATAAAATTCTACAAAGGAATTCAATTATTTTCAATAGAATTTTAATAAAATTTCTCCAAAGAATACAATTACTTTTAAAAATATTCTTTAAATTCAATTATTTTCAAGAGTTTTAATAAAAATTCAATTATTTTAAACAATTCAATTATTTTTATAAATTGTAAGATTCTTGATTCTTGATTCTTTGTCAAGAATTCAATTATTTTTGTAAAATGTAAATAATAAAATTCTCCTAAAAAATTCAAGTATTTTCAAATAAAATTTTAATAAAATTTCTATAGATGAAAATTCAATTTTATATTCAAAATAATTTTAATAAAAATTCTCTAACAGGTTTAATTATTTTTAAAAATTTTAATAAAATTTTTCTAAACAATTCAATTGTTCACAAAAGTTTTTAATAAAATTCTTTGTAAATTTCAATTATTTTCAAAAATTTCAATTATTTTCAAAAATTTCAATTAAAATTACTTTAAAAAATTACAATTTCAATTTTTTCGAAATTTAATGAAATTCATAAAAAAAATGTAATTATTTACAGAAACTCTTAAAAAATTGTTTAAAAGAATTTAATTTTTTATAAATAACTTTAATATAATTTAATAGGAAAATCGTTAATTACAATTAATAATAAACACGATTATTTTAAAAACAAAAGAAATTCTGCTTAAAATTAAATTATTTTCAAATTTTTTTATAAAAAAAATTATTTTCTGAAAATATCTAATTGAATTCTTGAATAGAATTTTATTGAAACTTTTTTAAATAATTGAATCACTGCGAAAAAGTTTATTATTTCTTCAAATAATTGAATTTTTGCCAAATTTTTAAAAAATATTGGATATTTTGAGAAGAATTTTATTTAAAATAATTGAATTCCTGTGAAAAATTTACTATTTATTGATATTATTGAATTCTTTCGAAGAATTTAAAAAATAATGTTTAAAAATAATTCAATTTTCCCTGGAATTCAATTAAAATTGTATTTAAAATAATTTTAATTTTCTTGGATAATTTTTACCAGATTTTTAAAAATAATTGAAATTTTTTGGAGAAATCAATTAAAATTGTATTGAAAATAAGTGAAATCCTGATAAGAATTTTATTATTTATATAAAAATAATTGAATTTTCTACGAAGATTTTTACTATTTATTATAAATTGACTTTTTGCAAAGAATTTTATTACAATTATTGAAAATAATTGAATTCTTGATGAAATTCAATTACTTTCAAAATTTTCAGTAAAAATTATTATAAAAAAACTTTATTATCTTCAAGATTATTGAAATAAATTTTTTAAAACAATTCAATTATTTTAAGGAATTTTAATAAAAAATCATGCCAAATATTATATTATTTTTAATACAATTTTAATTAAATTTTCCCGAAAGAATTCAATATTATTGAAAAAAATGTTGATAAAATTCTTCAAATGAATTAAATTATTTTCAAATTTTTTTCTAAATACTTTACACAAGAATACAATTATTTTCAGTAAATTAATTTAAAAATTTTAAACATTTAAAAAAGAAGAATTAAAATAAAAAAATACTTTAAAAATGTAATTAAAAATAAGTAAATTAATTTAAAATAGAAAAATACTTTCAAAAAATAATTTAAAAAAATAAAAGAATACTTTAGAAATATAGTTAAAAATAAATAAATAAAAAAAATATAAAAAGTATTAAAATTTTTCCTTTCTTTTTATCTTTTTTGATGAAAAGAAAATTGAAAAAAATGAAATACCTTAACAGTACAAGTTAAAGTGAAAAGTAATAGAAGGTAAAAAATTACGAAATAATTTCGTTTTAGAAAATAAAAGAGAATTCAATGAATGAATATCTTACTTGTAAAAATAGAATAAATTGCGGAAACCTTTGAACCGGTTTCACCATCAGTCCAAAAAATGATAATCTGTCGTGAGCGCTGATTTGTTTCACCTGAAATTTCAAAAAGAATTTAGTTACAAATCTTTTCTATACAAATAAATTCTTTTTGCTACCAAATTTTGTTTCCCTACACTTCTTTTTTCAAAAAATTATGAATAAAATCTGCAATTCTGAATAATTTTATTTATTTTTTTACTTTAACTACTTTTAGTTTAATTCTATTTTCTAAATTGTAAATAAAATCTGCAATTCTGCATTATTTTTTACTTTAACAACTTTTTTCTTTTTTCAAAATTGTTAATAAAATCTCTTATTTTTAATTATTCTTTTTCCATAAAAAAAAGGTGTAAAAAAAGTAAAAGTAGTTACAACTTTATTTTAATTCTTTTTTTCAAAAAACGAAATTTGCTATTTTTAATTTTTTTACGTATTTAAAAATTTAAATTTAAAATACGAAAATTTAGTCGAGTAATTTGATTAAAATTTTTGCTTCATTTTCAAGGAAAGAAAAAAATGTTTAAAAATAAATAACGAAAATTGTAGAGAGTTGAAAATTAAAAAAAAATTGAAAATTGTAAAGTGTAAAGTGTAAATAATTGGAAAAATGTTTTTTTGAAAAAGAAAGATAAAATTTGTTGTGTCGCGTGCCTTGAAAAAATCGGCGAGTGCAGTCTTTCGTTTTGATTCCTGTTTGGCGAGGTCCATTGCAACTGAGAAATTATTGATAAAATCACTGTAAATATCGAGGACAATTGCTTTGCTGAAACTCGCGACAAAAACATCGCCAAGTTTCTCGTCTTTGTCCCATGATCTTACGCATTCAGCCAACGCGATACGAAATAAGGTGTGGCATTGGAGAATCTCCGGAAGTCGATGGAACAGTGTCGCTATTTTCGATTGACTTAAAATTGGCGGCGACGATACCTCCAATGGCTTCTTATAGTCCTGAAAACAAAAAGAGAGAAACGAAATTAAAAATTTTAAACAAACACCTATTGAAAAAAAGAAAAATTAAATTAAAATTTTTTAAATTGGGAAGAAAAGAAAAATTGAATTAAAATTTTTAAAATTACGAAATAAAAGAAAAAACGAAATTAAAATTTACAAATTACGAAAAAAAGAAAGACGAAATTAAAATTTAAAAATTATAAAAAAAGAACGAAATAAAAATGAAAAAGAAATTAAAATTGAAAAATTACGAAATAAAAATGAAAACGAAATTAAAATTTAAAAATTACGAAAAAAAGAACGAAATTAAAATTTAAAAATTACAAAAAAAAAGAAAAACGAAATCATTATTGAAAAATTACGAAAAAATTAAAAACATAATTAATATTGAAAAATTACGAACAAAAAAAGCGAAAAAAAAATAAATAACAATTAAAATTGAAAAATTACGAACAAAAAAAAACGAAATTAAAATTGAAAAATTACGAAAAAAAAGAAAAACGAAATTAAAATTGAAAAATTACAAAAAAAATAGAAAAACGAAATTAAAAGAAAAAACAAAACTCAAATTCAAAAATTACGGAAAAAAACGAAATTAAAAGAAAAAAGCAAATTAAAATTCAAAAATTACGAAATAAGAAAATCTAAATTAAAATTAAAAAATTACGAAAAAAACCAAAATTCAAATTAAAAAAATACGAAAAAAAGAAAAACGAAATTATAATTGAAAAATTACAAAAAAAAACGAAATTGAAAGAAAAAACAAAATTCATATTCAAAAATTACGAAAAAAAAAGAAAATAAATGAAAATTCAAAAATTACGATAAAAGAAAAACAAAATAAAAATAAAAAACAAAATTAAAATTGAAAAATTACGAAATAAATAAAAAACAAAATTAAAATTGAAAAGTTACAATAAAATTAAACGAAATAAAAATAAAAAACATAATTAAAATTTAAAAATTAAGAAAAAAAACGAAATTAAAAGAAAAACAAAATTATAATTAAAAAATTAAAAAAAGAAACGAAATTAAAAGAACAAAACCAAATTAAAATTCAAAAATTACATATAAAAGAAAAACTAAATTAAAATTCGAAAATTACGAAAAAAAGGAAAACAAAATAAAAATAAAATTACAAAATTAAAATTGAAAAATTACGAAATAAATGAAAAACAAAATTAAAATTTTAAAATTATGAAATAAAGAAAAACGAAATAAAAATAAAAAACAAAATTAAAAGACAAAACAAAATTAAAATTAAAAAATTAGGAAATAAATAAAAAACAGAATTAAAATTGAAAAATTACGAAAAAAAATAAAAAGGAAATAAAAATAAAAAACATAATTAAAATTCAAAAATTACAAAAAAAAGAAAAAGAAATTAAAATTGAAAAATTAGGAAAAAAATAAAAACGAAATCAAAATAAATAAACGAATTTATAATTGAGAAATTACGAATAATAGAAATACGAAATTAAATTTGAAAAAATACGAAAAAGGAAAAACAACATTTAAATTTAAAAATTACAAAAAAAAAAGAAAAACGAAATCATAATTGAAAAATTACGAAAAAAAGAAAAATGAAATTAAAATTGAAAAATTACGATAAAAAGAAAAACGAAATTAAAATTGAAAAATTACAAAAAAATAGAAAATCGAAATTAAAAGAAAAAAGAAAATTCAAAAATTACGAAAAAAAACGAAATTAAAAGAAAAATCAAAATTCAAATTAAAAAATTACGAAAAAAGAAAAACAAAATAAAAATAAAAAAACAGAATTAAAATTGAAAAATTACGAAATAAATAAAAAACAAATTAAAATTGAAAAATTACGAAAAATAAATAAAAACGAAATAAAAATAAAAACATAATTAAAATTAAAAAATTACGATTAAAATTGAAAAATTACGAAATAAGAAAAACTAAATTGAAATTGAAAAATTACGAAAAAAAGAAAAAAGGAATAAAAATAAAAAACAAAATTAAAATTGAAAAAATTACGAAATAAATAAAAAACAAAATTTAAATTTAAAAATTACAAAAAAATAAAAACGAAATAAAAATAAAAAACATAATTAAAATTTAAAACTTAGGAAAAAAAATAAAAACGAAATAAAAATAAAAAACAAAATTAAAATTGAAAAATTACGAAAAAAACTAAAACGAAATCAAAATAAAAAACAAAAATTATAATTGAGAAATTACGAATAATAGAAAATAATACGAAATTAAATTAGAAAAATTACCAAAAAGGAAAAACGACATTAAAATTTTAAAATTAAAAAAAAAACGAAATCATAATTGAAAAATTACGAAAAAAAGAAAAATTAAATTAAAATTGAAAACTTACGAAAAAAAGAAAAATTAAATTAAAATTCAAAAATTACGAAAAAAATAAATTAAAATTGAAAAATTACTAAAAAAATAAAAATGAAATCAAAATGAAAAATAAAATTCAAATTGAGAAATTACGAATAAAATAAATACGAAATAAAATTTGAAAAATTACAAAAAAGGAAAAACGATATTTAAATTTAAAAATTAAAAAAAGAAAAAGAAAAACGAAATCATAATAAAAAAAAATAAAAAGTGTATTAAAATTGTTTAAAAGAGGAGGGAAAAAATTTTCAATTAAAATTCAGTAGGTGAAAAAACTCAACTTACATTTACGAGCCTTTGTAAAGTGGAAACGTAACTATTCTCGGAGTGAACAATTGCTGCGATAATATATCTGCGTTTTAATTGTTGCGCCGTTAAATTCGAAGGCGCAGGTGGCAAGGAAGGTGGAACTTGTCGTCGTTGTTGAATGCTTTGAAATTGTCCTAAGGGTCCACTTTCTTCTTCCACCTGTGAGTACAAAAAAAAACACAGCAATAAATAAAATAATAAACAATAGAATATATTTAAAATATAAAAAGGAAACAAATTCTGTTTTTTTTTAAACTTTTTTTTGCCATTTTATTTTAAAAATAATTGAAAAATATTCACCTCGGAGAGTTGAGGCATCTGAGGTGGCTTCACTGGACTGGTTAATGAGACCGTGTCCGACGTATCGACATCGTATTGATGTGGCGATCCTCTTCGAATACTGAACCATCTCAAAATTTTCCCCTGACTACATTGCTCCAATGTTTCTGGATTACTGATTCGCATATTTTGCGATCGCCATTTATCGCAAAGCGTTCGCGCCTTGTGAATTGTATTTCTTAACTGACAATTGCTCCTAAAAAACAAAATCAAAACAACAAATCAATAACAATAATAATAATATTTAATTTATTTTTGTTAAAAATTCCATTCTATTTTTTATTTTCCCGACTTTTTCATAATTTTCATCAAAAATATTTACTTCTTTTTATTCTGCTAATAAATTCAATTCTTGCAACAAAATTTAATTATTCATCAAAGAATTTCAATATTTAGAAAAATAATTTAATTCTTGCGAAGAATTTTATTTAAATTTTTAAATAATTCATTTCTTTCGACTAATTTTATGGAAATTCTAATTTAAATAATTCAATTCCTGAGAAATTTTTATTATTCACGAAAAGAATTGAATTTTTACGAATATTTTTACAAAACAATTTTTAAATAATTGAATTCTGTTTGGAAATTTTATTAAATTTTTTCGAAAAGAATTGAATTCTTAAAATGCAGTTTATTATTTATGAAAATAATAGAATTATTGCGAATGATTTAATTTGAATTTTTGAAAATAATTGAATTTACAATAAGAAATTTATTACTTTTAAAAATAATTGAATTCTTGTGATGAATATTGTTATTTATAATTTAATAAAAATAATTGAATTTTGCAAAGAATTTTTATTAAAATCCGTCAGAATAATTGAATTTTCGGAAAGAATTTGATTACAATCTAGAATAATTGAATTATTTCATAAAAAAAATTTAATTAAAATTGTATTTTATTGATTTCTATCGAACAATTTTATTAAAATATTTGAAAATAATTGAATTTCTGTGAAAAATTCTAATATTTTTGTAAATAATTATTGAATTCTTCCAAGCAATTATAAAAACATTTTTTTACATAATTGATTTTTTCAAGGAATTGAAATTCAATTTTTAACAATAATTCCACTTTTCAAGTAATTCCTGTAGAATTATTGTTTTAAAAATAATTGAAATCCTGCGATGAATTTTATTATTTACAAAAATAATTCTATTCTTGCAACAATTTTTTAAAAAAATTTTCAAAAATAATTGATTTTTGAGAAAAATTTTATTATTTATGAAAATAATTGAATTTTTGAATGAATTTTATCAATTTTTTCTAAATAACAAAATAGATGAAAAAAAATTGAAGAAAGAATAAGTAAAAGAAAGATAAATAAAAGGACAATAAATAAAAAAAGAAACATAAATAAAGATAATAAATAGTAAAATACAATTTGGAGGTTTACTTACTTAATACTGACACTACTTTTTTCACTCTCCTCGTCGGAGGAGAGATCGTGATCGGATGCTGAGCACCAGGAATCCTCACTCCTGGCGGAGCGCGTCGACGTGTTGGACCCAATTGGCTCCATTGGAAGACGTTGATGTCTGCCGTGCTGACTGACTGTGTCCATTGCAATTGGTCCCACGTCATCCCATGATCGACACCTCGACCTTGGTTCGTCTGCAAAATAAAAAAAATTCAAAATTAACATTTTTTCCATTTATTTAAATTACATTCTTTATCGTAAAGTGGGCAAATTTGGGCAAACTTGGTCAAACTTTGGACAAATTGAAACATTTTTTAAGTTTTATTATAGAAAGCAAAATAATAATTATTAAAAGTTAATTGGTAATTAAATTAGTCGAGTGTTAAAATTAAAAATTGACCAAAAAGGTCTTGAATAAGACCAAAAAGGACCTATTGGTCAAAATTAGAAAAAAATTGAGTTAAAATTCTAAAAATAAATAAATAAAGTTAGATTAACACACATGGGGGATAAAATGACCAATAAGGGACAAGCAAAAAAGACCAAAATGACCAAAAATTGGATAAAATAACAATTAAGAAAAGATTTAGTTAAATTTTTATAAAACCAATTTTAAAACATTATGAAAACACGCATAAGACGTAAAATGACCAACAAGGGGCAAACAAAACTGATAAGTGACCAAAATTGACCGAAAATGGCCAAAATCAAACTATTCAAGGTTATGACAAAATCACAAGTACTTTATACATGTCCAAAAAAGTATTTAAACTCACGTTCGAAGGAAAATGACCATTATTGGACAAATTGTCAGGTGGCAACCTAAAAATGGGCAAAAATTGGGCAAATTAAAAAAAATACAAAAAATAACAAAATAACTAAATAAGTTAGGAAAAATAATGTATCTAATGACACAGACGACCTAAAAAGACCATTATTGGACAAATTGACACGTGACGACCTAAAGATGACCAAAAATTGGGCAAATTTAAAAAAGACAGAAAATAACAAAATGAGTTGGAAAAAATAATATATCAAATGACACTGACGACCTAAAAAGACCATTATTAGACAAATTGTCACTCGATGACCTAAAAATGGGCAAATTAAGAAAAAGACAGAAAATAACGAAATAAATTAAGAAAAATAAAATCTATAATGATATTAACGACCTGAAAAGACCATTATTGGGCAAATTGACACGTGACGACCTAAAACTGACCAAACATTGGTCAAATTTAAAAAAAGACAGAATATAACGAAATAAGTTAGAAAAAATAATATATCAAATGACATGTGTCGACCTACTAAGGACCTTTATTGGACAAATTGACACGTGACGTCCTAAAAATGACCAAAAATTGGGCAAATTAAAAAAAGACAGAAAATAACGAAATAAGTTAGGTAAAATAATATATCTAGTGACTCTGACGACCTTAAAAGACCATTACTGGACAAATGGACACGTGACGACCTAAAAATGACCAAAAATTGGGAAAATTAAAAAAATGACAAAAAATAACGAAATAAGTTAGGAAAAATATATGTTTAATGACACTAACGATCTAAAAAGACCATTACTGGACAAATGGACACGTGACGACCTAAAAATGACCAAAAATTGTGCAAATTAAAAAAAGACAGAAAACAACGAAATAAGTTAGGTAAAATAATATATCTAATGACACTAACGATCTAAAAAGACCATTACTGGACAAATGGACACGTGACGACCTAAAAATGACCAAAAATTGGGCAAATTTACAAAATACAGAAAATAACGAAATAAGTTAGGTAAAATAATATACCTAATGACACTAACGACCTAAAAAAGACAAAAAATTGGTCAAATTGAAAAATGACAAAAAATTGGGCAAATTTATAAAAAAAACTGAAAATAACCTGAAAAAAAGGGAAAAAAAGAAACATATCTAATTAAAAAAATGGAATAAATCAAATAAAAGAAAAAAATAAAACAACTCTAATTGAAAAATAGTAAAAAATGAGAAAAATAATTCGCCGAGAAAACGAGTGGAAATAATAAAGGGAATAAATAATGTAACGTAAAATAATAAACAATAACGACCATTGTATTATGTGTCTGTACTTGTTTTCTGGAATGACGAAACTCTGGTTTTATAATATTATAAATTTATTCGCGATATTGTGAATTTAAATTTTTTTTTCAATTTTTTTTCTTCCTTTTCTTATTTTCATAAGACGATTCGTTCCGGACATAAGACCATAGAAGACAAACTACCCAAGAGATAACTAGAAAAAGCTGGCGCAACCGGCTTTAAAGAATTTAACTATGTATGTAGATCCAGCACGCGTGGGCTGATTTGACATCTGACGACTAGGTTACGAGTATCAACATAACATTTATAATTACACACGTATACGTTTTGAGTTTTTTTTTTTTTATTTTAACACACAGCCAATTTTATTTTCAACACACATACACAAATGGGTATAGAAATATTTACTATATATATATATATATATATATACATTTTATGTACATTAAATTGCAAGTAATAGACTCATTGATATTTCCGGACGTCGAGTGTATCTTCTCGGTCCATAATTAATCTCTCCCACTTCCGCTTTCGGGAGGAAATGATGGGACATTGTTCGCATATATTGTGTTTCGCTAATTTCCATATAGAGACAGAGACAACAAGTGTTAATTATTCTTTTTTGAGGAATTTTTTTTTAACCTAATTTGAAAATTATTTTTTATACTTTTAAATACTTTTTTTGAATTTTTTAGTCAGTGTAAGGTAATATTTTTTTTTTTTTTTTTTTTTTTTTTTTGAGAATTTCTACTATACTTTAAATTTGCTAATTGTAGAAATCAAAAAAATATTCGCAAAAAATTATTATCAAATTCTTTAAAACGATTCAATTATTTTTTGAAAAATATTCCAATTTCAATTATTTTTAAAAAATATTCGAAATTCAATTATATTCAATTTCTAATATTTTCATCAAATTTCGGAATAGAATTCAATTGTTTAAAAACAAATTGATAAAATTTTTCCAAAATTCAATTATTTTCAAAAAATATGCCAATTTCAATTATTTTCAAAAAATATTCGAAATTCAATTATTTTCAATTTCTAGTATTTTCATCAAATTTCGAAAAAGAATTCAATTGTTTAAAAACAAATTGATAAAATTCTTCCAAAATTCAATTATTTTCAAAAAATATACAAATTTCAATTATTTTCAAAAAATATGCCAATTTCAATTATCTTCAATTTCTAATATTTTCATCAAATTTCGGAATAGAATTCAATTGTTTAAAAACAAATTGATAAAATTTTTCCAAAATTCAATTATTTTCAAAAAATATGCCAATTTCAATTATTTTCAAAAAATATTCGAAATTCAATTATTTTCAATTTCTAGTATTTTCATCAAATTTCGGAAAAGAATTCAATTGTTTAAAAACAAATTGATAAAATTCTTCCAAAATTCAATTATTTTCAAAAAATATACAAATTTCAATTATTTTTAATTTTTAATATTTTCATCAAATTTCGGAAAAGAATTTAATTATTTAGAAAAAAATTGATAAATTTCTACTTGAAAATTCAATTATTTTCAAAAAATACTCCAATTTCAATTATTTTAAAAAAATATTCGAAATTCAATTATATTCAATTTCTAATATTTTCATCAAACTGAAAAGAATTCAATTGTTTAAAAACAAATTGATAAAATTTTTCCAAAAATTGAATTATTTTCAAAAAATATGCCAATTTCAATTATTTTCAAAAAATATTTGAAATTCAATTATTTTCAATTTCTAATATTTTCATCAAATTTCGGAAAAGAATTTAAATGTTAAAAAAACAAATTGATAAAATTCATCCAAAATTCAATTATTTTCATAAATAATAAAATTTCCAGCGGAATTCAATTAATTTTGAATAACATTTTCAAAAAAAATTTCGAAAAAATCAATTATTTAACAAAATTTTTATACAATTATTCACAATAATTCAATTGCTTTCACTAATGATAACATTTTTCATGAAAATTCAATTATTTTACAAAAATTAAAATTCTAAGTAAGAATTCAATTATATTTTCATAAATAACAATATTCATCACAAGAATTCAATTATTTTAAAAAGTAATGAATTTTATTAATTTTTAAAAACTTTTTAATCTTCAAAAGAATTCAATTATTTACAAAAATATTTTAATTTTTCACAAGAATTCAATTATTTACAAATATTTTAATAAAATTTTTCAAAAGAAATCAATTATTTTAAATTGAATTATAATTAAATTTTTTTTGAAATAATTCAATTATTCTTTTCGATTTTAATAAAATTAAAGAAAATAATTGAATTCATGTGACAACATTTTTTTTATAAAAATAATTAAATTTTTGTAGAGAATTTTCTTGAAATTGAAGAAAATAATTGAATTCTTGTGACAATTTTTTTTATCAAAATAATTAATTGAAATCTTGTTGCAAATTTTATTTTAGATGAAAATAATTGAATTCTTGCGAAAAATGTTGTTTTGTTTATAAAAATAATTGAATTCTTGAGAAGAATTTTATTTTTTTTAAACCAAATAATTGAATTTTTGAGAAGAATTTAATTTTTTAAGAAAATAATTGAATTTTTGTAGATATTTTTCTGAAAATTGAAGAAAATAATTGAATTCTTGTGACAAAAATTTTTTTTATGAAAATAATTGAATTCTTGTAGAAAATTTTAATTTTTAAGAAAAGAATTGAATTTTTGTAGAAATTTTCCTCAAAATTGAATAAAAAATAATTGAATTTCTGTGACAATATTTTTTTATGAAAATAATTAATTGAATTCTTGTTGTATATTTTATTTTAGATGAAAAATAATTGAATTCTTGCGAAAAATTTTCTTTTGTTTATAAAAATAATTGAATTCTTGAGAAGTAATTTACTAAAATTGTAGAAAATAATTGAATTCTTGTGATGAATTTTCTAGTTGCTGAAAATAATTGAATTCTTGAGAAGAATTTTATTTTTTTTTTTAAGCAAATAATTGAATTTTTTAGAAGAGTTTTATTTTTTAAGAAAATAATAAAATTCTTCTGAGAAATTCAATTGTTTACGTATAAATAATTTTTCGAAAGAATTCAATTATTAAAGATAAATAACAAAATTATTCCCGAAAATTCAATTATTTTC